GGGGGGGGGGTGGTGGGGGTTTGGTAGAGGTCATCTATGAGTCTGGGGAAGGGGGGATTGGGATGGTGCTGCAATGGAGCGGGCTTTGTGTGCTATTTGGACAAGGATTGGCAAGCAAGGGGCCTAGATGTGCCAAGCAGGGAGGTAGGCAGCGTTGAAAGCCGAGGAGAGACAGGACAGACGAGACAGACTGTTGCTGCGCTGCGCTGCGCTGCTGGATCTATCATATGCATAGCGAGATGAAACCGAAATTCAACCTTGGACCAGATGGGCGGCGACCTATCCTGCCACGAAAGATGGAGAAACAGCACAAGAACGCGTAATCACGCAACGTATATTATCAAAAATTGTACGACACATTTGAAACCGCTAGGCTACCACTACTTGATACCAATTGAACCTGCGCCAGATCTGTTCCAAGAATATGCATGCAAAAACGCGCAAGACGCAGTATTTTTTTTTACAACGCTGCTATCCCGCCCGAGGTATCTCCACATCCATTCATATATGCATCCATGCGTTCAAACCCCACCGCAACAACCATCCACTCAACATTGCCTGATCTCACGCTAAGCACGGCTCTTCATAGGCGTCAAGCCAAAGCTCCGCGGCGACGCCGTTGTCGGGATGCCCGCGTAGGTCATGAAGTGCTGGTGGTAGGCCAGGGTGTCGCCGAATGCCATGGGCGGCGGCGGCACCACGCCGGCGGCGCTGTTGCTGGTGTCGAGCGCGTGTGGTGTCGACGAGTTGAGGAATTGTTGGAGGTGGTGTTGGTGGTGGTGGTGCGAGTGCTGCTGCTGCTGCTGGGGGGCGCCGTAGCCGTAGTCTGTAAAGGGGGGAATGCTGAAGGAGTTTGCTGTGGCGGTGGATGATGATGAGGAGGTCGGCGGGGGTCGCGTGGCTGTAGCGGCAGTGGTGGTGACGGGGGCGGCGGCTGCGGCGAGGTAGGGAATTGAGTCGGGATCGGCGTCGGTGCTGGAGGTGGTGTAGGACGAGTTTGTGGACATTTGCTCGAGTTTCAGGTCGTCGTTGTCGTCGTGGAGTGTTTGGAATGCGTTGGATTGCTGGCTGTGGTGGTGGCCTAGCTGCGACGGGTCATCCATTAGACTGCCGTCGAACATTCGGGGGGAACCGAAGTCGTCGAAGGTGTCGAAATGGCTGTCGTTGTTGTCATCATCATCGTCAATGAGGCCGAGTGGGGCGGACGTCAGGTTGGTCAGTGGGGTTTGATTCCGCTCGAATGCGTTCGCATTGGGTTGTTCTGTCTTGGGGCGCACGGCTCTGCCATCGCTTGCGCTGGGTCTGGTCGAGGCCGTTGAGCAGCTGCCGTCTCCGCCACTGCTTCCAGTGCTCACGCTGCTGCTCGTCTGTTGTTCTTGCGGCTTAGGACGGCTTTTGCGGTGACCACACAAACCCTGTAGCGCAAAGGATATGACGTCGGTTTCGTCAATGTCCAGCTTTGGGATGATACCCTTGGATTGTAGTGTTACAGCATGGCCCCGGAGGCATGCGGCTACAGCATCAGGTTGAGTGGGATCGCGAATCAACGTGATTAGGTGCTGGAGATCGTGCTCGGATGCGTGTCGGATGGTCTGCAGCAGGGCCGTGATCAAGAATTGTTGTCGGTCCTGGATGTTGGAGGAGCTGTAGGCGACTTTTCGTCGTGTGTCGAGTTTCGGATTGAAGTTGCAGAACGTTTCGGCGGCTTTGCACACGCCGCATGGGCCAGGAAGACCGGTACACTGTCGTTGATGTGCTCAGCGACCTTCCATTCCCACGACTGGAACAGGAATCTCACCTTGGTCTTCCTCCGTTTGCACGCCTCACATGCATTGCTCGTACGGTTCTTGGGCTTGCTCTGTCGTGAGGTCCGGTGTTTTCGATCCATTGTGGTTGAGAGTGCTTTTTGTTGTTCTGGCGTTGAATATCACTGATTGTGTCTATCTTCGTCTCGTACGGTGGTACTGGTACTGTGGGGTGAAGCACTGATATGCTATTGAGTGATCCCTGCCTTGCAAAAAGTTGTAGTGAAGGGATGGATTCGCCTCCTGGATATTTGCTTCAACATGGGACATGCCCAGAGCGCTTGAGATGACATGTTAATGACCTCAGTGTGGGCGCAGGAAGATAGGCGGGTTCCAGACATAAGGTCGGGGGTGCAATTCCGACTAGATACCAATCCAATTGGAGGAAAGTCAGGTCGCTGTGCAGAACGTGGCTTTTCCAAGGGGCCATCCACGGTCTCTCTACTTGGTGGCAAATATCCAGACTTTGTGTGCTGCGGAGTGCCGGTGAGGGGTGTTCCTTTGCATTGCCAAAACCCAAGCAGCAGGTATGATGTCGTACACGGAGATGCCATTTCCGCATGGCTTAACGCGAGCGAAAACGTGCCTGATCGACTCTCCCCACCAGCAGTAAGCTCTGACTAGAGTGGTCCGACCAGATTGTTGCTCAAAATCCAATTCGTCGTAGAGAAGGAGGAATGCTTTGCTCAGCCAATCAAGACGTGTGGAACTTCAAACCGGTTTGTACCCCTGTTGATGAAGATGCGTGCCGCGGCGGGGTGAGGTGTGCCACGCAATTCAAGAAATCTGACATTTAATCGTCTCGGTTGCAGCAATGTTCGCGATCTTGATTCTTTGTAAGCGAATCTCAGCAATAGTTTGGGATTTCCAGTGCTGTGGTATTAATCGCCTCCCGTCTGCATCTGACCTAATATCAATAACGTCCAGCTCTCGATGTATTGGTTTGCTGTTAGTTGCTCCGCATAAGCAGGCTTCCCCATTCCAGCTTGAACATCACTCATGGCCTCGCTATGCTTGAGTCTAGAGCGGTTGTGAGTCCATCTTCGATTCCAATCATCTGGGGTATACTCGTTTGGACTGCCTGGAGATGGAATGTCCTCTGCCGTACGGCCAATTAGGTAGGTGGGCATGCTTCCATGGTTTCTATATGTTTCGCAAGCTCACTGCGTCCATACTCATGACTCGAGAATCCATGATGTTGCCATCAATCATCTTGCGAATAGTTTCATCCTGAGTACTGCGAGGAGCCTGTTGCTGGAGGTCGACCAGGCTCAAGAGTACATCTTCAAACAATATCATCGAGGCCCAGCTAATTGTACTTTTACAATATTCGAAGACTCCGCGCAAGACCTGTTCAGTAATGGTCCCTTAGACATCGGCTTCGAGATCATCTACCAATGCTCCGCACGGGAGCACAACGTGGGTGGAAAATACAATGGCTGATCTAATGGTGACTTGGTGAGATTTTCAGTCAGACTGGGCTAGGCAATAAGTTGGACTATGTCGTCTCACGCAGCAACAGCCCAGCTTATAGGTCAGAGTGGCTACCACTTGTAGCTCCTCTATCCCCCAGCCCTTTCTGACCACACTGTTGGTGCGCTTCCCCACAGGTTGTCGAGTTCCGACGAAAAGGCACTAGCGATTCTGAAATCATTCTTTATCCGTGAAAGCAACGCTTTGATCTCCATTTGCTGTTGTACCGTCCGCGTCCGCGCTCCCGCAATGCGTAGTGGAAAAAGAAAAAGGAGAGGCGTGATATTCGTCTGGTCAAGAGCTGCTGAGGTAACCGATAGAATACTGTCGACGTGGTCTTGTACCTGGGTAGGTTGCAGGGACGGAGGTGCGAAGTGATTCTTCCAGATGGGTTCATAATCGTAGATGCCAGAGAGGTAGATGGAGATTGCAGAGTAAAATATCCAGGCGATGTCCATCTGGTGGTCGGCCGAGGAGGTAGATGGCCACTGTTGGGCTATGAGCTGCCACGAGGATAGATGAGATCGCAGGATCTGTCCTTCGTCAACGTATGCTTGCAGCTTGGTCACCGCTTCTACATTGAAAGAAGACGGAGTCTCGGACTTGATGTAGTCGGTAGCACTGTTGAGGTGGTCAGTGGACTGCTTTGGTGAGAAAGATCATATAGAAGCACTGACCGGACATACAGGTCCGATACCAGAGTCATAATGTCCAGTAGCCGCTCTTTCGGGTTCCAGTCGCGGATATGCTCGCCCTGCCATAGGCTGTCTACTAAATCAAGCCATGGTGTGGTTGAGAGAAAGGACCGCTGGCCAAACAACATTGAACGAGCAATCTCGAAGACTCGGATCTCTAAGAAGAGCTCTCGACCAGCACCAGTTCGACAATTTTCTGCCGTAAGGACTTCTAGAACTTTGGACGTCCCATAGAGCATATGCCAAGCCCAACCTTGTCCTGTGTCGTCGTAGATGAGCTTTCGCATGGGTCACTCATCTGACCTGGTATAATCTCACTGGTATCGCACTCACCTCAAATACGCCCAGCAGGAGGGTACTCCATGTAAGCTGTAGCAAATTGCCTCTTCCTCCCTCCGCAATCCAGGATCTGAGCGATATGACAGAGGCATTATAATAACGCAAGGCGTCCGATAATAGGTCTCGGTCAGCTGGCCGACCGGAGTTGGCGACCTGGAGAGCACCTATCGCGCACACAATGTCTGCAGGGCCACATTCTGCCGTGAGATAGCCACAGATAGACTGGCATGGTGACGATAACCTTCCGGTGAAGCTGTTGCGTGGAAGAAAGTTCCTGAGAAAGGCAAGAACATACATCCACGTTGCATCATGAAAATAGGCCGGTGAGGGTCGAGCAGAGGGCCGAGTGCTATGCCTAGTGCGTGGGGCGATGCATGAGTCTTTACGCCGCTCTATCGTGATGGCCAGGTCTCGAGAAGGAATTTTGCAGGCTAAACCACGCGCGATGCATCTTTGACAGGGGAATCCGCCGGAGCACTGCAAGCATCAGACCTTGCTCGCGACAGCCTGGAAACATAAATCTTACCTTCAAATGGCTTGAGGAACAGGCAACCCACCTTCTCAAGCGCTTCCTCCGATCGAAAGGACCGGCAAGCATGATCTTTCCCACGCTCCACCGTTGACGAACGACTGTGGCCGGGGACTTGAAAACCGCATCATCTCCAGAAAGAGAGTGATATGCGCGAAATTGAGGTCTTGAATAACTTTTTATAACTTGTAGCCTGCTGATAAGTGGATCCGCCGTACCAATACTAGCTTCATGGCGCTAGGCCTTTCCAGGGTCGAAACAGGCGACGCTAGAGGCTTGACCAATGACATGTAGGCTGGAGGCCAGCTGGGAAAGTGTCAACACCAGGGACCACCCAGAGATATATTGAGGACACGATAGAAAAGTCTCGTAGACCCAGCGTGAGAAACGTTTCTGCACGATCGCATCTACGTTTTCCCACTCAGCAACACCCGTCTAAACCGTGACAATGGGTTTTCTTTCTGCCATTACTGCCATTTTTCTTGTCGGTACCGTCTTAAGCGCAACCCTTCCGACCATTCCTTCACCATCAGGACCCTACGGCGTGGGGCTTCAAACCGCAGAGCTTATCAACAATGCCTTACTTGATCCATATGCTCCCTCCAACGTATCGCGGCGAATAATGGTATCAGCCTTCTATCCGACTTCTCGTGGCACCTCTTGCAAACAGACTAAATACCCCTACATGCCACCTGCAACAGCTCAGGTCTATGACACCATGTATGCTCCAGTAGGGCTGCCAAATGGCACTTTCGAGGCCATCGGGATGTCTCTATGCAACCCGACTGCTACTACCTCTGATAGGGGGAGGCCACGCCGCCAAAGCCATCCTGTCGCCCTATTCTCACCTGGCCTCGGGAACTCTCGACTGATCTACAGCGTCACTGCAGCGAGTCTGGCGGCCCAAGGATTTATTGTATTTACCATTGACCACCCCTACGACGCGCCCATAGTGGAGTTTCCGGACGGAAGCACTGTGCCCGCCGTCGACATTGACACAAAAGACCAGATCGTTGCCGCATTGAAAACACGGACTAAAGACCTGCTGTTCGTGGCCGAACAACTGCACAACGCTACCTTTACCCGAACGATCTTGAACGGCTTATACGGGACCCCCGACCTCAGCCGCGTCTTCGCATGCGGACACTCATTAGGTGGCGCGACCGCGGCTGGCGCAATGCTGAAGAACAGTAACAGCAGCATCCGCGCCGGGATCAACCTTGACGGCACGCTCTTCGGAGACGTGACCACGGTCGGACTCAACAAGCCTTTCGCGATGTTGTCGCACGAAGGCAAGAACCTGACGTCTGATCCCTCGTGGGCCGAGACGTGGCCCCGGCTCAACAATTCAAAGATCGCTGCGACGGTCCGAGGCACTCAGCACGGCAGCTTCACGGACTTCCCGGTCTTGGTGGATGTGCTTGGTCTGCGAGACGCATTGGGTGACGGCGCTTCAGAGTTGGTTGGGACAGTCTCCGGAAGGCAAATGATGGAGCTCCTGTCAGGATTTGCCAGTGCCTTCTTCCGCTTCGCTGGAGGTCAGACACGGTCAGCGGCGTTGGAACGAGCCTTGGGTCAGTTCTCTGAAGTAGAGGTTCTGGATTCGGTTCTGAGACCGCAGACTGAGCACTTGTCGAATGCGTGAGCATTACTGGGCGAGGCTGCTATACGGAGATTTCCGAGAGAGGTTAAAATGCAGAGCAGAGATCTAAAAGCTTGATAGTTCATGTCTACCACACCTATGGCCTGCTGGTATAATACACAGGATTTCATCTAAGCAGCGATCTTTCCATCATACTCTTTCGTAAAATCATGCAGTATCATACTCCCACTCTGGATGATCTCATTAGTATCAAACATCAAGGAAAATCGGAAATCACAAAAGACTGACCAATTGCATCTGCCGCGCGAGATCTTTATCATCAGCCGCCTTCGCGAGCATCTGAAGCAGCTTGTCCTGTTCGAGCGCCGTCTCCGGATCTTGGCTGTTGAGCCGACAGAGGTTCTCACTCGAGACGACATCGATGAACTTGTGCCACATGTCGCGCCGCACTTGATCATATCTGTCCAAAATCGAGTCGCTGGTCTTGCCTTGATGTATGCCGATCAAGCAATCATACAAGCCGTCGACGTCGGCCAGACCGCCTGTCAGGCCGAGGCCACCACTGTGCACCGTCAGCATGCTGCAAGAAATCAATACAAGCAGACCTACAAAGGATTGCATAGATGTGCGGCATCGGCTGCGAGCAGGAACCGTCCGACGCGCATCTTCTCGGCGCATCTCTGGTGGATCTTGTAGGGGCTGATGTTTGTAAGTTTGTATGCGTCGGGTTTCGGATTTCCGGGCAGCATTGTTTCGAATTTCATGGGTTGGCGCTCGAGGTATTCCTCACGAGAGAGGCCGGAGACTTCGCCGTAAGATACCCGCCACATGCCGTCCTTGCTGATTCTCGCGGCCATGAACCAGTGCTCTGGGTGGATGATGAAATTGGAGTCGTCCCATCCGAACTGGTCGAAGTCGTAGTACACCTGGAGAGTAGTTGTTAGCAAACAGCTATCACCTGAGAAGGGTCAGTACATTTGTGGCGACGATCTGTTGATCCCATGTCTTTCCGGGGAAATTCTTATCGCCCTGAAGAACGCGCCGGATTTTGCTGTTAGCGCCATCACATCCCACAATGTAGTCAGCCTTCAGACGCTGTTTCCCCGACGGCGTCTCGACATCGACCCACGCCTCCGTCTCATCCTGTCCCACGTCAACGACGTTATGGGACCACTTGATCTCGACAGACTTCAAGGGCTGCAGATGGCGAAGAACAATCCTGCTCACTTTGTTCAGAGGCAGAGCAACCGTCCGTTCCCACCTCTCGTCCGGGACAGCCGAGAGGTCCAGGGCGCCGAGGAGGGTCCCATCTGGCTTCCGCCAGGCGACCCGCCTCATCAGCACGCCATCTGCGCGTATCTCGTCTAGTACGCCGGCACGCTTGAGGAGATGGGTGGCTGGAGAGCCGTAGTGCGTCGCTCGAGGCTGCTCGTCCAATTGATCAGAGGCCTCGACGATCTCTACATTGACGCCTTGTTGGCCGAGTAGGAGCGCGAGAAGCAGCCCTGACGGCCCAGCCCCAACGACGATGACCTGTTGTGTACCTCAGCTCCTGACTCTCTATACAGTTACGCACTTCATCCGGAGACATGGGGCAGATTACTGTACCTTCCGAAGACCTTGGCTCTGCGTCGCAATCATCTCGAATTCTGCTTCCTGTCTCTTTTCAGAAATTGATTGCAATGGCACATTGTTTGCAACAACACGAAGCTCAAATGCTCGCTCCTTGCCGACGGATAATACCCACACGCCACATGCCAGTAAGTTTTGCGGGACTTCAGATACCGGCCCCGCCCCACGCCACCGGTTCTTGAGAAGCGTATCTTTGGAGACAAGGTTGAGGTGTCCTGTTCAAAATTACCGCCACTTACAGATACTTGGCCCATTTGCTGCCCCCAGTCTGTGGGGAACCCGCAATGATGGGCATTTTCCGAAACATCGAATTGGTCTGGAACGCCATAGGTGGTGCAGCTCCCGACGGTGTTTCCTTCTTTGTGTACCTTGCTGAGCAACGGGGAGTATCCCCATCGCTGAACGGGGTGTGCAGAGTTTGTGTCCTTTTTCACGGCATTCAGCCATCGGATAACAGCAAAACCGGGGATCAAGAACGAACCTGCAATGGATATATTCTCCGGTGGTGACGGCATAGGTGGCAGCCACCATCACTTTGGATGGGACAAGAACTGACAGAGGCGACGAGTCATGGACAACGTCGGAATTCATTCTACTCTACTGTTTGCACCTAGGTAGGCGTAAGTAATTGCACGAATTCAGACATGTCGGTAACCTCATCGAGATTCCAACACTGTTTGATGACATTGCGTGTGCCAGAGTCCCCCAGCACGCGGCTTGACAAATCCGCAAACTTTGCCTCCAACTGCTCGGATGTCATCGGGTTCGCCAGGGACCCTGTCGCGTGCTCGACATGGAACGTCCGCTCTTGCTTGTTCAAAAAGGTAATCTTCAACGTCGCAGTGTCGTCGGCCAGCTTTGTGTCGGTTCGGACCTCGATCTTGTCTCGGAGTTGCTTTGCTGATTCGTCTTTGCAACCGTGATCCGAGAACTGGGTCGGTCCAGCTTGGTCGTAGAGAATACCCACGGCAATGCCGTGATATAAGGAAAAGATTGTCTCCATGCCTGTCTTGGGGTGTCGAACGGAGCATAAGCGGACGCAGAGTGGGTTCACTGTCGCTTCAATCGATTCTATGTCCGCCACATCTCCTACAGCATCGTTCTGCTGGAAGCTCCGGTGCGCTTCACGCGCCGCGTCTATCAATGGGTGGATGACGATCCCACACGGATAAGGCTTGAAGGTATTCTCCACGATCTGGTAGGTGCCTCCGCGAGCCAGTTCAGATAACGAATCTTTGCTGACGGTGGTGGAGACCAAGGTTGCCCATCGTTCGATCGCTCGAGGACAGCTCTCAAATCCGTGTGATGCAAGTTGGGCCGACAAGAGACCATTCTGGGCACTTCTCCCCATGTGGAGCGTCTTGGTGTCGGTGCCGAACATGGCTCTGATGCCGGCGGCCATAGAAGCCGAATGGCTGAGCGCTGCTAAGAATTGTTGTGGATTCAATCTCTGCGCTTTAGCAATGGCCGCTGCAGCCCCAAAACTACCTGTTGTGCCGGTGATATGCCTTTTGGGATATCAGTCAATACCTTGATAACCGACAAGTACGGGAGTATATACATACCATCCATCATGATAATGAGACGGCGACACGACATTCCCCACCGCTATCTGCGTTTCTACGCCGCAAACAAACGCCAGCAAGAAATCCTTCCCGCTCATATGATTCACCTCGGCCCAGGAAAGCAAGGCGGCGAGAGAGGTACCACTAGGGTGTATGACCGTCTTGAGATACGTGTCGTCGTAGTCAGCCGTAGTCAAGGCAATGCCATTGATAAGAATAGCGTTTTCGATGCTGGTGAGCTCCTGCCGGCCCAGGATGGTGGCTTCTTCGCTGGCCTGCCCGGTACGGATCATTGAGAACACTTTCTCAGCGGGGGCGTGCCGAGCATAGCCCAGCCCGCAAGCTAGGGCATTGAGGATCGATTTCTTGGCCTGGAGGATGACTTGAGGCGGGAGATCATCGTACTGCAGTCGTGAGAGGAACTCGGCTAGCTGCAGAGTATGATCCGCCTCGCCCATCCTGGGGTGTCTCGGAAGGGGGATAATGCTAGCAACTTCGAAGTATTGCGGATTCACGATTCATCTATCCTGGGCTCACGCATCAAGGACGTGGCTAGGAATAGTCGTGAGCTGGGTGGGTGACTCAGGTGCTCGCGACAAGAATAATGAGTTGGGGTCACGCAGTATTACGCCCCACAGTTGGGGGTAAGAGCAGAGGTTCTACGAAATGCTTCTCCGATTCCAGTCTGGTACAACGGTCACCCTTGGCGAGTATAACCTCCCGGCCACCTCCCACTCCATATTTGAGTCACCGTGAGACACGTGAAGGAGATGGAGCAATTCGACGGGATACAGCGTTGTTGGTTGGACAATTGTACCTAGCCTAACAGATCCTACGAAAACATCACTTTTCTTGGTGAGTTCTACAGGCACGGTGCTCGCAAGACAGATGGTGAAGTTGTATACTTAACGAAATTTCGATTATGTCACTACTCTGCTAAACCAAATCAAACACCAGCTTTTCAACCGAACTCTTTCCCATCGACCAGCAAACAACACTCATTCCTGGCGGAAAACAAACAAAGGGGCCACGATCAGTACCAGCTGCCACGGTTTGAGCTTCTGGATCGCGAGCGTCCGCGACTGCTGTGTCGGGTTGACTTCTCTCCTCGACTGCTACGTCGTGTCGATTTCTGTCCGCGGTTGCCGTGCGGGATTGACTTCTCTCCGCCATTGCCATGCCGGACTGACTTCTCTCCTCGACTTCGCTGCTGAGGTGGCTTCTCTTCACTCTTCTTGACGACATGAGCGTGCCAGATATGTTCTTCAACCTCTGCATCTCCATAGTCATACCTCGCAAATTTGGACTCGCACCCTTCGACGAAGCAACGTACGTGGTTTTCGGACTGCGCATGCTCGTAGATATCACTGCTCGGAAAGCACACGCTGTGCTCAAAGCATTCAGAGTCGTTCTCAGCCTCGTGGTCGTAGAGATCGTCCTCGGTGTCGAAGTACGATTTGCAGCAGTCGCATCGCTCACGTGTGAACCTGTTGCTGGGTGCACGGCGGGATCTGGCGGGTGGTGGAGAGGGGCTCCGACAAGACCTGTTGCTGTGTGCACGGCGAGACCTCGTGGGTGGTGGAGTGGGACTCGGAGACGGCGAGCCTGGATCTGATTCGGCATAGGCTGGTGGCTCATCATCAACTTGTCGAGGTTAGAGTCACGTTGGTGGGCAACATGGTTATATGCAATGGAGAGAGGAACTCACCAGATATGCTGCTGTCGGACTCAGATTCGTGACCATCCGCCTGGGTTTTTTGGTGCTTCTCACAGTGATTGTGGCGTCCTTGAACATACTGTCCGCAGTGATCGTGGGGTCCTTGAGCATACTGTCCACAGTACATACAGTGGCGATCACCGTAGTAGTGGTTTGCTCGACAGCGTTGGCATCGATTTTCCTGCTCGGAACCTGCAATGTGGACACCGGGGTGCCGACGACGCTTGCCACAGAACGTGCAATACATCTGGGCTACCCTTCTTGTTGTTCGATATGTTCCTGTCCTGCTGAAGTATAAGAAGGAGAGTTCTGTTGGTGTCAGAGAAGGGGAGATGAGGGGAAGTATCACAGTAATGTGGAAAGAGCCCAGGCAGACGCGCCCGTGTAACGTATGATGAGGCCTGGCTTGTACTCTCACAGTAACCTGCCGAAAGACCACCTCTATTCAGGACCAGACCAAAAAGCATTACCCTCCAAGGTCGTGAAAAGTGTCAAAATCGGTCAGTGTCCAGGTCTAGATGGAGAGCCATCCGTCGAGTGAAGACATGCCGGTACACAGGCAGATGGGTCTACTAGATTTGAGATAAAATGCCTTCATGGCACAAGACAAGAGCGATAATCGGGCTCGTGCATCGTGAGATTATTCGCCAACAGCCGTCCTAACTGGTGCCTCAAATTTGTGTTATGGTGAGACTTGCTCCGAAATGTTTCATGCAGCTCAAGAAGAGGAGCGAAGCGCTTGGCTGCAGCAGTATCAATGCAGCTTGCTCTGTGCAGGCTGTCCTGGTATGAACGGCTACCGACACCAAGCAAGACGTTGTTCGTGCTGTCGATGGCTCATGCATGACCAAACCACCGCTCCTCCCCTTCCCCTCTAAAACGTCAGCCTCGCCGGCAGGCTGCAAGGCTGAGGCATCGAACTGACATCTTCCTCGGAAAGTCAAACACGAGGACCCCGCGTTACTGTCCGCTAGGCCATTGACTTGTCGGCGACGGGAAGAGTACGACTCGACAGAAGTCAAATATCTCGCGAGTTCGAGCAGAACTTGACCTACCTGACCATGTCAATGTTCGACCACTTCTCCGTCAATCACACTCCCTCAATCTGACCATCCACCCCACCATCATGGCTCCGACAAACACTACGAGCCATCCTTCACCCTTCCCAGCCACCATCGCCATCATTGGCGCCTCCCTAACTGGCCTCTCGCTCGCCCTCTCCCTCCTCCAATCCCAGCTCTTCCAGCCTCCGCAAATCACCATCTACGAGCGGCGCACCGCTCCGGCCCCGCAGTTCTCGCCAGCAAATCTGCCGCTGAACTCACCTACCAGCGACCCCGAGCACAACCACCCCAGTGCCAGCCTCAACCCCTCCGGCCTCGACCCCTCCGGCCTCGACCCCTCCACCACGGCCTCCGGCGTCGTGCTAACTCCCAATGGCCTCTCAGTCCTCTCGGCGCTGCAGATCCTGCCGCGCATCGCGCCGCGCTGCTGGACGAGCGCATACCGGACGTACCGTAACGATGCGGACGAGCTGGTGCGGAAGGTGCAGGTTAGTGGCGAGGAGGTGTACGGGTACCGCAACCACCGGTGCTGGCGGGGGCTGCTGGTTGGGGAGATGCTGGAGATGGCAAGGGAGGCGGGAGTGGTGGTGCGGTGGGGGTGGAGGTTTAGTGGGGTTGAGGAGGGTGGAGGAGGAGCTGGGGTGCGGTTTGTTGTGGAGAGGGTGGGGGACGCGCGAGAAGTGGTCTCGGCGGATTTGCTGGTGGGCGCTGATGGGATATACTCGACGGTTCGGAAGCATTTGGACCCCGTGGCGGCGCCGGAGTATACTGGCACAACGGGAGTGCTTGCGCATATTCGGTGGGAGCATGTGGCGTGGCCGGAGGTGCCGGAGGGGGAGTACGAGAGGCAGTGCACATTGCAGGGGAAGCCGGGCGCGCTGTTCTGGATACCAGAGGATCAAGAGGGAAGTGTGGTCATGGTTGGTAAGCAGGTACGGGTCGACGGCGAGAGGAGTCGAGAGGAGTGGGACAAGTTGTCGCGGAACAAGGAGTACCTGTGCGGCTTCTACCGGCAGGACTACGGGGAATGGGGGAGTACGGGCAGAAAGATCATTGATGCGGTGTGTAGGAACCGGGACACATTGTATTTGTGGCCGTTCATGCGGATGGCGAAGCTAGAGCGGTGGTTCTCACACCAGGGCAATGTCATCATCATGGGGGATGCGGCGCACGCGCTACCGCCGAGTAGTGGGCAAGGAGTGAATCAGACGCTTGAGGATGTCTACGTGCTGACAAGAGTGCTCGAGCTGGTGAAAACTGGGAGGAAGGACTTGCAAGAAGGGCTGAGATGGTGGCAAGAGAAGAGACAACAGCGGATCGATCAAGTCTTTGATTGGGCGACGAACGCGACGAACGTGCAGAGGCTACCGCAGGCGGAGAGGGAGAAGTTACTGAAGGAAGGCGGTGCCAAGTCGCAGCAGGAGACGGACGATATGCGGTGGCTATATAAGCCGGGGTGGGATGAGGTGATGGCGACGTGGGTGGCAAATTGAGGTGTGAGATGCTGGCTCGGCGTGTGCTTTTACTTACAGGCTCCTATCTCGTGTGTCCGTCAGCCACAGGTAGGGGTAGTTCTGTGCACCGTACGGAGTACTTCATGTACGACTCTCGCGTCGTCGCTTACAGCAGGTGAGACGCGTCTGAAACGCGGAGGAGCTGCACTGTGGCGTGCGGCATCATGATGTTGGCGATGACTTGATATTTTTTTACTAGTGATGAAGCAAGTCAATAAATATCGATGCCATTTTGATGCCAGAAAGCCTGGATTGAGATTTATTGATGATGCTGTTCATGACCACCACCACCACTGTGCCATCGTGTCGGGGCTGAATCGATCGTGCGTGTCCAAGCCCCAAAGCACTCGCTTAACAAAGCTTGGATTCCATCCTTAATCCCTGTCACCACCAATCGCTCCATTTCTCTCCCCTTCAGGCATGACCTGCCATCCGCTTCGGGGCTGCGCCGAGGCTCCAGGCGCAAATCAGCCCTCCCGAAACGCGACGGCACCCCTAAAGGGTAAGAGCTGGGCGCCCGCTTGTGACGCTTTAGGCACGGGTGGAGATGGTCGGGGGGCGCCACGCGATCGACTCGACCACTGCGACCGCTGCTGTTTTGTCAGAGTTTCGGATTGCCCATGTTCCGACATAGTGGCAGGTTGTCAGGTTTTCCCACGGCGGGGGCTTCACCATCATGTGAATGTGGCTGTTGCTGCTACGGGGGCGTAGCGGAATGTGTATTAGGCGCGTCAGGGTGACCTTCAATGTCAGCTGCCGTGATCTCGCCTTTCCTTTCTACTCTCTCTGTCTCTCTCTTCCCAGTTACTATTGTCGCTCCTTAGAATACTGGAATAGGGACAGATTGAACCCCGCGAGCGCTGGACGACGCATCTCAGGACTTCTCAACGGGTCCATAATGGCACTCACACTCGGCCCTTCGGCCAACAGCCACCTCCTCCTTCCACTCCCAGACTCCCCCACATGGACCGCCTCAGCTTCACCGACAGACTCATCACCACACACACCCACAGCCCTCCCCGATTGCTGCCCCGATCACTCCAATCAACACGACCTCTTCCAGCCAGATGAGCCTCCTACCCAGAATCAGATACGCCGTCTCGCCGGTTATTCTGTCTATGATTCCTCGGGCAACCAACACACGTTATCCTCCCTCTTCACCCCCACATCACTCCGCAAACATCGCATCCTACTGATCTTCATCCGCAACTTCTTCTGCGGCAACTGTCAGCAATTCCTCCTAACTCTGTCCTCCCAACTTCCCGCCTCCGCCCTGCCCGCAGACACAGCTGTGGCTGTCATCGGATGTGGCGCCCCTTCACTCCTCCCTTCGTATCTGGAACTCACTCACTGCCCTTACCCCATCTACACGGATCCCACTGCCCAGCTCTATGACAAGCTAGGCATGCAACGGTCATGGAGCCTGGGCAATCGCGCGCCCGAGTACATTCGTCAAAGTCTATTTATGGGCGGTTTAAAATCCATTGCCCAAGGTCTGAAGCGCGTTCCAGCAGGCGATGTGCGGAAAGCGGGCGAGATGAACCAGAACGGCGGCGAGTTTCTGTTTGTGCGCACCAACAGTGGCGACAGCAGCTCCTGGGCCGACGGATGGCGAGTTGAGTGGTGCCACCGCATGCGCAACACCCGCGATCACACAGAAGTGGGGCGTCTGCGCGAAGTCCTTGGAATGAGTGAGTACGAGACACAGCCGCAGCAAGTCGAGAAGGCCACGACGTGGGCGCCACGCATGCCCCGAGAGCGGCACGGGCGACGGTGGACGAAACCCTCGCTGCCGGGGCTGCCACAATCCGAATCCGAAGGCGAGAAAGCGAAAGCAAAATCGGGCCACGTGCGTAGGAACACATTTGGCCAATCCCTCTCGGTAAAGAGCCACAACGTCATGCGCACACTGAGCCTGAAGCGGCCCGACACAGCCGGCTCCTGGGTCGGGCGCGACATCGAGACACAAAAACGCAGCCTCACGCCAGCCGTGGCGGTACCGCATCTCCCATCCCTCTCCACGACACAGCAGTACGAAGAGCAGCAGCAGCAGCAACACCAAACCCAACAACCACATCAGCATAAGCGCACACAGTCCAAATCGCGCGCAGCAGCGCAGATCCTGAACCTGAAAATCACCTCTGGCCGGACCACTTCGGCCCATGCTGCAAAGCAGTACCTGCTGTCGGACAACATCTCCGAGAGCCACGTCGCGCTGGTGAGCGTTGTGAGCCCCGGCGGCTATAGTGTGCGCAGCAGCTTGACGCCGCAGGTCGGCTCGCCATCGCCGGTAGGGACGCCTTTGATCGGGAGAGCAGGAGCGGGGTTTGGGCAGGGCGTTGTGAGTGTGCGGTAGTGAGTGGGTTGATGGGTCGATGGAAGAATGAAGAGAGCAACGGAAAGGAAGGTGCAATGTACGCTAAGAGCGATGAATACGGATATACGCATTGGGCGCGGCGAGTGAGTAAGGTAGGTATTCAAATCGATACCTCACCGGTTAGAAGGGCCGAGGAAGATGTCAGCGGCATGTCGATACGATAGCGATAGCGATAGCAGCAGCAACATGAGTCCGAACATGATGTCCTAGAAAAGGCCAACAGAACTATCTCAGAACCGCGATTCTGCAATGCACCCTTCCATTCAGGGGTTTCACTTTTCAGCATGAGCGACCGAAAACGTGGACTCTTTTCTAGCTGCGTATGATTTCTACGGCAACCGAGTCTTACCTACATGTTCTCCTCTCGACAATGATGATGCCCGCAGGCCATCGTCACACGTCACAAATATCCATTCCAAGAGATCAGTCAGTCAGTCAGTCAGTCAGTGGCCCGACATCGCTTCTCCACCATTTGTGGAAGAAGAATCCGATCCCCCTGGTTCCATGCAGATAGAGACCCTGCTCTACAACAATTTCGGTATGACGATACAGATTCAGACTCAGTGAGAGAGTCCGAACCTAAAAGGAAATCCTTGCAATAGCGATACTCGAGTCTCGTGTTGGGAGGAAGTGACAAGTAAACACTGAAACGATGGAACGAGGATGAACTGTGAACAGCAAGGCAACCACGACCCATCTGCACTACGGCCTAGCGGTAGAGATCCACTGGAAGAAGCATCATAGTATTCCCACCAAAAGCCTGCGGGTTGTCTCAGGTTTGTAATACGAAAAGTCATGTATTTCAATGACTGTGTTTTCCCCATGAGGTTGGGTACCATCCAGTATCTATGCCGTTGGGCGAGCGAACTGTGCATTGCATTGCTGAAGATCCAGACCGGACTCCATGCCCGCATAGATCATTCATAAAGCCACCGACATGAATGACCAAATATCCCGTTCCAGCTATGGCTCCGACCCTCTCCCACAGAATGTGTTTGACACTTCTGTAGGACCCCACGTGAGTCAACCACTGAGTGGACCAGAGTCGTGGACATATACCGTGCAAAGTAACGCACACTAGTCTCAGACTCAGGAGGCTGTGAAGAGGCTGTCATACCCGTACCACGCCAGGACACCAATGGACAGACCAAGCGCCGCAGCGGTGAAACCTGCGAGGACAACGGCTTCAGCGTTGGCTCTAGCTTTGGCTTTGGCTTTCGACCAGCGGGCAGACTGTGCAGAGAGTGCGCGTGGCTGGATTACAGCCTGCGAGGAAGTCGCAGCGATGAGAGACATTCCTCGAAGCAGGACCCAGTCGGATTCGGCCAAGGAAGCTTCGGACGTCGTCCGGTGCTTGGGACAGCGACAGTGAGCCGGCTTCTCGAAAAAGAAGTCGAACGCCGCCGATAAGGCGGTCGAGGACTCGATGCAGACCAGCATAGCATGGTCGAATGCTTTGGAGAAGATGTCTGGGGGTTCGACACGCACCAACATTCCGGTTGCCACGGCGTACATTGGGGGGATGTAGAGCTGCATCTCAGCTAGCAGGGAGATGTCGTGGTTGTCGCTAAGATATGTCTTGATGCCGGTGTACGTCACCGCAAGGCCCATGATGGCGACGTAGACGAGGAGAATCGCGCGGCGGTACGAGGCTCGGACCTTGCCGCGTCGGCTGTACGGTTGGAGAACAGCGCTGCCGGTTCTGAAGAGGTCGTAGAAGGCCAGCACAGCGCAGCACGAGATGATGTAGATGCAGTTGACCGTGAAGCGATAGATTGGGTCCATCGGATTCGACACATACACCCAGGCTGGAGCACCTCCCCAGCGGATCTGTGGCTTGACTCGAGGAATGGCCGCGACAATGATGCTGGAGAGGATGAAATTGGCCGTTAGAGCGATGACGGACGCATAGTAGATCGCGGCGAGGACGGTCGCAAGCTTAGAGATCTGGCGGAGAATAGCCGCAGTCTCGGTCTGGGTAGGCATGTTGAGGATTCGTGAAAAGAACGAAGAGGGCTCGAAGGTCGTCAATCTATCAATACTGGCGAGAGCTAGTAGTTCGGAAGTCTTGTGAGCAGAACAATGTTGGCTTAGTCGCGCAGTTTGTGCTCGCACTCAAGAACGTTCCAAGTCAACAGTGCAAACAAGGGCCATAAGTAGTTGGAGGTTGTGAAGCTCACGAGCCATAGGACCCTTGGCATTTGAGTGACAAACCCAGATTACCACTGTCATGGATTCTGCCCATATCACACAGGCTTTCTCTGGGCAGGTGGTGCAACACCTGATGGATGGGATTAGCATTAGCCAGCTATGAGTGTCACTGATGTGAATGGTGTGAAGATGAAACTCATGGCGCAGGCTGAACTCGAGTAAGATGAATCATTGTAATCTAGCTGCAAGTACTAACCATGCTTGGTTCATAACGCTCATACTGGTCCCTGTACTAGACTCGTAATGGAAGTCAATATGCAACGCCCTATTGACCGAAGTGATGCTGTGGGGTATAATCATTGATATGTCATGGCCGTTATTGCGCGTTTATTGCTCTAGACGGCTGGACCCGTCTGAACCATCCTTGGAGAAGGAATCGGAGAAAGTGGCATGTTTGGCAAGGTGACATCGAACATGGTCGTATCGTCAGGGGAGTAGGTCCTCGATCCACCACAACAACTTCCTGATTGCGACCGTGGTTGACTCACTGGAGTTGCGACGTTGCTATTATGCTCGCTGAAATTGATATCAGGAGTGGCGGCAAAAGAGGCGTAGGAAGAAGGCATTGGAGGTGGTGAAGAGAGGGCTGACATGGATACGGAAAAGGCGTCAGGACTTGACACGCCAGTCGCCCCAGGATGCTGAAAGCCATGTTCGTACGAATGGAAGCCGGCTGGGTCTGGAGATAGGTGTTGAAAACCATTGATGCCAGGCAGTTGCATGTTTGGTGTAGGTGCAGGACCTAACGTAGGGAACTGCGAAATCTGATCAACACTTGCGTCACCTAGGCGCATCTCCCACATATCATCCTGCTGTCGTGATGTCCAGTCCATGTTCATGCTCATAAATTGGTTGTCGAAATCAAGGGTATCGGCTGGTAAATCAGGGATCATTTGCGCTTCTGGTTGAGGGTCTGGATACTGCTGTAGCGGCATTGTAGGAGGAGACTGCAACGGAGACTGCGCGCCCCACTGATCAACGGGATAAGACATGACATAATCTCCGCTCATAGCACTGGGAAAGAAGTTCTGAAAGTCTTGCTGTGTAGGTTTGTTCCGGCTGAGAAAGAACCTTGGCTGACCACCCATACATGATTCTTGCGGAACGTCGGGAGTATACATTGAGCCGCTCATCATCGAAGGTGCGGGGAGGTAATTGTGTTGAGTCGCCATAAGGTTCAGAGTTTGAGCATTGTATTGACGCGTGGCAGCGTTGTTGGGATGTTCTGGACAAAGCGTGCATTGACAGGCCGTACCGCAAGTACATCGGCTTGTCGTTGAAGGAGCGAGTGATGTGCGGTCCAGGGTCGGAGTTGCCTGCTCTTGCTTAACAGCATCACGGTGTCGACAGCCGCCCTTTGGAGCGGGTTTTGCGATTTCTTCTTCCGGCTGCTTAGTGGAACAGCACCCTCCTGACTGACCTTGCTCTCTTTGTTCCTTCTCCCGCTGCCTCCGCTGGGCCTCGTTGTCGGTTAGAAGCTGCCCACTGGCATCGGCCCAAACTGTTTTGAGGGTCTCAGACTGCCCCCTCTCATTCTCCCAGACTGGTGGCTTTGGGCTATTGGTCCGGGGGACATCTTTTGCGTCCGGCTTACTAACAAGGCAGATGAGGTACATCTTCTGTACACAGAGACAGTCACGACCGCATTTGCAGTTGTCTTTGCAGCCGCAGTTCTTCGGGCAGGTGCATTTTCGCTTGGAGCCACTGGAGGGTCGTCCAGGCTGGTTTGTGGGTGCAATTGGTTTTGTGCGACCATGGTTACATGTGCGTACCCGATGGCCATTCTTGCATGACTGGCAGGCGTAGGTCTTGCCGTCAAAGAATTGCTTGGGAATCTGCTCGGCCTTCTCTTTTGCCTTTTTGCCTTTTTTCTCTTCCATCATGACTTCGCTATGGGGTGAGGACGTTCTATGGAAAATGTGCTCAAATGCGGGCGGACGGGCTCAAGTCGGGACTGGTGGGCTTACGAAACGGCTTTTCGAAGTGGGGTGAAGCGAGTCTCGACAGTTGAGCGAGTGTAGGTAATGAGCGTCGGGAATGAACGAACGTCAGGATTTCGTGGGTGTGTCTCTCAGAATCTTTTACGCCCCTGAGGGTCAGTGTGTAGCATGAGGTGAGCAGAGTGTGATCCGAGGGGTACAATGAAAGGGATGGAGACGGTGGGATGAATAGAGTTGAGGACCCCTGGTGGAGGACCTCTGGGCCGGGCGGCTCCTTTCTTTTTTTGGCGCCTTCCTGCCTGCCTGATCGAGGCTGAAGCTTTTACGAAGTAATACAGTATTTGTGTAATCAACTTTTCTTTGACCTCGATGCGCACTCTACACGTCTTCGTCGACAGCACTCACATCACCTGGCATGACCGAAGCAGACGCGGCTCGACCAGAGCAGCGACCTCAATCATCATGGTTCGCCCTTCCTGAACCTCTTCGACGCGTCTTTGCACGCTTTCCCATCGTTTCATACTCTGCGAACGTCCTGCCGCAGAATGCGCCTCAACACCGCAGTCAACATGTTTTCTTCTCCTTTCAGAGACCGGGTGGTCCTGCGGATGCGCCGTCATGCAATCCAACATGCTTAAAGTGGCAGACTTTGTTGAAATTCCAAGGAGTATCGCATAAAATACAGCCTTCGAATAACCACGCCTCTCCATCAGGAGCGCTGCCTTTTATTCTCCCTGCGAACACTGCGAATCAGCGACCAGGTACTCCGGTATCAGCAAGCAAGATCCCAAGGTGGATCGTTAGCCAGGGTGGAAGAGAGGAGACGCTTCAGCCCAAAGAAGAGGCGTACAATGCCCTCGTCGATCACGATATCCGCAATGCCTGGCTGTACTTTATCTACCTCGACCAGCCCAATTTCAAAGCGGTCGCTGCTCCGCTGTACTGCGAATCTGCTTCATCGAATGTCCTGGTACAATTGGCGATGGCTAGTCAACTGCAGTCTGCAGCAAGAGATGAATTGCTCAAAAGCTACATTCTGATTGATGCGGATGAGCTATATGATCGTGCCGCAAAAGCCTTCAGTGCACTATCAACACTGCTCGGCGGGGACGATAACTTTTTTGGAGCTAGTCAGCCTGGCTTGTTCGACGCCAGCGTCTTTGCATATACCCATTTACTGCTTGACGATAGCATGAATTGGCAAACCTCCACCATGATCGACCTATTGAAGATTCACCCAAACCTCGTCTCCCACCAACAGCGACTTCGCGCCGAGTACTTCCCCTGAAGGCTATCCAACCTTTCGGAATAAGCCCCCATACCAGCACTTGATTCCCACCCACTTTCGACTTCTTGGACCCAGTGCCTCGACCAGGCTCTCGTCTACCGCCCTCTCCTCCAACTGTCCCTCAACAACCAACCCTACACTCTCTGCTGCTGCCAGCACCTCAGCTGGTGTGTGGGCATAGCTTTTGGGTCTGATCTTTTCCCCAGTCTCTGGGTCCACGAATCCAGCTTGGCTGATGCCGCCCATCTCGCTGTGCATGTTGGTCATCAAGAGCCACCCACCCGGTTTCAGCATCTGCGCCGCCTGCCGGAAAAATGTTTCACATGGGATATGCTCGAGCACCAGGGTGCTGACCAAGGCGTCAGCGTTCTGGACCATGTGCGGCGGCTCAGTATTCTCAAGGAGGTCCACAATTCCAAACCTGACCTCTCCAGTCCGCCCACTCGCCTTTGTTGCTTCGCCGACCCGCCCCTTGGCTACTTCCAGCATCTTCGGCGATGCGTCCACCGCAACTACCTCTGCATCTGGCACGTCCAGCAGCGCGATCGTGTTGCGCCCCGTGCCACAACCGAGATCCACGAGCTTCCACGGCGTTGGACGCGGAGAGCCATCAGGCTGCTTGGCGACATGGGCAATCAGACGCGGAAACAGAGTCTTCATGGCCAGCGAGTCGAGCGCCTGCAGGAAATTGGCGTCATGGTCGTAATGTGCGGCCCAGAGGTCATATGCGGCGGTAGTGGGGAGATAGCGCACTGCAGGTGGATTGTCGTACGGCAGATCCGCATACTTGCTGGCGGTGGGATTGATGTTGGCCATGCTTAGAACGAGATTCGGTCGTTCCGATCTCTGCGTCGGGCGTCACCACGAGTAAAGTCCGTTCTCAAAGCGGCTGGGACCTGGATTGTATACTGTATATTGTGTATAACCTGTGAAGTATAGGACCACAATGATCTTCCGGCCAGATATATCAACATTCAACGCTGTATATGTAGCCTCGAGCATACCTTGGCAAAGCCAGCATCCGTGACTCACCCCCTGTCATTCCAGGGCCTGTCTCGGCATCGACCTTCCTATTCCTATCGCCGTGCATGGCATACTTTTTACCCATATGCACTCCGTACTTAGGTATGCTTCCCTCCCCTTTTCTTCCTATCTGGACGGCTACGCCGGGTATCCATCTATGTAGCGGAGCACACGACCTCACAAGACCTCACCTCGCCTCAACGTAAAGTAAAGTAAAGCGTAGCAGTCACGATGCGGCCATTACTACTGCGTGACTTCCGTCTCTTCCTCTAATCCTCTCGTGCATCTTTCCCCCCCCCAAGAGACTTCGTTGCTCCTTCACCATCGAAAGAAAATACTGAGAGAAATATTGTAGTAGTGGTAGTAATATTAGTCGTCGTCGCTCGTGTCCATGTCCGTGTCCGTCGTCATAGTACAGATACAAATACAGGTACAAGTACAATGGTCGTTTTGAGACGATTCCCCCATCCCTAGGCTTTCTGTGCCTCGATGCTGTCTCGGCCTCCAAGCTCGCTCGGCCTCCATGCTTGCTCGCGGGCCCTCTCTGCTTGCCTTGTTTCTATGCCATGAAGCTGTTCCTGTCCATCCCTCCAGACGTAAACATCCAGCCTGGGAGCCAAATCAGGCTGAATCAAGCCAGATAGCAAATGCAGAGCAGATCAATGCACTGCAGTGACGTCGGGGTATCTCAACCATGAAGGCCGCAACAGCCCTCGAAGAAACAAGAAGGGCGCTTCCTGTGCACCCGGTGTCTTGGGTCTCCACCAGCCTCCAGGCCGTAGCCCCTCAACTCAACTTCCGAGTTGTCGCCAACACTCAAACCCGCACGGGACTCACGCTGCCACGACTCAACAGCCCGCCTCCCGCCTGAGCCTCGCGCATATCATCCATCAGATCCTGCACGTTGCCCATATACCTCCCCAGCATCGCCTGCTTCTCTTCGGAGCTCTTGATCTTGAGCGCCCCATCCCCAAACCCCGTCGTCCCACCACCCCCAACCGGGCCCCCGACAGTGGCACTTTCCCTCCTTCCCGCCGCATTCGCCTGCTCCTCTTTGCGGAACGCACTCAGCACTTCTCTCCCCCTGCCGCCCAACACCTCCGTATTCCCCGCGCTCTTGGCCTCGCGCTTCTGCGACTCGCGCTCCTCGGCGCCCAGGTAGAAATACAGGAATTCGACGCCCTTGGTGCGCACCTCGCGGCTGCTCTGACGGGATTTGAAGAGCGAGGTCACGACGAGGAGGCCGTCGAGGTCTTCGAAGAGGCGGGTGTTGGCCGGGTGGTCGATCAGGGAGGCGGTCAGGGCTTGGAGCGTGGAAATGTGGATGGCGGGGCAGGAGTTGGGGTCGAGGAGGTCGAGGAAAAGCTATACAGAGATAGGGATGTTAGCTGTTGACTTGGTTCAATGGAGGAGGGGAGAGAAGGGGAGTGGAGAGCCTACGTTCATGCAGACTTCGCGGCCCCAGAGCTCGCGGCTGGGTGGGTGCAGTAGGAGCATCCCCTGCACGAGGTCTAGCGCCGCGATGATGAGCAGGTCGTTGGCGCCGTTGTTGCTCTTACCCAACAGCCGCTCCAGTGTGCTGATGAGGCGAGTGGCGACATTGTATTGGAAGGTATTCTGCAGGTTGTAGAAGGTGCGGAATGCGGGGTCTTGTGGCAGCGAGGAGAGAGGTTTGGGCGTCGATGTGGGTTTGGTAGACAACGGGGCACTGGGAGGATTGCTTTTGAGAGCCAGCGCTTTGGATGGTTCCGGTGCAGATGAAGTCGCCGCTTGCAGTGTGAGTTGTGCGAGGAGACCTTCGAGTTGTCGGAGACCTTTGCGGATTTTGGGAGGTGAGGGAGACGTGAGGTAGTCGAAGGAGTGGGATAGGAGAGCTTCCATCGTGATGATAGAAAGTGTGGTACTGCGGCTCAAATGGAGAGGGGACGTCGGCGAGGGTGTAAAAGAGAGCGTAGCATTGAATGTACAGCGTGAAAAGGCGTGTCGTGGTAATGCACTCGAAGCGAAGGGAAAGGTTGGCACGGCAACGAGGAGTTCAGCCTCGTACAGCCTCGTCATCAGGCAGTGAATGCGACCAGTTCTGCAGATGGATGCAGAGGGCGCTTTGCTCTGCTTAGCATATACAAGTAGAAAAGACGAGCAGCATGTGCAAGGCAAGTCGCATGTTGTTTCTTTCGTGTCATGTTCAAGGCTAGTAGAGTCCTTCATACGGCGCCTTGAGCAATCAATACTCGTGACTCGAACGGTCTTAGCTGAAGCACATCGCCTTCGAGTACCACATCATCGTCGTAGTTGCCCAGCACCTGCTTTCCACTCGCGATCATCGCTCTCAGTTCCGCTGGTGGTCTCCAGCTCTGCTCACTGTCGGTGAAATTGACCACAACCCATGCATCGGCGCAATATCCACCACCTCGCTTGAAGCAGATCACAGCCTCATGCCCATCCTGCACCAGCTCAAAGTTCCCGTACACCAAGCTATCTCGGTAATCCTTGCGGGCTTGCAGGAGCTTCCTCCAATAGCTGAGCACACTCCCTCCCTCGCCATGCTGCTGCTGCGCATTGATCTCCGGGTAGTTGTCATTCACCCTCATCCATGGCTTCGCCACGCTGAAACCAGCATTCTTCTCGCCATTCCACTGCATGGGCGAGCGGGCATTATCTCTAGCCTTCTTCCTCAGATCACGCATGAAGATTTCCATGGCCTCTTTGTTGTCTTTGAAACGCTCCACGGCTTCGGCGTGCAGATTTAGCGACTCGATGTCCTTGAACTGATCCATTGACCAAGTCTCTGGCAGGCTGGTCATGCCCAGCTCCTGGCCTTGGTAGATGTACAAAGTCCCAGCCTGGGTGCCGATAAAGGTGGCCAGCATCTTCGCCGCCAGAGTCCGATGCTCGGGACGATGCTTCGTGAAGCGTGAGACCGACCTCGCCTGGTCGTGGTTCTCCAGGAACAGCGCATTCCAGCCATCCACATCGTACATGAATGTCTGCCACCGGTTGACGATGTTTTTGAGCGTGTTGGCATCCCATTTGCGTGGCGAGAACTTGCCATCATCGCCAATATCCATGTCGACAATGTCGAACTGAAAGATCATGTTGAGCTCTTTCCGCTCCGCCGCCACCACCGCCGCCACCTGGCTGTCTTGATTAACGCACGGCATCTCACCCACCGCAAACGCATCATACCGGTCCAGCACCTCACGCAAACCCTTTAGAAACTCGTTCAGCCGCGGGCCATACGAGTGGTGCTCAAAGGCCGGCTGCCACTCTCTTCCGGGCAGCGAGACGGCCGCATCCGGAAACCCAGGTGTCTTGCTGATCATGTTGATAACATCCATCCGGAAGCCATCTACGCCTTTCTCGAGCCAGAAGGTCATGATGTCGTGCACCTCCCGCACCACATCTGGGTTCTCCCAGTTCAGGTCTGGCTGTTCCGGGCAGAAGAGCGCTAGATAGTATTCGCCTCTCGCCTCTTCGTACGCCCAGGCGCTGCCACCAAAGCACGATGCCCAATTGTTCGGTGGGAGCCGCTTGCCGTCCACGAACCGAGGTGCCCGCCAGATGTACCAGTCATGCTTGGGGTTGCCCTTCGAGGAACGCGACTCGCGGAACCAGGCGTGCTGGTCAGACGAATGGTTGACCACCAGGTCCATGACCATCTTCATGCCGCGGGCGTGCAGCGCCCCGGTGAGTTCTTCGACGTCTTCTAGGGTGCCGTAGGGCGCGTGGATTGCGCGGTAGTTGGCGATGTCGTAGCCCATGTCTTTCTGAGGAGACTCGTAGATAGGGCATAACCAGACGGCATCCACGCCGAGGGAGTGCAGGTAGTCGAGCTTGGAGATGACGCCGCGGATGTCGCCTAGACCGTCGCCGTTGCTGTCGACGAAGGAGGCTGGGTAGATTTGGTAGATGCTCGCTTCCTTCCACCAGGCGCGTGTGGGAGGGCCCTGGCGGCCTGGGCTCTGCTTCTGAGTCTGTGATGGTGCTGTAGTCGTCATGGTGGTCGATGGGAGAGGTTGTGTCTGTTGAAACAGGCCTGACGTTCCTCCTGATGAGTGTCCGGTTTTGTAGATGGAGTCTGAAGTCGTTCAGTGCGCATCAGCTACCGTTCCTGGATGGCATGGGCGGATGAGTGTTCGCTTTGGTTAAGGAGGGCTGTTATGGAGAAGTCGCTGGTAGACGGCGCATTCCTCAAACAGGGACACTAATTCTCCTTGGTCGGTGATGGAACGAATCGATATCCATGCCTCGAAAGCGGAGAGATATGGAATGCGACCATAGCAGAGGAAAGGCATACAGAATGGTTGCCTTGTGCTCAAGTCGCGCCGATTGAGAAGCTTGACTTTCGGTGGATAGCCTATAGTGGCTTAGGTGCCCAGGCATTTGGGGGAAATGGCCGGGATGCTGTGGGGGTATGGATATGCTCAAATAGCCAGAAGGATTTTGGCCTGATCTTCCTGCTCTTACAACCTTCTCTCCTGGTCATGTCATCTTGAGGTGTCGGCGCAGATCAGCAGGCCGTTGTCGTACGACTAGTATGTTTCTCGACTGGCAATGGTGGTGTCGATGCAAGTAGTGCGATGATACCGGCGGCTGAGACTATCGTCCAACCCTCTGGAACATTACCGTCTTCCAAAATGAAGAATCAGTCGTCGACAACATACAATTTCGCCTTGACATCGTTCAAATACGGAGTCGTCAATATCGCAAGACACAAGTCCTGTGACAGATGCCGTCGACGAAAGACTCGATGTGATGCCCAGGAACCCTGCGTTTGGTGTTCTAGAGCAAGAACCTGCTGCACTTACTTGATGCCTCACCGCCGGACGGGGCGGAAGCCAAAGAAGAGGCGAGTTGGGACACATGAGGCATCCGTGACTACTGAAGTCGGCGACATCGTGCATGAGGGGGAGGTGGCTCGTGGGCTTGGTCTTGGCCTTGAGGATGACAGCAAGAAGGGATATGGTCATCACAGCAAGCCAAGTCAGAGCTCGCACGGACTCCTTGATCCTCGAATACAGTCGTTAAGCATCCAGTGTGATGACCTCCCGAATGCATCAACGACCGACCCCTACCCACACGAGACAGTCATTATGGGGTTGGGTGGCAGTCCCTGGTGTGCCAGGAGCCCCGGCTCGGAGATTGAGCCAATATTAGATTGATGGGCAAATGCCGTTGAAGTCCAGCCAATACAGCAGTCGAGGCGTAGGGAGTCCTAGTACCGTACCTAAGCAGGCAGTGAATGAGCGTCACCGAGTCAGCCTTGCTCAGCCTCGTCCGGGCTTGGCGTGTGCCGACACAAACGACCTGCAACTTTGTCGATCTCCTCGGGTCTTGAATGCGCCTCACTGCAACATGTAAGCATTGACATGCCAGCTTCGCATCAGCTCGAATCTTGCCACTTGCACCATCGCTGCGCACTGCAACACTTGATACTGTGTTTGTCCGAAGAAGCCGAAGTTAAGCCTTGGAGCCGCGCTGCATGACGCAGCTTGCCGCCGTGCCAACCCCAACTCAACCCACCAGCTTCCAAACTGCACCTCGATCTTCTTCCCTCCAAGCCACTCTCCATTCGTTGTAGTCTACGTTTCATTCTTAACTAAAATAGGTCGCCTTAATTGCTTGTACCAGGACCTGTGAGGGGCTTGTACCTACTACAAACTGACACGCGTCCTTTCCCCGCCGCAGGCAGCCGTCATCCCACCTGTCACATGCTTGGTACCTGCATAAAGGCCACATGTCCATGCCAGCAGAAAATCCCACCAACCCCAACGCCATTCCTCAACGCTCTTCCTCGACCGGCTTTGTGAATGGCGTGAACCATCAGCCATCCAAATCCGTCCTTCGTCCTCTCCCCGAAGAGTCTTGGATTTCGCAAAAACACACCTCCATGACTCCAGGCAGTCCTCCTCAGCCTGCCGCCGATCGCGTCAATGGCCTCAAGAGCTCCCATTCGAAGAAAAAGTCACAGTCAGAGAGTCTCCCTCCGCGACGCATGGGAGAATGGAGTCCTGCGAAGGAGAAAGTCATCCTTGGGCCGTACGACTATCTGTCGGCGCACCCAGGCAAAGACATTCGCTCAGCTTTGATCAATGCTTTTGATCAGTTTCTTCGCGTCCCACCTATGTCGTTGGCCATCATCACAAAAGTCGTTGGAATGCTACACACTTCGTCGTTGTTGATCGATGATGTGCAGGATTCGTCACAGTTGCGCCGTGGTATTCCGGTAGCCCACAACATCTTTGGCACGGCTCAGACCATCAATAGCGCCAACTATGTCTATTTCCTGGCGCTCAAGGAGCTTCAGAAGCTCGAGAACCGAGACGAGGCTATGGACATTTTCACCAACGAGCTTCTGCACCTGCACCGCGGCCAGGGTATGGACCTGTATTGGCGGGATACTCTGACATGCCCTACCGAAGACGATTATCTCGAAATGGTGCAAAACAAGACTGGGGGGTTGTTCCGTCTGGCGGTGAAGCTCATGCAAGCCGAATCACCCGAGAGAGGCCATTTGGACTGTGTGCCGTTGGTCAATCTGATGGGTCTGATTTTTCAGATATGCGACGACTATCTCAATCTCTCATCTGGCCTGTACACTCAAAACAAAGGCTTCTGCGAAGATCTGACGGAAGGCAAATTCTCCTTTCCGGTGATCCACTCGATTCGGTCGAACCAGGGAAATCTCGAGTTGATCAACATTCTCAAGCAAAAAACACAAGACGAAGACGTCAAGAGGTACGCTGTCAAGTATATGGAAAGCACCGGTAGCTTCGAGTACAGCAAGAAAGTCATTCGCGAGCTCAAAATCAAGGCTGTTCAATTAATCCAGGAAATGGACGGTGGAACGGGTAAGGGAGATGCGATCAAAAAGATCCTCGATCGGATGGATGTGGATCAATAGGTGCGCATCTCGGCAGGGTGTTTTCATATGGATCTTTCTCTGCGCATGCTTGCCATGCTGATTTGTACGATACCATGAGCGCAATGATATTAGCGATCCGGGCAGAGGCCTCATAATGCGAGGGATGCAATCAGGTTGGAATTACTCGATGCAATAGTTCAACACTTTTCGGTCCGTGGCCTCCACCACCGACTGAGTTTCTTCATCAGCTCCATCCCTGTCCATCCATCTCCTACCCGTACGCCTCCTGTACGCCGCCCTCTCCATTGCCTCGCAGACACCTCCCTCAAACCCCCTTCGCTCCCTCTCCAAAATCTCCCTAACACGCCCACACCCCCTCACAAATGACTCCCCCTCTCCTCCTCCTTCCAACAATCGATTCAACTTGGTCTGGTGAGTCGAAGCTGTGGTGCTCTGTGTGCGAAGCTGGATCGAGGTTGGAGGCGGTACGTACGTAAGGTCAATGCTCTGACTTGTGTGCTGGAGCGTGCGGCTTTGATGCGAATAGAACACACCGGCTTGGAGTCTAACATCAGACTGCCAACGACGCCGGACGGGATCCTCTATATCACGCCGCCATGGCCTCAACCGCTCCACAGCAAACCTCTGTTTCGATGCTAACTACCATAAACTTCACCACATATCCAGCCCTTGCGCCACGTTCAAACGAAGGCCACTAAATCCGTACAATTTTCCGCCGTCGATGTCCTTCCACTGCCGAACCGACCAAACAGAAAGACCGATATCCGGGTCCCCACCCTGTCATTTCTATCCATAGATTGCTATGCGTACCGACCAGCGCCAGGTCCAACGATTTCCGGATGTACGAAAGTCCCAACTTCTGCTCGCTAGGCGCCGCGATTGAGAAGCCAAGTCGCCGCATTTCCCTCTCTGGCAACTCACATCCTTGTACTAGCGTGCACAACGCTTTGTATCGAGAGTGTACGGGGCAGCTTGGTCGGAAATAGGTGATAGTGTGGCACCTCATCGAGGCAGTCCAGGAGGAGCAACTAGCTTCGTGCTGTGATTGGCTGCGTCGCTTACGTCAAGTGGCTTGACCAATCAGCGCGGGCTACGAGCACAATTATCACAGGCCATGCGAGGGTGGCTAGCTGCGGGAAATGCGAGGTACTACTCACAGCGCCCTGAGACATATTTCAAGTATAAGAGACCTCCCCGTCTCCTGCCCCTCGACGAACCCGTGTGCCCAGCAAGATCCCTCTACGCAACCACCATCCTCTCACCGTAGGGGCCCATCTACCCGAATGCGCATCGCAAGAACCTCCATCCGCCTCAACCGCTCCAAAACATTGCTTTTCGAACTTTGACGAACAAGCACAACGTAATCTCCACCTCCTTCTGCCCTGGACTCAACATGACACCCTACAACCCCACCCACTACCTCCTGGACCGCGCCCAAATCCACGACACCATCACCAAGCTCTACACCCTGCTGGACCAGCACCTCTGGTCCCGCCTGGCCTCCAGCGAAGTCTTCGCCCCGACTTTCACCGTCGATTACTCCTCCATGTTCGGCGGGCAGCCGCGGGAGACGACGCCGGGCCAGATCGTCGAGCAGTGGCGGGGCATGCTGGAAAAGTGGACGGGAGCGGTGCATGCGCTTAGTGGGGTGTTGATCGAGGGGCTGCCTCTGCCGTCGCCGTTGCCTTTGGGAGCTCTCCAAGGTGCTGCTCGCGCGGGTATGGGTGATGAGGTTGCGGGAGGGGACGTGGAGGAGACGGTGACTCAGGAGGAAGATGTCACCCACGCAAAAGTCTCGAGTTACGTGACGGTGCATATCGTCAAGAAGGGAGCGGAGGGCGGGGAGCAGACGAGCAATGGCGGGATGGGCGCGTTTGAGGTGGTGAAGCTCGGGGTGGACGAGTGTCGGGGGCTGTATGGGGAGGGGTGGGATGGGAATCGGTGGCGGATTAAGAGCATGAAGCCTAGGGTGGTGTGGTATGAAGGGAACGCGGAGGGGATTTTGGGCGTCAAGGGGGTTTGAGGGTGGATGTGGATACGTGCACATCGTTCCTTCGAGTAGAGATGCGTCCAGGGTCGGACGCTGTTGCTCGTGTCAGGGAGTGAACTTGGCCATGATCGGAGAGGTCAAGCTAGGACACCTCCCCACTCATGAAGGCGTTCCAATCACCATATTGGCAGCAGAAGCATAGACCTGAGCTCTAATCCTGCCCATAGGTGTGCTAAGTGAGCATGCGAGGTCTGAGTTTGTCTAGCGTTGTGTGTTGTATATCATAGTAGGTGAGCAGAGCAGTTTATCTTATTGCGTCTCAGTACTCCGTATATCTATCTTGATATATACATGACTAGTGGATTGCCCCTTTGTTCATGTCGTGTAGTGTGTCATGCTCTTAAAAGCCCCCTCTAAATCGTCGCGCATATGCGCACTCTACATGTATGCTCCTTAGCTTCATGCCTAATGGCAAGTTCAAAACCTCCTTACCAGGGGTAAAAGCGCCTCTTATTCCACATGTTCGTTATTGTCAATCCGGCAATGGTATTCGTGCGAAGCGCCAAAATCATAAAACCCCACCCCCGATATTCAAATCCCGGTTGCTCTACGTCTTCTGCAGCATCTGCATGCCAGCAGTATCCATGGACTGAACCTGCGCTCACCCCTTTCTTCATACGTCGTTTTTGTCGCTCCAACCGAATCCAGGACCAGCAGCAGTATCATCACCACCAGCGCCACCGCCAGTACCTTCATCGGACTCAAAGCTCTTCAACACCAACTGCGTTTGCACCACTGCCCTTTCAAATCGATACGTCACTCGTGCCAATGCCCTCTCCGCCAACTGCCTACACCGCCATCCAAAGCGACGGCGCGTCTCCTTTGCCTCATCTTCCGCTCTTCTATTGTCGCCCTCCACCTTCCGCCACCCACTGTAATTCTCCAGCTCGCCTCCACCGTTAGCAGCGTCAGCCCCCACAGCCAGCATCGCATACACCAACATGCGCTCGTTCGGGCTTTTTTTGCGCCAAGCCGCGCACGATTCTCGATGTGAGGGCATGTGTAGCGGGCCAAGGCGCTCAGCTGTCATGGAGTAGAAGGCGCGGAGTGTGACATGGCTTAGATCGGGTGTTGCGGTGAAAGGATCAATGTCTAGCGAGAGGTCGGGCAGGGTTGATGAGGTAACTTTGGTCGAGATGGTCGTGTTGGTGCTAGATGTAGAGACGGGGCTGAAAATGCAGGTGGAGCTTGAGTCGGGGCGTACACTGCTGTTGCTGCTGCTGTTGCTGTTACTTTGGTTGGCGTTGAAGGGTGGCTGAGAGGGTGAGAGGTATTGATATGGGTCGCGGTGGTCGGTGGGTGGTGTGGGTGGAAAATCCGCTGTGACGGGATGATGAGACTGGCCAGACGGAGGCTGCTGGAAGTATGAAGGTGAGAACGAGGATGCATGCTCAACAGGCTTGGTGTTTTCTGAAGAACGACGGACGCCAGGACTGACCAACCGGGGTATTTCGCAAGGGATGCCTTCATCGCGGCGCAGTCGTTTCGTGGGCCGGTCACTCTCTGTTGCAGTCTCTGCAACTGATTTAGTGACCTTTCTCGACCGCCGTCGGCGTACTCCTGTAGTGTTGGTTTCAAACCTGCACTCGAGCTGATGGCGCCTGCAGGTCGCACATCCAGAATTCTGCAGGCGGCATTTAATCTTCATTTCCCGGCATCGATGGCATGCTTGAGTCGACCGTTTGCGTGGTTTGCCGGCGAGTGTGAGGTCTTGCTGGCCAGTGCTGACCGGGAGCGTAATCGATGAAGCTGGAAGAGGTGGAGGAATGCTTCCCCGAGGTTGCAACGCCTTCGTATTGGGAGGGTGGCCTGGCTGAGACTCGTGTACATCTTGTGGTGACTGCATCGATGGCCCTGGTGCGAAAAGACCAATATGGGATGCAGAAGCTGAAGGGCTGAGCTCAACTTTGGTGCCATTGAGGATGTTGGACAAGTCGCACCGCTCGTGTGGACGTGCTTGTGGTACTTGACTTAAGGTCTCCGAGAGAGTTGACGGAAGTTCATTTGATGGCGCAAAGGGTCGTCGCGCTGGATCCATGCCTTCCAGTGTCGAAACGAACTGATTGAAAGATGGCAATGTTCTTTTGCCAAACCCTAGCGGGGTAGTGGGCAGCGTAAAATCTGGACGGTTCACAGCCATGATTCCTGCTTCGTACTTCAAGGTGTCTTATACATAAGCCGTGATGATAGCGTCCAGAATGTGGTACCAGTAAAGCTGGTCTGCTATAGTGATGCGACGAGCGAAGATGAGGTCCATACACAGATGTGAGATCTAGAGGCAAGTTGAAGCGGATGCGAGATGGGTGCGAGATCTATGCGAGATCTGAAGGAACCTGAATTAGTAGGATCGATCGACCGCCTCAAACAATGCGCCCGGTACGAACCATGAGCACGCAGGGCCGGGAATCAGACCAGGGTAAGACCAGGAGCCTGGTACGGGATCGTCTCACAGTCACAGGGCACGCCAGACTTAAAATTCTGCTTTCAAGGCGCAATGAACAGCAGGGTCCTGACGCCTCCGGGAGCGGCAGGGCCAAAACCACGGCAGGAACCCAAGTTCGATAGACACGGGAAGAGATGCCTGGATAAGCTTTCCCGAGGCAGGAAACTATTGTCACCAGCTGAGGTGCCTAGGTGGTGCGGTTCCAGATACACTACCTGATATGTTTTGTTTTGCTACCTGGTTGCAGGCCACGGGATGCGCAACGAGTCGTAGACGTCAACAGTGTGCCGAGGGCGCACCCATCTGACGCGAAAGTAGATGTGGTAAGGAGACTTTGACTGGACCATCCAGGTGCCACGGTTCAGCGGAATTGCGTTGCCGACCCCTGGGTGAGGCACGGAACAAGGTGCATGGAACTGCTCTAAGTCTAGGAAATATATTTCCGTAGGATAGCGTGATGAGGCGTGTTCGAGGGTGACGACTAAGGTCCGGCCATCGTGGTTGGCTGGAGTCAATACAAGCGTAGCGCTGATCTTGTGTCCGATCCAAGGGTTCATCCAGAAGCAGTTGTCCCGTACGGATGGCCAAGAACATCTGGCCTGGATCAGGACCCGCGCCGCGTGAACTTTCTCGGCGAAGGACCGCCCATCTGACCGCGAATCTTACAATGCCATGTTCGAAAGAAGGGTGCCAGGGCATTCTGAGTGTCGTCATGAAAGAATGTGGCGTGCGTGGCGTCCCATTCCGATTCATCCGGCGCTAAGAATGCTCAGCAGCTCTTGATTTGGAACAGAGCTCACGCAAGCGTGTATTGTACGTACAAACTCGTTGCTTGTGGATTGATTGAACCGTGCACATGGTCGAGCTATGCTTTGCGCAAACCTTGGACGAGCTGGCACTCCGCTATGGACCCACCGGTTGGCCACCAGGTCTGACGGCAAGCTGGTGACCGCAGCGACCACGGCGAGTTCATTGCGCCACAACTACAGGCATGATTCGATCGACCCAGATTGAGTGCCGGCTAGAGCCCGGCAGAGGCCGTTAGGTACGATGCTAGTGCATTTATCGCTGGTGCAATATGCACGATATACAGATCCCAGTCCAGCCTCCGTACTCCGGGTCAAACGGGGCTAGTGTCGCCCGGCGGCACGTGCTACCCCTAATTCATGCATACACAGTACGTACAAGACGTGATGCGAACCTCGCGCGGTTCGAGCTCCACTGTTCTGTGACAGCTTCTTCACGACATGAACTCTTCAGTGTCGTATCTCATTGATTTTCGACTGCTTCGCTTATCTTTGATTTGACGAGGAGACAGAAGGGGCGGTGGAGGGGCGAGAGGATCATCATTGTAGGGCACGTTGATGTCTGGGATCGAGGGCGCCACCGACGATCTAGCAATGAAGTCAAAGGCGCGCTGGGTACCTGAGCGCTGCAAGGCCCGCCTCTGGTGTAAGGAAGGGGACTGTGTCTGAACCTCGGGCTGGCGCTTCTCATCTTGACCGTAATGATCGTAGCCAGGTTCTTCCGAATAGGCCGGCGCTTGTTCATACTCCGGCTGAGCATGTCGATTAGTGTCAATGCTCTTGTTGCGCTCAGGAAGAGTCATAGATCGGGGGTTTGGATCCAGGGAGGTGGTTCTTGGCGGGGTAGGTTCGTTGCTTCGGACTCGCCCAATACCGTTGTTAACCTGGTTGCTGTTGCCGTTACCATTGATCGGGTTCTGACGACGCCACGCCTCAAAGTTGGCGTAGCGGTCGACAAGCTCATCAAACGACATCCACGCTCTCTCGTCGGCGGAAAAGAGGCCTTTGCCATCTTGCAGGACCAGGTCGCGGGTCATTTCCTCATAGCCCATCTGCTGACACAAAGTCATGTAGCGGCTGTTCATCTGTGCGTTGGTCATGCGGGACGACCGCTGTAGGGCGGCCATCCGGCGGCTGAGCCTGCGCAAAGTGTCGGCAGCCTGGATCACGCTGTTGAAATAATTGCCTCTCAAGTCATTCCATTCGGTATACACCTGGTGCCACTCGAGGGCTGCATCACTGTTCCACACGGAGGGGTCCATTTTGGTCGTGTGAAGCAGCTAAGACAAGTCGAATCGTGGAGGTGGAGGGTGGAAAGGGCGGAGGTGGCTGGATTCAGGGGCAGGTGCTATCCTTGGCGCGCTGTTTACGGCTTAGTTCGCTTTTCGGCAGTGGCCGACACCGGCGTCATCGCTACGGCGCGTAGAGCCGACCAATAGTGCAGTTCTCCCGCGTCGTGCTCCTCGAGACGACGCTTTCTTTGGCCGCGCTCCTCTCTCCTTTCTCTTCTCTCCTGTCCTCTTTAGCATTCTCCCTAGCGTTTTGAAGAGTCTCTATAAGCTAGTAGCAGTACGCAGACGGGGTTTGTACCGTTCAATGTTCTGGCATCACGCATCACAAGACTCTGCTGTACTCACATACTGGCTGACTTCGCAAGAAGAGTGCCTTGACATCAAATTCTCCGGTGACGGACGGTCTGACTATTGATGTCCGCGGCGATGTGACCTCGACCGCCCAGATCGGATACAAGCACTACCGCAAACAATCTTACCTGCATTGGTGCCTTGACACGTCAGACTGCGAGTCGGGACGCCCAAAGCTTAACTCATCGTCTGCCTCGTGTCTTCAACCGGTCATCGTCAGGGCTCTGGTCCATAACTTGGCTGCAGCTTACGGTACTGGCCTCAGAAGCACGGCTTGACTGACGTCTGACACGTTGCGACCTTGGCTTATTCTTCATCTGGCCCCCATCAAACCGTTCTTACCTACCGCTGCACCGTCTGAGATGAGCATCAGACTAGGATATCACCAGCACTTGCAAATGGCTCTGCTCGTGGGGTGGGGCTGCTCCGTATATCAAGCCATGCGAGCCACTGCCAGCTTGCCATCGCACGGGTCTGCTTGCCAATGACAATCTCTAAGCTCAACAGCAGCCGTGACACCTTCCTTCTCATTCTCTGCCCGCCATGTCTTCACACGGCTACCACGTCCTCATCCTCGGCGGTGGCGTCGCCGGACTGACAACTGCCATGGCTCTCATCAAATGTGCCCCACCTCACCTTCTACCCAAGGTCGATATATTCGAGATCCGGGACGAGCCAGGAACCGTTGGCGGAGCCATCAATCTGACACCAAACGCCCTGCGCCTGTTGGACTACCTAGGCGTTTACCAGATCATCAAAGACAGACAATATGGCATCACTGTTGATGCTGTCGAAGTGTTCTCTGTATATTCCCATCAGAAACTTGCCGAGTCCTCGTTCCGTGGGCCAAACAATCAAGGCATTGGCAGCCCACCCTACAAAGTCCAACTTCTATTCTTCCATCCCAGTCCGTCACTGACGCACATCAGGCCATCCGTATAACCCGTGCCTCCCTCATGCATGCCTTGATCGCCGCTCTGTCCGACCACCCCAACATAACCCTGCACCTCGGCCATCGTGCCGCCTCCATAACCGAAACCTCCACCTCGGTCACCGTCAGCTTCAACGCCCACCCTCCCCACACAGGCGACATCCTCCTCGGCTGCGACGGTGTCCACTCCTTCACACGCAACCACCACGTCGACCCCACCCGCCGGCAGCTCTACACCGGCGTCGCCAACGCATTCGGCTTCGCCCCACTTTCCGCCAGCGACCGCGCCGCCGCACACTTCGAGACCTCGGCACTCAACTTCTCGCGCCACGGCCTCCTGCTCACCAGCTACCACGAACCAACACGCACCTCGGGCTACGTCGGCGCCATCCTCGCCACCCCCGACGTCGGCAGCCGCGAAGGGTGGCGCGCCCGAAGCATCGACCGCGATGCCGTGCGTCGCGACGTCATGGGCCGCTTCGGCAGCGAAGCGGGCTGTGTCCTGCCCAGCGTGCGCACCTTCATCGAGAAAGCCGCCGACTGGTTCCTGTGGCCCGTCTACATGGTGCCGGAGGGCGGGACGGGGAAGTGGGCCACGGGCCGCACCATGCTGCTGGGCGACGCCGCGCACGCCATGCCGCCGCAGGGCGAGAGCACGGGCATCGTGCTCGAGGATACGGTGCTGCTCGCGCGCTGTCTGCTGGCGAACCAGCTCCTCCACGACAGCGGCAGCAGCGACAGCGGCAGCAGCGACAGCGGCGGGAGCACCGGAAAAGACGACAGCGTCACCGTCATCAAAGAGGCGTTCGACGCCTACGAGAATCTACGGAGAGGCCGCATCACAGCCGCGTGCAAGGAGAGCATGGCGGTCGTGCACAGCGTCGCCGCGACGGGGAAGTGGGGCTTCTGGCTCAAGACGTCCATTGCCATCCCCATCTTTCTACGGCTGGGCCAGGCAAAGCGCATCAGGCACTTCGAGGAGGATGTCACGACGTGTGCGCTGGGGTTCGGGGAGCAGATGGAGCAGAATAGGCTGGTGGTGGTGCCGACGGCGGGCGTGAAGGGTGTCGTGTCAAGCGTGCTGGCGAGGATGGGCGATGCGTGGCGGCGGGGAGGGTTGTGGCGCCTGCTTTGGATGCTCGTATCAGGCCGGCATCATTGGTTGAGATGAGATGTGCTGTACTGTGCTGTGAGCAAGCGTCGTCGCTTTAGCGTTCCAGCAGCATAGGGATTACGATTGACATTTACCACTAACCCCTTGCGCACGGTGGCTTTCCCGGTCCGGAATCCGCATTCTCTTTGAGTCTGCCCACGTTGGCTCTGAAGCTTTCTCTGCCCTTGCTTCTTCATCCGGGTTTCTGCATAGCATTCCAGTCGGTTCCGCAGTGTTTGACGTGGATTTGACAATTTGGGGCTAGTGTATCGTTTTTATAAACGCTTTCAAAAACTCGGTCAACGCCCAATAACAAGTGTCATTGGCAAGCGCCGACATGGCCATCAGCTGCTGCAAAGCGGAGAGGTGTCCAGCCAGCATCTGTGCTGCAAAATGGTGACACCTCCTCGCCTGAGAAGATGCTCTTCAGGGTTGAGAGATTACCTCGCATCGAAGCTTGAACGATCGGATGACTGTTCTGTACAACACTGAGTAACAACAGGTTTAGCGAAGGTATCGTCCAGGACTTAGGTGCGCGTAGTCCACTCGAGCATCAGCTGGATCATTTTTCGCCAGAACTCTAACGAGGGAGTGAAGACCAAGCTGAGTCGCGAGCCATTGATTTTACGAGCGCGTCGATCGCGTTCCGAGCAGGTTGCTGAGGCCTCCTTGGAAACCGAGAGTCTGCCGTAAGAAAAGTCCAGAATCTTTCTTGACAACATTCGATCAGCGAGGATCCGAAACCGCCCCTGAAGGTTATTCTGGACCGTCTATGCTGCGAAGTGAGTGGGATGTATACTGTCTCGTGAAGTAGCATTCATTTCCTGCAGCTCGTCACATAACGATAGGATAAGGAAGCTGCAGAACAATTGGTTTTTTTTAAAATAGCCGTGCTTGAGGTCTACCTGTCGTCAAGTCGCAAGGTCGACTCAAGGTTCGACCTGATCTTCTGAACGATCTCCAGGTCGTCTAGAATCTGTTGCTTCTGGAAGGTAAACCGGAGGCTTCTCGCAGGATCGCGGATCTCGACTTTGTCGATCTTGCCCTTGAGCTTCCGCATTTGGCCTTCATGGCCTTTCAACATCTGTGTGCGGCGTAGCACCTGCTCCAAAGCACCCGACTGAAATGCTGTATTGGTCTGTGTGCTATGTTGAAGGGCGACAAACTGCTCAGACAGTACTGTCAAAACCTCGAGTTGATCGCAGAGCCGAACGAAGGCCACGGATGCCTGTCAATAGCTTTTGACAATTTTTCGGCAAGATTCCACGATGTCTTGAGAGAGGGCGGCGAGAGTGATGATACTGGCGACGCCGCTCACTGGGATCCATCTTGGCTCCACTGGGCGTTGGATCTGGTGGAAAATGCCGTCGTGTGTATTAACAACACCTTTCCGCATAAGAGATTGTTGTGTCCAGGCATGAGGTTTTCAGCAGAAATGTAAGTGTCGACCATCATTCAGGCTGGGAAGTGACGATCTGGAGCAGGTAGTGCGACGCCGGACGGTGAGGCACCTCTCCTTCCCGGAGAAGCAGCATGTTGAGGAAAGAGATTGGCTGCGGATTTGGGACGCAAGAACTCGGTAAGCCTTGGGACACGAGGCAGATTCGGCGCAGCATGATTCGGGCGTCCGTCTGGCACAGCCTGGTCATCGTGGCAACTGGCGAGTGAGTGAAATACAGAAGACATTGTGACTTGACACTGCACGTATAGCAAGAAACATGTATCAAGAAACGTGTATCAAGAGTAGAACTATAGGCACTGCGGGGCTGCTCACCACTTCGATAGCGTTGCCGGTCGGCTGTGCTCTGCACTGCACCATATCATGCGGTTGCCAACTCGTTTTCAGGCAATTCGGCCACATCAAACCATTCCTCCTCACCCAGTGCATCTAGCTCCTCCTGGGTCAAGAACACTTCACCCTTCACCTCCTTGGTCGCGGCCAAGAAGTCAAGCCACCGATCCTTAGATTGGACCTTCGCGACTTCCGCAGGTGTCCACCGGCCTCCATGCAGTACTTCTGGCATGTGCGTGTAGCTGGGTGAACTGAGCGCCTTTGGGCTAGCTCCTAACCGCAGTAGGCGACGTGTGATCGAACCATGACCTGCCGAAGCAGCAATATGAAGCAGCGTCCAGCCTCGTGGGTCGCGGGTATCAATATGGAAATTCCCGCGCTGGTAATACGGTAGCAATACATCGAAAGTTGCGTCCCTGCCGTAGAAAGCGGCATTGTGAATGGCCGTCCAGAGAAGTGGTCCAACCTCCTGATAGGGATTCACCCCCAGGCGCAATAGAAGCGCGACTTCATCTGCCGTTCCAAAAATGACGGCACGGTGTATGACTCCGAATCCTTCAATATCCGAGACACCGCCATGCAGCATGTGGAAATCGAAATTTCCACGCTTTGCTAGGGCCTCGACGAAGTCGACTGCGGACTGTCCAACAAAAGCAGTCCGGGACCAGAGGTAGAATAGCGGTGACCATCCGTACGAGCTCACATGATCGAAAGAAGCCCCATTCGACATAAGCAGCCAGATGATCTCGAGGTGCCGCTGGCAAACTGCCCATGCGAGAGGTGAAGTCTGCCTGGAACCAAAGAGAGCATCAACGTCCGCTCCATGTTGAATCAACGTCTTCACTGCTTCTGCTTTACCGCTTTCGATAGCCAGGCAGAGGGCTGTCGAGTTATCTGGCGTCACATCATTTGGTCGGGCTCGGCCGCTATAGAGCATATCATTCATAGTCAGCGTGTCCCCGATCCTGCAGGCTTTCATGAAGGCACAGTCTTCCGATATAATGTTGACAACGGACAGCGAGCTGCCCCCGACCAAGTTAAATGCCAACCAAGCGTTGGTGTGCTGCTTCCACAAGACGTGTATCGCCAACAACTTTGACCAGGGTAGCTTGAGTAGCACGGAACCGGCGTTTGTAGTTCGTTTGCCAGCAGTCCGCCGTGTCAGCACCGCTCCGAAAGATCCCCGGAGTTGGCATTCCCCCATTCCATACGTCCAACGTTGGAAGGTCTCTTGTGTCTGTGCGTATACAGTAGGCTGCGGGTGCATCACTTCAGCCGCAGAGGCTGTTCTGGTGCCTTGTGGCTCCACTAACGGCGTAGGGAAAGTCTTGCTTGTCAAAACTTCCAATTGCCTACTCAGGCCTTCGAGCATGCGGAGCCCGTTGAATTGAGTGAGCCTAGTACGTGTCAGCATTTTCAAAGGATCAAGACGTTTCGTAACACTCATACATTCCAGATACGCTTAGCAGAGCATTTAGGGCAGCATGGGTGTGTATAAGTCTCAACTTGAGGTCCTGAGCTTGGGACTTGCTCCCGAAGACGGCTTTCAAACGAAGACGCATGCCGGAACCGGATGATAGGGCCCGCATTCGAGTTGCAAGATCTCCCAGCTCATTTTCTGTATGTTCGACGGTCTGAAGAGTCGGCGAGAGGACTTCCGGGCTAAGGATATGCTCAATGGTCACTGCCTCGCGAGAAATACAGTCCAATAGGCTCGAGAGTCGTCCAACGTTCTCAAGTACCTCTCGAAGATGTTCAGCCTCGTTCACGGCATCGGAGATGTCGTGGGCAACGGAGTAGACGATCCTGATGGTGTTGGCGAGTGTAGCCAGTGATGCCGCGAGGCCGGTAGCTTCCATGCCAGTCCTCGACTATGAGCGATGTAGAAGGCGATGATTGATGTTTCCAGGCAGCGTCAGGCGGCTGATGGTAGCATAGGGAGAGCTTGGCATGGGGCGGTGCATGTGAGAAGCAGGCGGCCAATCAGCCTCGAGCGGCCTCTCATATCGATCCGCGCTCGTGGTTGGCACAGCGCCGCCTTGCATATCGTCGTGAGCTATCGTGGTCAAGGCAACGGAAATAAAATATCGTGGTTGTGGCTATGTTGGGCAGATCCGACTAGCAGGGCAGATATTTCTTGTAGGTTCACTGACGGGACCTCGCTGTGAGCCTTGACTTTGCTGCACTTCTTTCGCTTCTTCAGCCACCTCACCAAGTTGCCTCGACCCGCTTAAGTAGCGGTTCGATGTGTTTCGCAACTCGAATTGCGCGTGCAAAATGATCTCATATGTGCCACTCCCCTCCAACGAAGTTCGGCCGCTGACGCGTAGCTCGTGAACGGTGCGTTCGAGTGTATGAAGAGCCACTAACACTGCCTCACACAGAGAGAGCCAGCCGAGGACAAAGTCGCTCTGCGCCCTGCACTGCCGGTAAAAGCGGCAGAAGATGCTCGGGAGGTATTGCATAAATCCTAGTCTGTGCCCAGTTGCGTGCGACGGGTCAGACAGTATTGATCGAACAAATCCAATCCGCCAGTATCTTTACACCGACGGCTCGCAAGCGTGTCACTTGCGAGGCCGATTCGCAGAGTGCCCACATCAAGCAACTCGATATCCCGCCGAACGACCAGCAATATGTCAGGCAGCGGTAAACCGATTGATCTTGGTGTTGGTGCTGGTGACCCGTGGCCGAAACGGCCCTGAAACGATGACGGGGAACTGTAACAACACGTTGAGTCAAGTCCACTCGTTCTGACCGCAAGCATATTGCTCACAAATGATTGATAGTTGTTCAGGTCGGTGCTTGCCTTGTGCACTGTTGCCGAATCGATAGCGAGCCAAAGTAAGCCCAACGGGGCCGTCAACGATGGTTGTGCCTAGATAGTGTTGATGGCAGTGCAGCATTGAGAGGCTCTGAAGTGCTGTTGTGCAGATTAGAAGTTCGCGCTGGCAGCAATGTTGGGAATTGCACAGATTGGCTCTCGAAACGTCGTGGGACGGTTTGCAGCATCGTCTTGTAATATTGCCTATGTCACTTTCGGTGCCGATCCGTTGAGTATTCGATAGATGGACACTCCTTTGTTGGTACGAGGACTTGCGCTTCATATTGTACCGTACTTTTAGACGAAGCCAAGCTCACGCATATTCTGCTCCAGTTCCTCTTGCTGCTGTTGCTGCATTCCGCAGAGATGAGCGTCGATCCCGAACTGAATCCATTCGACAGCATCGTCGCCACTGGGCAGCGACATGAGCCAGTCAAATATGCGGCCAGGTTTGCCTGTACTGAAGACCGAGTCATGTACACTTAGTTCGTGGTCTTGACACAGCTTGACAACTCTTCGCAGGCTCTTCAAGGTCTGTTGCCGATTGTGCAGGTGGTGCTGCGCCATAGCTAACGCTAGAGCTACACGAGCGGATGCGGGTACCTCGACCGAAACGTGGCGAGCAATTCCGAGGAAATCATGGCTGAAATCCGCAAAGCCTGTATCAAGCATGTCAATCGATGTCGCGGGCGTGACTGGCATTGGTCTCGTTAGCGGTGCCGTGACGATCGCCACTGGTGCTGCGTTGATGAAGTTCAGCATGCGCTCGAAAGCTCGCAACACGGGGAAGGGCTGACCGAAAGAGGCAGGTGACGAAAACTGAGTACTGGCGGAAGCTCAACCAATCAAGAAGCTGCCCTCTACCTCGGTCCAATGCAGTTCGTGCCGGAGTCTGGGGTAATACCCGAGCCGCTGACCACCACCTCTTGGGGTTGTGCACAAACTCCTGGTCAGCAGAGCTCGAATTTCCGCGCGTCTGGCTTCTAACACAACTCGACGATTGCATAGACCACTCACTTTTCAGCCACAGACCCGGTGTCTCTCAAGAGATACACTTTCCTCTCTAACTCCGGCAGTCTTGCCCCCCCCCCCCCCCCCCCCAATCGGTTATCTTCGAGAGCAGTGGTTCGTCTTCTTCCGCGGGTTTCATTCAGAGCATCGACGGGATCGTCGGGACATTAGCAGTTTCTGTCTAGACCAGCACTTACCTCGGACACGGCTAGACCGTATTTCGTCTGTATATACATCAGCAGGAGGCCAGCCACCGCAAGTCGATCCTCATCGAGACCATGCCTTACAAATCTCGCTGGGAGGTCCCCATCCCCGACTGCTCACTGCAGACTTTCCTGTTTGGCTCTTCTGCGAACCTACCTCACGACCCGCCATCGCCCGACAAGCTATGCCTCGCCGAAGCCGACCGCCCGGATACGCATTTCTTCACCCGCGCTGACTTCCAGCGATGGGCTCAACGCTTTGCTCAGGGGCTGACCAAGTCTGGGCTGTTCAAGACTGGTGACCGCCTCCTGCTCTTCAGCCCCAACGACCTGTTTGTCCCGGTTGTCTTCATGGGTACCCTGATGGCGGGTGGCATCTACACGGGCGCCAATCCTACCTTCACCCCGCGCGAGCTCGCCCACCAGCTCCGTGATTGTGAGGCATCTGTTCTCATCTGCCACGACTCTTCTATCACGACGGGCCTTGAAGCTGCCAAGCAGGCCAATCTCGATCCTTCGCGTGTCTTTGTCTTCAACGGCGCCATCTACGATGGCAAGGGAGCGTCCAGCCACGGCGCCCGCTACTGGTCCACGCTCGTCGCTCCAGACAATGATGAATCGCGGCGCTTCGCCTGGCCGGACCTCTCTGGCCCCAACGAGGCTAAGAACACTACTCTCGCGCTCAACTATTCGTCCGGCACGACAGGAGTGCCCAAAGGAGTCGAGATCACCCATCGCAATTATGTCTCCAACACGGTCCAGTCGGCACAGATCACCAAGAACCACCCGAACTATGCCGAGCGTGCAAAGAAGCATGTGTCACTGGGTTTCCTGCCCTTGTATCATGCCTATGGGCAAAATGTCCTCATTGCCGGCAACTTTCACCAGGTGAAGCCCACGTACGTCATGGCCAAGTTCGACTTCTTGAAGATGCTCGAGTATATTGCAAAATTCAAGGTGACAGACCTCAACCTAGTGCCTCCCATGGCCGTCGCACTAGCCAAGCATCCGGACGTCGAGAAGTATGATTTGTCTACCATAAACTTCATGGGATGTGGCGCAGCGCCATTGGGCAGAGATGTTGCGGAACAGGTCGAGAAGCGACTGAACAAGAGTCGGAAAGAGGAGGACTACGTGAACCTGCGTCAGGGTTGGGGCATGACTGAGTATGTTCTGATGCCCTCGGTCCTCCTCTATTGCGCTTGTGGTACTGACGAGGAGCAGGTGCACCTGCTCCCTTCTCGGCTGGGACATCAACCAGTTTGCGGGTACGAATGCCGTCGGAGAGCCGAACGCCAACTGTGAGGCAATGATTGTGGATGAAAACACGAACGAAGAAATCACAGCACGTGGTCCCGATGCCCGTGGCGAGCTATGGTGCCGCGGCGCCAACATCATGAAAGGGTACGCACCCACTGCATATCCGCCCCCATCCCCTCCTGTCCGAAATTTCCTGTGGTCCCATGCTGACAGTCCAACAGATACTGGCGCAACGAAAAAGCCACAAACGAGACTCTCACCCCCGATGGCTGGCTCAAGACTGGAGACATTGCTTATGTTTCCGAATCCGGCCACTTCTTCATCGTGGACCGCAAGAAGGAACTGATCAAAGTCAAGGGCAACCAGGTAGCACCCGCCGAACTCGAGGCTCTACTGCTCGAGCATCCAGGTGTCGCCGATGTGGCTGTCATCGGCATGCCGACCCCAGACGGCGATGAAGCGCCGCGCGCGTTCGTGGTGCGGCAGGCGAACGAGGCTGGGAAGAATGTCAACGAGGCGGAGATCAAAGCGTTTGTTGAGGGCAAGGTCGTACGCTATAAGCGACTGTCGGGCGGCGTGACTTTCGTCGATTCGGTGCCCAAGAACCCAAGCGGAAAGATTCTTAGGAGGCAGCTCAGGGATCAATATCGGGATAAGAAGGAGGGAGCGAGGTTATAGATGGACATGGTACGATATATATTGCTTGCACTCGCGACTCACGTGGGAGTTCTTCGCGGAACAAGAGTGGATTCCGCCCGTCAGTGAAGTTCGATTACTGGCAAGGCAACCGCCAAGGCGACCAAATGGCGTGCCCCGCTGGCGTCATAGTCATACAACAATGTCCTCCTGAAATATTTCTCCCAGGAGAGATCTGCATTAGTCGTGGCTCGTATATCGTCCGCGGGCGGGAAACGCTTCTCGTGAGCAAAACGGCCGGCCTCCATTCCTGTGGGCATTAGAAAGGGGCATGCTCACTCAGCACGCAGCCGGTGTCCTCTCGTCCACCTCGCAGCTGTTCCCGCACAGCACAGCCTGTGATAGCCTAGCAGCCGTGGCAGTCCCACAACAAACCCCTTGAACAAAAGCACGCTCAAAACCATGCCCTCCCCATGGCGCAACTCCCCACACCCCACCAGCCTCCGGCCCTCACACGGCCGCGCGCCCCTCGTCCTCGCCGTCGACGACAACCTTATCAATCGCGAGGTGACCACAACCCCATCACGCCCCCCACCAACCTCAACTCACACCCCACTAACCCCTCCCCCCAGATCCTAACCCGCCTTCTCAACAAACACAGGTACCCGCACCACACGGCCGAAAACGGCGCCGAGGCCGTCGAAGCCTACAGGGCCATGCACCACAGCCTCCGCCTCATCCTCATGGGTACGGACACCCCCCCTTCAAATCATCCCGAGAACCACTCTCTTCCAGATGGACACAACAACTAACCCCCTCCAACAGACACAAGCATGCCCATCCTCGACGGCCTCTCCGCGACACAGCAGATCCGCGCTTTCGAAGCCCAGTACCGCCTGCCGCGCGTGCGCATCGTGGCCATGAGCGCCAACGCGCTATCGGGCCAGCGGGAGAAGGTGTTGGGCGGGGGCGCGGATGAGGTGCTGTTCAAGCCGGTTCGGGAGCGGGAATTGGTGACGGCGTTGGAGGAGGCGGGTGGGAGGGGGGTGTGGGGAGGGGAGTTTTGGATGCCGCGGCGGGAGGGGGTGGAGAGGAGGCTGGGGATGGTTAGGGGGCATTTGGGCGGGGGAGGGGGATGGGGTGGGAATGGGAGTGGGTGGTAAGGGCACTCGCTGGCTGTGGAGGATGGTGGGATGTATTGGATCGGCGGTTTACGCTTGCATCAGGTACGTACTGCAGAGGGTTTATGAAGCGCTACCTTGGCGTGTTTGTATGGACTTCTGGATTTGGAGTTGCCTTTCGGGCCCCCTGCCCCTCTATCTTGGTTCTGTACGCTCTGCTATTTCAAATCTATACCGATTACAACGTCCAGACCTCCTCACCAACCTACTCATACGTTGTCGCCATATGGATTAACTTGGAAGGACTCCCTTCCTATGTTTCATGATTCTGTGCTGCCGTGAGCGGCTACAGCCATGTTGTTCAAAGTCTACTTAGGCAGGAGTTGCCTAGAGAAGGTGCTCTTGACGCTCCCAGCCCCCGAACAGTTGTGAACTGTTGCGCAGTGAGATCGACCGTTTCTCCATGAGGATCTTCGTAGGGCATAATCCTATGAACTGCCGTTGCACTACCCACTAATGCAGTATACGCAGTAGTTCTTCCAGCGATACTCTGGGTCCCGCAGCAACCTAACGTACTAGGCGATGTACTTTGGAAGTATCATGTAGGTCACCGTTAGGAAATTCCTAGCGCTAGGCAGAGGCCCCAGTTATGCACGCGGCACTCCGCGGAACACGTCACCTGCGGAGTGCGTTGCGCTAATCGCAGCTACAACAAGTGCATTCGATTCATTTCAGAGATACGCTGAAGGTATAGGAACGGTGACGAACGGTCCTGAGATACTCCGTATAGTATAACGCACTGCGACTCTACGGGGACTCAGGGCCATCAAGCACCATTATTAGCCATTGAAGAGTGTGAAGAACAAAGCAGAGCCCCCGCATTAGCGAGCACCTCCTAGCACTGGGATCCGCCTCCCCGCTGCAATGTACGTTCCTCGCTTATGGGCTACGACGTTGCGCTCGCCGGTCTTGCTAACTATCAGGGTCGACGAACTTCTCGCCTGCCCGCTCTGTGCCAACCCATGCTCCCTCGGATGCACAAAGAGCAACACAGAGATCTGCTGTCCTTGTGCGGTCGTATTCTTCCACCATTCCCTCCCAATCACCCTAGGGTATTCTCGACGCCCACAGAGCCTTCAGCCCGCAGTGCTTGAGGTATTGATTCATTCACATTAGACTTTCCCACCATGGCGGCAGCACCCGATGCCGCAGCGGATGTGGCTGCCGCGCAAACTCTCGTGCCCGATGTCAGTTTTCTCCAACATCTCGTGTCCATCTCGTGTCCATCTCATCCCCATGGCCAGCCTAAACTGACACTTAAGCGTAGGACGCGCCTGAAGACTCGGATGCCTCCTCGCTCGCCACGGCCGACAGCGCGTCCCTCGCGTCGTCGATCCTCGCGTACGAATACGAAAATGGCCGGCGCTACCAGAGGAAAGACCAATACTTCCTGCCCAACGACGAGGGCGAGCAGGAGCGGCTGGATCTGATGCACCACATCTTTCTGCTCACGCTCGGTGGCAGGCTCTACGAAGCGCCAATCCTCGAGGGTGGGAAGACGCCCAAGCGGATTCTGGACTTGGGAACCGGCACCGGCAGCTGGGCGACGCAGATCGCGGACGAGATACCCGAGGCCGAGGTCGTGGGCGTGGACCTGAGTCCGATTCAAAGTAGTTGGGTACCGCCCAATGTGAAGTTCTATGTGGATGATATCGAGTCGCCTTGGACGTATGGCCCGGACGAGAGCTTTGACTATATTCATCAGAGGGCGCTGTCGGGCTCCATCAAGGACTGGCCCGCGTTGTTCAAGCAAGCTTTTGCGCACACTCGTCCTGGGGGATGGTATGGACGCTTGCTGACTGACCAAGACAAACTGTTGACGTTGACTCTGCAGGTATGAGGCTCAGGAGTATCCGATCGAGGTGACGAGCGACGACGGCACGCACGTCAAGGCCGAAAACGTGAACGAATGGTGCAAAAACGTCGTGGCGGCATGTGATCAGCAGGGGCGACCGATCGCCATCACACGGAGCTTGAAAGGTTGGATGGAGGATGCTGGCTTCGTCGATGTACATGAAGCTGAGTATAAGGTGACAACCCCCGCCCCCCCAAAATACAACATTGAAAGTGATGATGTTAACAGAGAGTGTAACACAGGTCCCACTCAGTCCATGGCCCAAGGACCCCCGACTCAAAGAGATCGGAAGGTACTACCTCGTGCAATCGTTCGAAGCCGCCGAATCCTTCATTTTACAGCTGTACACCAAGGTTCTGGGCAAGCCGATGGACGAGACGCGGTCTTTCATCGACAAGGTCAGAGCAGAGATCGCGGATCGCAATCTGCACATCTACGCACCATATCGCTTCGTGTGGGGCCGCAAGCCAGAAGCTTCGAGCTGAGCTCGCTTCGAGATATGACTGATGATGAGGCAGAGTGTCTTGACCATGCCTCGCTACAGCTGTAGTTGGGGATGGACGGGACACAGCCTGAGATCTAGAGCACGACCTTACAAGGACCAGATAGTAATGAATGCAATGAACGATTCTACACGACACGGAACCACTCTCCGCTGACGCCATCGAGGGGTATTGAGGGAGTGACATGTCTCTGTGGCGAGTGGACCCCTCACGCCTTCTTTCTACACTGGTACTTCGCGCCCTTGAATGACTCCTGCAACTCCCGGGACCACCCTTTCCTAGGCCACCCTTTCCTGGCCAGAGCTTTACCCGCCAATAGATAGATGGTGGGAACGGCCAGAAGGACAGACAACGTAGGCAAAACGCGATCAGGTACGGTGTGGGTTTGAGACCCGCAAGAGAAGGAGGCGCCAGCATCAAGAAGGAGCCTGGAGGCATTGGGAGGGTTGAATGTGTTGCATTGTTATGGTCACGCTCGCTCCGGATAGCAGGACAGCCCCGACATTACGTCGGTTGTCTGTCAGGAGACATAAAGTCCCTGCCCGACGCTCTCGCTACTGGTGATCAGTGGTCTACCCCCACCTTGGATTTCCTGACTCTATTCTATGACCCGAAATTTCGCCTTCATTTTTCGCGCTTGCTGCATGCGCACAAAGTCCATCATCTTCACCCGGTCCACAGCACACGCACGTAATTCTCCAGTACTCCACCCGGTATCGTCGTCTAGTGCTGCTCGACCATAGATCCACGCGGAGATAAGGATGAGGACGACCGATACGCCAGAGGTGAATGGATGGTAGTACTAGTGTCAGGCAGTGAATTTCTTGGCGTGATCTTGACTGCCAATTGATCATTTGGTTCTTGTGAAGCCCGTGGAGTGTTGATTGACTGGATACTGTTTTCCTCGAGATATGCAGCTCATACGCCCCTTCTCAGACCGACATCTGGCTCCGAAGACCCGTGCAACACTCGAGATACGAGACTAAATCGCACTCCTCCCAGCGACACGCCCTTCAAAGTCCTGTGCCTCCCCCTTCAAACCCCCGCCCTCGCCAACCTCCACAACACATTAACCACCGCGCTCGTGGCCATGACATGACTGAGCGTCCTCGGCGGCGGCACATCCGCCAAGTAACTCGCATAATACACCACCACCTTCAACAGCACATGCAACCCCAGCAAATTCACCACCTGCTGATTTTGGGCCTGCGGATCCACCGCCATCGCCGCCCCCGCCGCGAGCGCAAACCCAGCAAAGTTCTCAATCAGGCCGTAATGCGCGCTGCGCAGCCGCAACGGCAGGCCCTCGAGCTTGTGGATGTGTTTGCGCGGACTGTTGTTGTCGAGCCCTTCCGGCATGCCCATGGCTTGGCCCGCGGCGGAGACGGCGCCGGAGGCACCGAAGGCGAAGAAGGTGTAGAGGGCGGAGAGGGCGGGGATTTGGCGCGACGCGGGCAGGGGGTGCGGGCCCAGGCCCGGGATGAGGCGGAGGGTTAGGCCGATGGCGGATTGGACGACGGAGTCGCGGCGCGTGATGGAGGAGGTGATGGGGATGAAGGCGAGGTAGAGGGCGGCGAAGCCGGCGATGGCGGCACCGGAGGGGTTGTGGCTTTTGGGAGGGGTTAGTTCGGTGGTGTTGGGTTGGGGTGGTAATTAGGGGGCAGGTGGTGCGGAATGGGGTGGGGAGAGGTGCCCCCGTGAAGACCTACACGCCATTCTCGGTTGCGACCTCCTTGGCTTTGTCGGCTGCTTTGTCGGTGTTGGATGGTTTGGCCATGTTGTTGGGTGGCTCTGCGCGCTGTGTACGATGTATGCTGCTGTTGTGGCTATTTGCGTCTGGCGCGGCAGCGGCAGGGAGCGTAGAGCGTGGCGGAACTATCTATGTATCATCTGCAGCGCTGGGGGCAGGGCCCAAAGACGTCATGGGCAAAAGCTACATTCTTCCGTGACGTTCTGATGAACCTCGGTGTGATCTCAAGAGGGCGCCAACGCCTGTTCGCTGACCGAAGAAAGCTTGTACAAGATACTTTGGTCTTGACGTGAGGTACGATTCGAGTCAGCCCCGGGATCGACAGCGCCCCGGGGCCCGCAGATCGCGCTTCCTCGATGGACCTTGGGCATGTGGATGTTGCGGCAAAGGACAGCTCCGCTTTTCACTTTACGCTGTCGGTCCCATGCTGGAGATATACAAAGTCATTAAACGTCGACTTGATACCTAAGACGCGGGCACAGGTCTAAGCGACAGCATAAGCGAAGCCCAATAGACTGCATTGCTAAGGGGCAGCCGTCGCAAATATCTGGGCGCATTCAGTGCCTGAAATCACGACCACTCTCGCAATGTTTCAGCGTCTGCTGGATCATAGGCAAGTTGTACTGCTGGATGGCAAGCTCTTCCCGCCAGGGTTGCAGACCTCATGTCGATGGAGAGCCCAGCCACTGCGACTTGTCCTGTTGCAAAATGTCGTCAATCGTCACGATCCACTGGACCGCCCTTTCGACGCTGGGTGAAATACCCTGGTCTGCACAATACATCCAGCGACCAAGCAAGTGGCGCAGATGAGGTCCAACACGGAACAGATCATCACCAAGGCAGGGTTGAAGAGATGGCGTTCGATTTGCAGCCAGCAGCATGGCCATGGTACCTGCCATAGACAAGGCGCATATCCAAGTATCGATCATGACGGTCTGGATGTAGCTGTGAAGATTTAAGATGTGTAGCATGCACGCGTTAAGCCAAACTTTGCACTTCTCGACGGTTTCGGGCGCCGACCTAGAACCGCCACGAGAAAGTGCACTCATAAGGTATGGTCGGTAGATGAGTGCTTTGCATGTGAGATATCGCTGCCGCAGAAATGCGCCATGTTGGCTCTCGACTGGCTGTGTATCAACGGTGAAGCGAAATGCTGGAGGTAGCAGATCACGCCACATAGTCAACTGCTCATCCAGCTCGCTAACCATACTCGGTAGGCGCGGATCACTGATGCTAACACCCCCATCTTTGGCAAAAAGCAGATGGTGAACTCGGTTGAGAAGGCGCCGCATTGATATACAGGCCAGGAAGTAGAGACTCGAATGAGACTCTTCCTGGGGGTCACCATGCGTATTGAAGCGTCCTGGCAGCGGAATTGATGACTCCATCTCAGCGACGCCGAAGCGTGGTAGCGCGTCGAGCTCGGAGACGTAGTCAGATTCGAGGATGAAGCAGGACCAGAAAATCCGTCGAATGCATTCACTGTCGTCGGCCGTTTTAGTGCCGTATGAGAGCAAGACTCTACACTTGGTGGCAGCAGAGCCGAGCATGGACCAAGCTTGTAGCGGCCTTTGAATGTAGGCATAAAATAAGGCTGCAAGCATGAGGCACTGTGCAGAGCCGGTACTGATGTCGCAATAAGCATTGTGTATCTGCTTGATGGCAGCATCGAAGTATACCAGGCTTAGTGATCGAAAGTGGTGGGACAACGCGAATTCGGCGTCATTCTCACGCGGCAAGAGCTCAGAAACGACTTCGGCACCGCAGCCGAGTGCCATGACCAGGAGACTGAAACACGAAGCCAGTGAATCGTCCAAGTCTCCGGCGATGACCTTTGCGCGGCACCTTGTCAGGCCCTGTAGCGTGACGATTGGGTAGGAAAAGTTGACCGTCCGCTGAAATGCGTAGAGGACTCGATCCACGTCCTGCTCGCTAGTGTAGGGATGTGCCAGACGCCTTGAGGACAGCGCTGGCCTTGAGTTTTCCAGGCTGAAGATCGACCCGCCTTGCTCAATGCGTAGAGATGGAACCGAGTCAAAGATAGACCAGCCGAGAACCGCTTCGGTCGTGGAAGTATGTGCCTCGGATATGATGGCGTTGTCTACACCATTGGCTGGGCCCGAATGAGCATTTTGCCGCGGTTGCGATCTCGACGCAGTCTCAGATCCAGGTGAGTCCGCAAACGCACGTGGTCCAGTGGTTGGGGAACGATGTGCCATCACTGTAACGCGGTCGTGGAGCTGGCCAAGCGAACTCTCCACGCGAAGGATGGCATTAAGGATGACATCGCTCTTAGCCTTTGTCGACACAGACTCGGTGCCAAAATAACAGTCGGTCCCACTCTCCCTACACTTGGAGCATGGCGTCTGACCGTCACATCTGGTCTTCTTGACACGGCACGACTCGCAGGCGAAAGCCGTCCGTCGCCGGGCGGTGGGTGCTCGCTCGGACGTAGGCGACTGCTGCGAGGCTGCCGAAGCCATGGGCGCCTGGGTGGCTAGGTGTGTCAAGCACTACATCATCATTCTGCCGATGACAATGAAGCAGCAAGAGAGAGAGATGGATGGTAGCATGGGATTGAAGTCGCTTCCGAGGTACGAGGCTGCACGAGGCTAAGCTTTTCCAAGATCGGGGCTCGCTTGACCCGCCAAGGCAGGCCCTGAATTGGCACACGAAGACGGACTCATTGCATCCGACCAGCTGAAAATGTTAGATGGACCATCTTGTAGGTGTACAAGCGTACAAACTCCTGAGACGTATGCGAGAGAGGAAACGGCAGCAAGGCAGCTCATGGCCTGAGAAAGGCATCCTGGGCTTGGCGTGTTGCCTTTTTTGACATCATCTTGGCGAGCAGCAAAGATTTCCTTCCTAACCAGCAACAACATAAGGACAACGGCTCACTCAAAAGCCATTGAAGTCCAGTGACGCTTCCTCAGCATGCAGCGCTACTTCTTAAGGATTGTCCAATTCATACCATGACCACTGCGCCTCGCGACTCCTCCGGCGTTGACCAAGCCCTCGCGTACGAAGCCACCCACGTGCACGCTGTCTACGAGTCAATTGCCTCGCATTTCAGTTCGACGCGTTACAAGGTTCTGTGATCTCATAACTTCTGACAACTCGGGGCACTTGCTGACCGCAACAGCCATGGCCCGTAGTCGACTCTTTCCTGTGTGGTTTACCGCCTGGCTCCGTCGGCCTTGACGTTGGCTGCGGCAATGGCAAGTACCTGAATGTGAACAAGGATGTCTTCATCATAGGATCTGATCGGTAAGTCCCACAGCTTCAAGTTGCATGAAAAGAGCGGTGCACAGACCGCTGTCGTATGCCCCAATTCCTTGGAACAAGACCCTTGTACGCACACCGCCTTCGCCAAAGCCTCGGACGGCGCCTCATCCCATCGCCAACCTAATATTATGCTCCCTGGAACTTCGCCATGGCGCCCGGTCCGACTCACTTCGTACGACGGTTTTGGCAACCATTTCTCTCCATATGAGAGCAGCACAATTTGGCCCGAGTCATCACCTACTGACCAAGTGCAAACCGACGGCCAAAGGGGCCAAACCCAAACAGGCAACGCCTACTGCCTCGGGGATGACATCGCCGAACTAGAATTCGACGCTAAGTTTGGGCTTTCACGCCGGTTACGCGTCGATCTCCGCCCTACCGCCGTTGCAGGCCCTTGTCGGTGTTCACCAAGCCGGTCAATTGGTCTAGGTGGGCCCGACCGTACCATCGGCCTGCCGCATCATCGTCGTTGACCTCACTGCCGCTTCGATGCTGTGATCGCCGATGCTGCCCAAAATGTGCAACAATGACATTGCAACCTTTACCCCTGCAGATCAGCTAACCTTTCTCCCCCACGCAGATCCTCCAACCTTGTCGACCTCGCTTCGAAACACCAGACTTCACAACCCAACAATGCTATCAGGAACAGCTACCAAGATGTCCTGGTCGCCGATTCACTCAACCTTCCGCATGCCGATCATGTCTTCGACTTCGCAATCTGTATTGCCGTGATCCACCATCTCTCCTCCTTCGAAAGAAGGGTCGCCGCCATCCGGGCCATAGTGGCAACCTTGAAGCAGAACGGCCCGATTCCGTCCAACTCACCAAATGATGCGGAACACATTGGCAGCAGAGGCAAGGGTGTATCAACAGGCGATAGCGACAGTCCAGAGCTTCCGACCTTTGCCCCAACCCTGATCCCGGAGAAAGCAGACCATGTAGAGGCAAAATCAAACGGAAAGCTAGGAACCCGCCCTGTTGGCCTTCCTAGCAGGCATGGTCCTGGCAACCATAACGGTCAACAACATCGCAGCCAAAGTATCTCCGACATTGGAGCAGCCTCAGGCGGCAACGATAACAGTCGTGCTGCAATCCCGGCATTGGATGAACCGAAGTTTTCGGATGACGCAGCCGCAGAACCGAGAAGCAGTTCTCGTGCCGACATAGGGGCTGCGCAGCAGCAGGAGTTTGAGAAGGAGCAGGAACAGGTTTCACGCACGGAGCACGCCACCCACCCGCCTGCCGTGCCTTCGTATGACCGCACCGCGGCCGCAAGCAGGTACAACTCGCGCCACGTGCACAGGCGTGGGCCAGGCCAGGCTCTCCTCTTCGTCTGGGCTCTCGAGCAGCAAGCCTCGCGCCGCGGGTGGAAGGCCGGTGACGCGCAGGACGTGCTGGTCCCGTGGGTGCTGAAGGACAAGGACGGGGCTTCGAGAAAGGAGCCGGCAGGCAGTAACAGCAACAGCAGGAAAGGCAAAAGCAAAGGCAAAAGCAAAGTTACACGTACGAGGTCGAACTTGCAGAAACCCCAAGCAAAGCACGACGGCTATGGTGAGAGTATACCGCCAAAGCCAACGACAGGGACAGAGTCAGAGTCAAATTTGACTTTGACTTCCCACACAGACTCAAACTCAACACTCGCGCATACGCAGGGACGAGGTGGTCAGCAGGGATGCGACGCCGGCAGTGATTTTGACGGTGCTGCTAGCGGTAGTGCTGCTGATGCTGCTGCTGCTGAGGACACAGACGCGACCTACACCGACAGAGTCTTCGAATCCCCCACCAACAATCAGCATAATCAGCACCAGCAGGAAAAGCAGGAAAGTCAGCAGGTCTTCAACCGCTACTACCACCTCTATAGCCAGGGCGAGCTGGAGCGCGAGTGTGTCGCCGCGGGGGCGCAAGTGGTGCACAGCGGCTATGATCGGGATAATTGGTGGGTTGTTGTTGAACCTGGACCTGTCTCGACTGCTTGATCTGAATTTGATTTGAAGCTGGAGTTGGGCCTGGAGTTGAAGCTGAGGCTGGAGCTGGAGCTGCTTGATTCAAAACCTGACTTGACTTTGCTGGATTTGGAGAGGTGCGTGGAATGTGTTTAGACACATGTATATTCCCACGTGTAGTGTAGAGAGGCATCAGACTGGAGTCCAACAAGTCAACAACCCAATAGATTTGACGCTCTCGCAGCGCAGGTCGCAAAACACTCATCAATTCAATCAATACCCTGGATGCTCTGTTCTGTTCTATTCTGCTCTCAGCAAATTACCAATTTCTACTCCTCCCATCGAAAAACAAAGGTGAAAGTAGCGAGCCAACCCGGCTCCCCCCCTCTCCTTTTCTCCTTTTTCCCCCACTTCCCCCACACAAATGCCCAATAGGATCGATAAAACGCTGACGATACATCCACGTTCACAGCGCGCACGCGCACTGGGTTTCAATCTCTATCACAGTTCCACCTCACCTCATCTCGTCTCATCTCAACCCATCCCGTCGCATCGCGATCTATGTATAGTTCCAACAGACTTGAAAAGAGCAAGAAAGTTCCAAGTCTAGAAGTTCATACAATGCAAAATGCGAAATGCGAAATGCAGTATCTGGCTAAAAGCAGCTATAGCAAAAAGAGAAAGTGTCGCTCAGATATACCTCCCCCCGTGCCCCATCCCGCAGTCCATGCCATGATGCTAATAAAAGTGGCGGTAATAATAATAATAATGATAATAATAATACTGCGTTGCGTTGCGTTGCGTCTTGCGTTGCGTTTCCATAGCATTGCCTTGCGATCGCGTTGCAAATCCGTTCATCCTATCTCTCAATCTCAATTGCATGCATCCATTCATCCGCTTGCCGATCATGCTCTCTTGCACCTTATGTAGATGCTCTGATGAGCTGATCAGAGAGCCGCCACTCATCTACCCGCGCTCATCTTATCTCCACACGTTCACCTCCACCTCCACTTCCCCGAGATCGATAACGTCAAATAGCAGTTGGAAAAAAGGCAAAAAGGCAAAAAGGCAAAAATAAAATCAAAAAGCCGAACGATGATGATGATGGTGGTGATAATGCATTCTTCTCTTTCGTGACGGTCGTGCGGGGGGCTCCCAAGGTCCCTTCTGGTGGTAGTGTACAAGGGGAGTGTTTATTTGTTTGTGTGTTTGTTGGTTTTGGGGTTTCTTCTAGTTGCGTTGCCGAAGAGGGATGGTGATGTGGCCACGATGAGGCGGCCCCGGGTATTAATGTGCTTGTGTACGTGCGTGTATGTATATGTGTCTTTCTCTCTCGTAAGTGTCTGATCGATTTCGTGGTTGCTTTGATGATGCTGGTGGTGTCGTCTTTACCCTCGAACGATCCGGCGTGCGTGGTGAGATGGAAAAAGGTGAGTGGTTGAGTGAGTGTTGTGGCGATGGAATATGTATTAGGGAGCTTGCGCGGTGGGTGCAACAGCAAAAGGGATATCTTTAACGACAAGGGGTATTTGCGTAGGAGATTCGTGTAATGGGTGCGTCAGTGCACCGAATGTCGGCCGTGTCTCTTCATGGGAAACGTTGTCTCAAATACTAATACCGTCGCCCATTCATATCTCGCGTGGGTGCACTGGTCGGGAAGTAGCTGCTCGACGACGGCGCGGGGAGCTGGCCCGCGGGTGGTGTGCCGGGACGGTGGGCCATGCTGCCTGGTGGAGGGAGGTGGTCGAATGCTGTACCAGTGGAGAGCCCCCCGGGCGGGAGGCTTCGGCGGCTAGGGTACTCTGAATATGGGGAGCCGACGCTGCTCGGAGCTGTGGGAGTCGCAGCGTGGGCGGCGTGGCCAATGGGTGGCGCGAAGGCTGGGAGACCGGCTGTCAGCTCTGCCAGGGAGGGCAGCTGTGGCGGTTGTCCGGTCTGGGAGAGGGAGCTAGGGCCTGAATTTCGACGGTGGTGTGGCATTGGAGCCGAGGAAATCATGGACGGAGGAAGCTGCTGGATATTGGGGTTGTAATGCCGAGGGCCCATGTTCATTGACGCGTGATTCACAGGCGGCTGAGAGGAGCCAACATTGTTGTTGGTGTTGGCAAGGGCAAAGGGAGTCACGCCAGCTCGTCGAGCCATCTCATGCTCGCCCATCTGCCAGTGCATGGCCTCGGCGGCGCGCCACGGGATGGCCATCTCCTCGGCTATGCGGGACCACATGTCATTCTTGAATCTGTGAGACACAAATCAGTCTTTTTCGGTTCGGAACACGGGCTGCAAAACGTGGTGCGGCTGTGAGAGGTTGGACACAGATTGAGATCGTGTGTCACGGAATGAGAGACATGGTGTCACACAACGATGGTAGCACGTGGGTTCTTGAAACCTCATCCGTCACGCCACGCGGGATGAGAAAGAACCAAAGGCAGAGAAACACTTACCGTTCGTACAGACGGGCCAACTTGTTCTTGCGGTCCTCATCCCACTCACTTCGCCGCTCCAGGTAGTTCTGATAATGTAGTCGGCAGGAGATGGCACTTCGACCGGGCAAATGCTTGGAAATGTCCTCCCATTTCATACCCTCCCCGCGCAACTGGATGATCTTTGTGTCTTCGTCGGGAGACCATTTCGACTGCTTTTTTGCCGGTGAAGTCGAAGGCAAGTCTGCAGTAGAGGCCGTCCGCTTGAGTGATTGAGGCTGTGGGCGTAGCGTGGAAGGAGACGGGCTGGTTCTCGAAGACGGTGCAGGAGCAGCGTGGGGGTTGGAGTGGGGGTAGACACCGCTCGCAACCGAAGTAGCTATGGTTGAAGGTAACGAGGGGACGGAGGCGGTAGATTTGGCGGCTGGAGAGGCGGATAAGGAACGAGCCCTCTCGTCCTCGCCGTCGCCAGGCCGGGCGTCCTTGGGCTTGAGGAGGAGTGAGATATCCACGTTTGTCGATTGATGGGTTTTGGACGAGTTATTAGGAGGGAAGTAGGGTCGGTCGAGGTGAAGAGGGGAAGGGAAATGTGCGAGGACTTGAGTGGCGGCCAGTTTGAAGGTGTTGATGGGTGGTACGCTTGAATTGACAAGCGACCACAGGAATGGGGGTGGGAGATGTAAGAATCAAGAGTGAAGCAAGTAGGCTGAGCGGAAGCACTAAGTACCCAGGACTAGTGATGGCGTCAGTGGGTAAGGTATGGGGAATTTGAGATATTAGCTTGGTTCGGTACGAAGATGTAGGGAGTGTGTGAAGCGAGATTCTTCTCCTAAGAAGCGAGGAAACGGGTTTGTATACGAATCTGAAGCAAGGCACGATTCACGACTGAGGTTGAGGGAACAAGGACAACTAGCGGGTCCCTGTACCAAGAGATGCGGTCAAAGGGTCAGGGAGGCATGAGCAAGGAAATGTGGAGCTGGACCGAAGGTTAGCCCTGCTGTTTAGATGGGGCCGGGTCAGGTGTAGCGGAGGACCGCAGGCTGTGCACGACGAGACTAGGTTGCTGGATGAGATGAGGTGGCCAGACAAAGTGCGGAACTCTCCAAGCATCTTGGGCTTGAAACATACGGGAATCCGTTCGCGTCGGCCCAAAACGAGCGGTTGGATGCAGTAGCGCCCAGGATGACCAGTGAGATGCGTAGGCACAATTGGGGCGGAGGGCGACAGAGCAGAGAGGATGGCCAAGGCAGACCAAACAATAGGCATGTCATGCAGTGGCGGGTGGGCCGCTGGATCAGTACGGAGTAGCTGTGTGGTTGTGATGCTGATTATTCCTCGTATTAGACAAGACATGATCACTGGGAGGGACTCCCCTGCGTAGACGGGAACAAACAGTAGTGGCAGTTAGGTTGAAGCAAAAGGTGGACTCCGACTAGGCTCTAGCATCCCCCGAGGCTCCGGTGTCGAGGTTAGCCGGGGTGTGAGGAGCTCCTTTGGTCAGGAAGATGGGTCATCCTGGAACGTACTAATGGATTGCGTCAAATAGACCAAGACCAGGGGAGTCTTTTGGGAAGTGACTAGCTTTTGTCGGGGGTTTCTTGGAAGATACTCCAAGAGCCCAATGGAGCTTTCCCAAAGTAGACGAGACACGGTTCGTTGGGTTGGAGAAAGAGTTCATCGGGAGGGACAGCCAACTCTAATGGTTGCGAGGCCGAGCGAAGTATTCCGCGGTGGCCGCACGAGCTGTGTCTTTGTGAGTCCGTAAGACAGCGCTGCCGTCATCCTTGTCCTCTTTTGCATTTGCATTTGAGCAAGCCACAAGCCGTCATACATAAGTCTCTGTTGCCGCGGGTACTGCGCAGATACCCCAAGGAAGGCCAGTAGAAGATTCCATGTCTCAAGCCCTGGTCAGTTTGGCACTGCCCATCCTTGCCTCACTGTCAAGCAGTGACCCAATGGGCCCCACCCCAACCAGATTGGCAGTACGTCGTTATTTGGGAGGCCAGCCTGATGTGCAGCACACTCGGTGGCAGCCATGGTGCGTTTGCCGGTGAACATGGCACAAGTCCGGCAGTAGTAAGGCTAAAAGTTGGCCATCAGACTTCCGGGAGCAGCCTGCCAGAAAGGGGGGCCCCCCTAGACTGCTGGGCGTAGGGGGATCGACCCTATTCAGTAGGGCATTGAACTTTGATTCTGTAAGTGTGACCGGCCGCAACATGCGCCGTTGCAGGCCATCCACAGTGTCTCGTTGGGTCATATCGCGCAAGTCCGGGCTGGGTGTATGTGTGTGCTGGCCTTTCCTCGGGCCAGCATTGCAGACGGCAGCAGTTTCGGTGTGCTGGCCTGCATGGTGTTTGGTTCGTGGTTGTTCACCGCTTCCCATCGTCCAAGACACGTACGCATCATAAGCGAGTCAGGTTCGTCACGCGGACGGTCGACTATGTGGCGCATGCCGCGGAGGATGCCCATCATGGAGACGGTGGGCCGGGTCGCACGAGGAAACGATGGTTTGGCAGCCCAAACTAGCGAGGCGAGATGACTTGCTCCAGAGGCTGCTCTTCAGGCACGAACAGCGCATAAGCTGGCAAGGAACTGCGGATCGCCAGACCAAAGACAACTCATCACATCACAACCATCGATCAATGGCAGACAATCAATGCATTGTCTTTGCGAATGGCGGTGTCTACACCGACATTGTTCACTGTTTGTTGTCTTGGTGGTGCCTGGCACTTTGGTCCGTTTCTCCAAACCAGGTGATCGGCTCAGCCGGGCTTCTCTCGCCAATTCTCGTGTTAGCCCTTCTGACCTCATCGTCGTTGTCTTGGGGAGCAATTTCACTTGGTCGCTGGTGCTGGGTTTTCCCGGCGCTCGCCTTTTCGTTTCAGCATGCTAGGCATCGGATTCGCGCAGCCGAAATCAAGCCACCGCCTAGTGACACCACAGAAACTCCTCCCACCCCCTGCTAATAGCTATCAGATGCTGCATGGAACCTTCCAAAGCGCTTCCATGGACGCCGTCATGGTCCCCCGGTGACACCATGCACGTAACAGACCTCTGCCAATCTCGTTATTCTTAACAGGCCGGTCTCCCCGCTGACCAGTCAGATGCCATTCCAGGGGTAATTTCAAGACTGAAATTGCCCGATCCTCGCCCAGCTGTGGTTGCTCGCGTGGGGCCCGGAGGCGTTCGAGAAACGAGCTGTCACTCGCGCACTACTTTGCCTGCCAGGATCGCAGAAGCCCTTCCATCCTTCGAGAAGACACAAGATGAACCCGCACTGCTTTCTCTATGCTACTACGAGGCAAGCGTCGGTGCGACATCAGATAGTCGTGCTCGTCATCTCCTGTCACTTTCCTGGGACGAGCTTGCGCTTTTAGACTGGAGTAGGCCACCCCCTACTGTGCAACGGCTCATGACACTCGCCCTCCTTCAGGAGTGATATTATTCGAGACTCCCTATTCTGTTACAACCAAGTCCCTCGTGCAAACTCAATTATGAACTCGGTCCACTCGCCCTACAGTGCAGCCATCGCGCGCACCTACCTCCAATGCTCGTCCACCGTTACCCACTTTAGCTAGAGGGAGCCACTAACTCGTCACTGGAGCCCAACTTAGGACATGTCAAAGCCACGCGACGAAGTTATTTGCAGCAGTGCTTCCAGCAATTTAGACCCAGCGAACTCGATAACCTCGCATCTATTTCCGAGGAACCTTCTTTTTGGGCACCAGATAAGCCTACGTCGAGCCTCATTCACTAGAAGATTCTTGAAGTTGTTCCAATCACTTTACGGAGCCTGTAACAAACATGGCAACGAAGCAAGCTTCCCATCCCCACGACTGGAAGCACACAACAAGTATAAGCGAGAAAACAATCTTCTGACACGGAGATGGACGAGTTGTACAGTACTTTGACCTTGAGCATTATCAATCTTTATCTCGGCCAGGCCATCGGAGAACACACCCGATCAGAACAAGTTTACGCCAGCTCGCTTGCCAAAACGCCTCTCGGCAAGCGGCAACGAACAAGCAGACCAGATAGCAGCAGCAGCCGAAGCAGCATCACCATGATCCACAGTTTCTTTCTTATTCTCCGAAGTAAGTATCTAATCCGTTCCAATATACGGACATATGCAACGAGGGGCAGGGTTATAGAGCCACTGCAGGATGCGTGCATACTTCCCCCGCTTCTCGTGTCCGCTAGCTGCAGTCCATCTTCCAACCACGCGCATGAGGAAGAGCAGAACAATGGTACGGAGTAGTGATTGCGTGCGATATGCGCCAACACCGATACATATTCTCCGGTTAGCCGCATGACCACGATATGAGCCTGCAAGATTCATGGAGTAGCTGCAGCTATGCGATGCAGGGAGCCCGGATGCCGCACCCGAGTGGCGGGCTACTGTATGTACTTGTTTCTCCGTGGGGCTGGCGGGTCTGTCTCGGCGGCTGGGCAGGAGTTGAGATCTATGCAAAGTAATGGCTCTCCCAGGTGAGGAACCGGTGGATGATTGCCCATGGGGGGGCATGATTGACAACCAGCGGCGGAACCGTACTTACTACGTCAACGAATGGCCTTGTGTACGCAAATACAGACCAAACTGGTGATGCTCTCGACGAGGCAGCAGAACACATGGCGATAATGAAACCGTTGAGATAGGTTCAGGCATTCCAAAACCGACATAAGAGATACGGTAGCAAACACGTGGCGTTACCGATGGGGAGGCAACTCCGTCCAACGACGTCTGAGTCGACGCCACCACTGCCCCGAACCACGTCTACCCCTGGTGCACTTCGTACGCGGATGACGACTTCAGGTCGCCTCGAAACGCATCACCACTAGTCGCCAGAGTAGAGGACGAAGACCGCATTCGTCGCTGCAGCAGCCACCTGCAGATAATCCGGCTAGCAGGAGAATACTGTAGTCCATCTCGCGAATACTAACCACGACCGTCACCAGCATCGACCCAGCACCCGTGGGGGCTCCTCAATCTCAGCAACCAACAAGAAGCTGGCAATGGTCTACATCTCCCCCCGTCCCTGTCACTCTATTGCGGTGAATCAGACTCCTCATCCGGTCAACCTTATTGGTTAGTATTGCACCAGCACCAGCACCAATAGCCAAACCTGCCCTTGACTTGACAACTCGCTCATCTCGTGCAAGGCTCGGAAACTGCTTGCTTGCTTGAACTCGAAGTCCTCTGCACCCACCGATGCCCTGTCCTTGGTTTTTTCCCCTCGGACCAAAGTCAAGTCTGCACCAGCAAGAAGATGCTCATTCCAGGGCAGTGTCAATGATGCATCACACCACCACCAACACACTGCGTCTGGCTTGTACGTAATCCGTGACAGCGACAAGCCGCGAGATCCGGCGCTGAAGCGAAGAATACCCAAGACCAGAGAGTGCTGCGCGTCATTCAAGCCAAGCACAAGCAATGCTAAAACTTGTAAGAAAGGGTGTTTCAGGATAGACGTGCAGCACGCCGGCGCAGGTGAGTGGAATGCCATGCAAAGAAGTGATGGTTTGGCTTGTGAGGGGCAAGCCCCCAGCAACCCGGCCGGGCACTTTTCGGCCTCACTCGGGCTGCTTCGCTGGGCGTGCTACGCCTGGTAGTCATGCTTGGTGCTGCCCCTGGTGCTGCTCTGGTGCTCTGCTCTGCTGGAGCTGCGCTTATAGAGTTCTGATGGAGTTTTGATAGAGTTCTGGACGGTGAGTGTCGCTTCGAGCCCTTCAACTTCGGCAGGCATTCACGGCACGAAACCTGAAACACGGACATGAGTAGCCGGCTTGCTTCGCTAAGTGAGTTCATACAGAACGACTGAGGAGAGTTTGGAGCTGTTACGTTTTGTAGAGCATGCTCTCCACTAGGAGTACTTTGTTAGGAAATACTCGTCGTTGTTGTGATCTACACGGTATATCGTCTTCTCAGTCGGATCCTTTCTACACACCATCCCTCGGATCCGATCCTTTCGGGTCATAAGTTAGAAGAGTACTGGCACCAATCTTCCACCACTTTCTCCTGAATACTACACCGTCATCTATGTAGCATTTGAAGTAGAATGACGCCGGCCACTAGCTACTAACACCAGCAACGGAGTGCCAGACCGCGCCTGGACCGCGGAGGATAGGGCCTGCATACCATGGCGTATTCTACACTCCGTACCTTGCATGATAGTGCCGTTCTCGGTCCGGCCGCCCGACTCGACACGTCGCCATCCATCTCGCATTCACCACTAACCCCTCCACGCCATCACCACCATCCTCCGACCACAGGTGCACGATCCTGACGTCCACCCTCACCATCAGCCTATCTATCCCGCAACAAGTCGACACCCCCACAGCGACGCACTGTTCTCACTGTCTCACCATGTCCTCCGCATGTACTCCGCAGGCGAAAGACTCGCCACGAAAAGCCAGGGCTGCCAGGGCAAGGCAAGCGAAGGCGAGCGAGGCGAGGTGCAAGCGAGCCGTGCCGCGCCCGGGCCCCCCCGCCTTTCACCGACCAGGCTCTGCTAGATCATTTAACCTGGTAGTCCGCCGTCGCCACGCCCGCTGTCCGGGGCATAATTATCCTGCCGTGTCGTGCGTTGCCGTGCGTTGCCGTGCATTATCGACTGGTCCCGTGATGTACAGTATCGCGTTCCGTATTCCCTGCTCCGTACTCCGTACCCCGGACTCTATACAGAGGTACAGTAGCGCACGACTATCTACTACTTCACAGCCCAGTAGTGAGGACCTTAACAAGCCGCCTCTGGGCTGCAGCCGTACTGTGTAGGTGTTGCTGCCTGCAACGGTCTACGCCAGGGAGCCGACAAGAAAACTATATGCATCTACAGTACAGTACGTCACGGATGCGACGCATGCGCGTGCGTCTATTGCTGTTGTTGGTTCGAGATGAGATGTTGGAACAGTATAAACAAACAAGCAGGCAGCTACACAGGCAGGTTCGGGAGTTAGTGCGCGCGGGCATGGAGTGGCCCTCCCTGCCTGCAACCCATGGGTTATGTCAACATGTGCTGAAGTGTGCCGTGGCAATGCCATAAGCACTCAAACCAGTTTTTATTACAATTGGGAAACACCAGCCCAGCTACTTGATAAACCCAATATTGACAGATGACAGACAATGCAAAAGAGCTACAGAGTACAGAGTATACAGTACAGCACTCTCATCACACTTTTAGTGTTCAGTGTTCAGTGTTCAGTGTTCAATATTCAATATTCCAGCCCGCACGAACCATAAACCATGAAACCCCAGTCCAGACGGGACGGGGAGACGGGGGAGGCGGCACGGGCACGAGCAACAAAGGGGACGGCAGAGGATGGACAAGGGGGGACGGTAGGCGGGCGGCAGATGGGCGGTTAGGTGATCGACCGTTCATGACTGACGTTCACAATTGACGTTTCTTGCTTTCTTCAAGGCGGGCGGCGCGGGCGGGGAAGCACGGAGTAATTGGAGTTTGACGGGAGGCCCGGCCGGGCTATGTCCATACTACCCCGTAGCCATACATACCCCTTCCCATACCCCTGTGACAGGCAGGCCAGCCGGCCGGGGGTGTCCTGCGCAGCTGTGTAAGAGTGGAAAAGAGAGTTCCGAACTATTGGGACTTTGTGCGTTTGTGAGCTGCTGGCCACGGTTTTCTGGGCGTGCAGTGTAAGGGCAAGGGTCGGGGTGGGAGAGTTGGTATGTCATGGATGGGGCGAGGCGGTTAGCGGTGAGCTGAGGAAGTGTCCGGCTGGGCCCGGCTGGGGCAGTGGTTTGCATTGGTAACTCGTAGGGCACTGGCAAGGAGATGGAGGAAGTCGTCAGGGCTGCTGAGTTGAGTCTAAGCGCAGTCGTGTGGGCAAGCAGGCGGTTGGTCAGTTGGCTCGTGTAGCTAAGATACAGGCACTGTATAGTTGCTCGCGTGGAGTATACCCATGAAAGCATTGTATGTGACGATGCTCTACTCCGTACTCTGTAGGCGAGGTGTTGGGGTACCTGGCCACTATTGACTAGTACAATTACTACATCCATGCAATAGTGGCTCTTCGTCCGGGGAGCGCGTTATTTGCCCTGGGTTGGACGACGTACGGGAAAGCGCCACTTGCTGCTCCGTACCTATGTCGCAGAATTTGCATATTCCGTCAACAACCGGAGTGATACTGATACTTGATGATGAGCATGATGCACGATGCATGTTGCAGGGGGCATTAGTCCCTCGTTGTCAGTCACTTGCTAGGTTGTCTGCACTGCCCACGCGACGATTTAACAGTCTGTGAAACAAGCTAGAGTTACGTTTCAGCTGTCACTTTTTCTTGACGGCGCTATGCAAGGTACTTGATGTCGTATTGCGTGCTCGGGGTACGTAGCCGGCGAAGTTGGAGAACTTCTTGCCGTTGCCGTTGACTTGCTGGTGATCGAAGCGAGTGTTGCGCTGTCTTCCTGCACCGGCATGCATTCTGAGGGACAAAGTACGTCATGGGCAGTGACGCTGACGAGTCTGCTGTTACCACAGCCACTTATCCTGTCCTGCCTTGCCGACGGCCTCATCAGCTGTCGAGGCACGGTCATAGGCTCATTCTAGGTGCCAACATCGTCCATGGCGCTGGGCACGGCGGCACAGCGGCGCAGTGCGACCGGCAGGTGCGCAGAGAGTGCTGAACCTGCACTGGTCATACTTTCTGCTCACCGCCCCGTGCCTCTGCCGCCCGGCTAGCAGAGCCTCCGATGCAAGTTCTGTAACTGTGAAGGGACGTGGGTTTTCGGTCTCAGTCATGCCAGTGCCTAACTGTTGCGCCGTGCTGGGTTCCCTCTTGGATTATGCAGATGCTGATGTGAGTTTGGAGCCGCACAGGGAACACGCCTCGAGTACAACGGTTTGCCAGGGTCTTTTGTGAGGAGAGTGGAGAGCGCGGAGTGGAGATGTCTTCCTTCCAAGTGCTTCATGGCAGTCATCCGACTAGTTTCACAGCAAATGTGAAGTAGCTGGACGAACGCAGGCCCACGACGGAAATTCCGGGAAGTTACGAGGCCCGTGCCGGGGCTCAGTAGCATGCAGAGTGGTGAAGGTCCACATGCTGAACGACAGTCATCACGCCGGCGAGGCCAGGCGGAGAGTCGGAAACTACCGTGGACAAGTCTTAGATGTGGAGGTACCTGGCTTTAAGGTTCGCAATGGAACGCCGGTTCAGTTGCTATATCGCTGTGTGTGGTCGGTGCTGTACGAGTCAGTATACGCATAATTCTTTCTCTGGCGCGTAGTGAAACATGGTGTGTCGGCATAGTCATGACTGGCAGGAGCAAGAGTAATGCGACAGATGTGATGACTGGAAATTCGTGTTGAATGTCTGACTTGCTCGATACACGACTGTAAAATGGGTAGATGAATGCAGCGGTCGTAATTCGAAGGCAACAAAGCCTCAGTGAAATTTGAGGAACTTCAAGCGTTGATTGGATTCTCTAACTGCACTGAGGGAGATTGCGCGCGGTCTGGAACAATGAATATTGTTGGAAGCTTTGCTGGTGCCTGTGCCTTGTTTACCACGCTGCCTTATCGACGTCCACATTCATTGGCGTGGTTGTTCTGGAGCGAGAGCCTTGGCTTTCACCAGGTACAGTGGATTGACTCAAGTCATGATCTTGCTTTGCTTTCTTCCGTTTGTACCCCTGTCTCCGGGACTGGCTTCCGGCATACTTGGCCGATGGGCCCCATTCACCATCGCTGGAGTGGTCTTGCAAGGAATGGGCCTGTTGCTGTTGCTGGTTGCGAGCAGAGGAATCGTTGTTCTCCTCAGTATCCTTGACAGATCCACCATTACTATCGTTCCCACCATCACCAAACATGTCTTCAGCATGCTGTTTCACATAGTCATCAAAACGACCCTCAGCACGCTCCTTCATTGCTTGCTGGGCCTTGTCCTGCCATGATGGAGTGTAATTGCCTTCTGAGATGTCGGTCTTGAATCTGGCGATAGCTCGTTTCAGGTGCGAGTCGGTGGCAACAAAGCCTGCATCGAGAGGACAGGCATACTTGCCGGTCACCGGAACTTCCACGTAAAGTCGGCGGTCTTTCGGGAGCGTGTCAATGATTCTGCGTTGCTCGTCGCGGCTGTAGCCGTCCCAGCCGGTGATACATGTCAGGAGAAAGGCTTGAACGTCGGCTTTGGCTACGGCGGATGTTCGAGTGAGTATCCTCGAAGGCGCCCAAGATCCTGTAGATTTTGTTGGCTCTGGTGCTTTTCTGGATGATGGGGATGGGTCGCGGTTGACTGGATTGCGATTCCGCTTCGGTCGGTCGGCAGCTGGCATCGTTGTGGCAATATCTCCCTTGCAGCACAGAGTCTCTAAGGTGGCAGTTGCTGCAAAATTGCACAGATTATGTCCAGGTGCACAAGGCAACAGCAGTCAACAGCCTGACGTCATAGCTGCCTTGCGTGAAAGACCAACGACGTTGATATACCGTCTTGTAGAGAATAGACAAACAAAGCATCACATCAGGAAGCCATTCTGTGAAAGATCATGTTCAATGCTCAAGAAAGGTGACGGGTTTCCCAGCCTCCGCATTTCGAGGATTGCTCACTGCTTCTCATACGAAACAGCAACATCCCCTTCAAGACACCTGTCAAACGCTGGGAGTCCTTGAAAAATATGCTACTCGTTCACTCTCCTGTCGCTGGATACGATCGTGATGACTGATGATGGGCACTCTTCGATGAGGAAGTCTTGCTCAGCATGCTCGAGCGTGAGTGCGAATGCCTCGGCTCACCACCAAGCTAGCCAATCAAAGCGCGCCCCTCTACGAACCACTTTATCATGACCCTCGACTGCATCATCCTTCATCTCCCTCTGCTTCTACATGCCCAATCCTATCTGACAGCGACGTCCTCTATCTTCCGTGTCGCCTGGCCGACACAGCGCAGGACAATGGCCGCGTCTTCGCTGCGCAGAGGCGCCCAATCTGCCGCGTCGTCCTTGTCCTCCGCCTCTGCTGAAGTCACACGCGCGGTACTCAACCTCCCTCACACCTATAGCGAATACGTCTCAAGCAACCCATCGTCTGTATCTAGCGTTGAATCCTCCATCCGATCCCTCACATACCTTTTACCTGGTGTACGGTTCCACGACACCGAAATCGCGGCCGAGTCGGTCAACACCTTCGTTCAATTGCTTTCCATTTATCACGATCACCTTCTAAAGAAGCGCGCCGCTTTCGTCGCCTCGTCACCTGCCCTTACCCGCGCATACAAGACCAAACAGCTTCAAGCAAAACCGTCCCTCCATGCAAAATATACCTCGTATTGGTCGACATCATCAACGCTCTACAGCAAGATTGCCACATTTCTTCGAGTGGCTGAGTATGTGCAGCTGCTCTGTGAGATGGTAGCACGTCGACAAGGCGGTGAACGCGGACGTTGGCGTATTGTCGTCATAATTGAGACTTTCAAGGCGACCTGTCGTCTACTGCTCATGCGCTTGACCAACGCTCGTAGCCTCGTTTCGCCGCCAATGCCCGAGCGTCAAGACTTTGCTCCTCCTGAGCCCGAACAGCCCGATGAAGAATTCTCAGAGGATGAGCTGAAGATGGTGGATGAGAACGAACCCTTCAGTTCGAAACATGTCCTTCGCGACAATGGTGTGCCAACTCCACCTCTCTCTGATTCCGGAAAGCTTCCACAAATCTCAGTCAGCGATCCGTTTTCCATGCCACGCACCGGCGTGACCTTGCCAACCCTTCCAGCATCTGATTCAGTCACATCATACCTACTATCTCATGTCTTAACTGCCGATGATGTCAAACCTGCATACCAATTACTACGACAGCTTGCCAACCTTCAGACTCAGGCGGCAGAAGTCCTCTACATCATCCGACCACTGGTATACGCAGTTCTCATGCAGCGCATTGCTCGCACCTATGGCTACGAAGGCACCAAATGGAAGAAAAATTGGACTCCATGGCTGGTAGGCTTTGGCATGGAGTATGTCGCTCGTCAGCTGGCAAAGAGTGGAAGGATAGGTCCCGGCGACGGCTTCTCAAGCGATCTGGAGCGTGAGGAGTCTAAGAAACGAAATGTGGAAATGACCTGGTGGATGATGAGAGGCGCCTTCTACGAGAATGTTACTAGACGTTACGTTCAAGGCGTCAAACATGGTGTCACCAAAGTGCCTATCGTTGGCCCGTTGGTGGCTGGCATAGTCGAAGACTACGATATTTTGTGGGGAGACTACCATTTCGCTACCTCGACGCTTTGAGCTTTTCGAGCAGCGACAGACCAATAAGATTACCCTTCTGCGGAGGCTCTGATCGACTAGAAAGTCGCCCATGGGCTGCTGAGCAGTCTGTTTTACGCGGCGCCGGATCTCTGCATTCCCAAAGAGCCAGTATGGTTTATCTCTCGTTCTCCCGACGCGCGACTCCAGACGACTTATGCGAATCTCGGCAAAGATGTGACCAACATCAACATCAGGCGAGAAAAACTTGCACGGACATTTCGGCTAAAACAGTACTGTCCGACTCGGTCTTTATTTCCGTACGGACTCGCACGTGCAATTCCAGTGCTTCATTTGGGAGAAACTCCTGAGCCGGTAATGTCTTGAGGCGCATGAGAGCACGATTCGTTTAATAGCCTGCGGGGAAGCCCAGAGAGCAAGCCGTATACCCCAGACGGCATTAGCCCAAAATGCCTGAGTGATCTGCCTGTTCGTTCGGTCCAAGGCCCGCCTTTGGCAGCTGGCTTACAGGCGAATCATTCGCTGGCCGTTAGCAAGCGAAGACTGGGATTCATATCGGTCTCACGCTTACGAACGACCGGCTCGTTACAACAAAGTCGATACCACAAATCCCGCCCACGACCTATGTTTACCGTACTTGAACATCATCACGACGGGTGTTGGGTGTTGGGTGTCAGGGTTTGGAATTGTCACACAGCATCTGAAGCTGTCAAGCTGTTGCGAAGAGGGATATTTCCCACGTTTAGGGATCGGCGATCAGGCTGACTGATTACACTATACGCACTAGTATCTTTGCATTAATACCCTAGATGCCGTCGCAGTACATGCCAATTCGAGGTCCTCTACGGCCGTAGATGACGCCCCTCGCCCGGCAGAAGCGCTGCGTAGCGCCTGAAGTCTTGCGATCGTGCTTATATAGTATGCCTTATTCTCAATGGTCTAGGCCGACCTTGAAATACTTGAGCTATTGACTTCCACCGAGCAAACCGCAGCAGACAATCCTTCTGTCAACTTCGTCCCAAACATGGGCTTCAAACTGCTTACGCCTCCTCTCAAAGAGAGACCTCGCGCCCGAGTACGGTCAAGTTCAAAATGGGCAGACTTTCTTGTCGTACTCCGCGGCAACTTCTCCCTCACGACGCTCCTCCTCTTCGGCGCCGTCGCACAGACCCTCATCCTCCTCATCGTCCCCTACTGGTGGGCCCTCATCTTCAGCGCCTCCATCCTCCTCTACCGCGGCGGCCACACCCTCCTCATCACGCTCAAACTGCTCCCCAACCCCTACCTCGCGGGCTCGCACGCCGAATGGGCCAGCGCCCAACTCCCCAACAAAGACGGCGTCTTCTCCTCCACCCCGGCCTCGGAGCAAGTCGCCGTCCTGCACCTGGGCTCCAAATACAATCACCCCTTGGGCATCTTCGCGCCGCACGCCGCCGCCCTCAACGACCACGCCTCCAACATGTACCGCGCCCTCGACGCCGCCTCCAAGGCCCACAGCGGCTACCTCGGCGGCCAGGGCTGGCTGTCCTACGACGACCAGGGCGCCGCCGAGTACACATTCGTCAGCTACTGGCGCAGCATCGACGCCATCCACGCCTTTGCGTACTCGCCCAGCCACCGTGCGGGGTGGGAGTGGTGGAACAGCGTGCCCAAAGACGATATCCGGCATTTGGGCATCAATCATGAGATCTTCCTCGCGAGGCCGGGCGAGTGGGAGACCATCTACCTCAATCATCAGCCGACTATGCTGGCGGGGACGCATAGTTGGGTCAGGGGTGATAAGGAGATGGGCGGCCAGGTGGAGGATAGTTGGGTCACGAATGTGGTCGAGGCCAAGGGCCGGTTGAGGACTAGTGCAGGGAGACTGGGCTGGCAGAAAGAGGCGTTGAGTGAGAAGCATCGCTATGTGCCATTGGCGGCGGCGGGGGAGGCGGATGATGGGAGGGATGTTAGGAGGACGTAAGGTCTGGCATTGCATAGTGGGTGTCGTAGAGACTGTTGCTGGCGGGGTGGAGAGGCTTTTCTTAATGGGTCGAGCATGGTAAAGCACGATTTGCAATGCTGTCTGGTCTGTATTACATGCGATGCCTCTGGTGCAGTGCACCAAGGCTGGGGCTTTTCTCCTTTTGATGGCCACACACACCGTGCCGCCGCATTGATCCTCTACCTCTGACCTACATGCAGCTCCCTCGTCTGACTCAGATTTCAGGCTATTGCTCGCGCAAGACATCCAGTCGCACCTAATGACGACTGCCCCCTCTCACAGCACATACGCATCCACCTCCACCTCAACTAACATGCCCTCATCCACGAACCCACCGCCCCCCTCCGCCCCCAACACCACCATGGTCGCCGCGCAGCCCACCACCTCGCCTGACCCTTCCCTTCCACCCTCCTCTCCTCCGCCCCCACGCACCCCTCCCTGCCCCGCGGCCCCACCAAAAACCTCCCCAAAAGCCCGCCCAACACCGTCACAGTCCTCGACGCGTTTCACAAACATGCGCACGCGCACCACGTCGTGCACCTGCCCGCCGAGCGCACGCACAGCCTCAAGAGCTTCGGCGAAGGCGGCGTGGGCTTGCAGGTAGGGGTCGTTGGGGTGTTGCAGGCATTGGGTCGTGGGGTTGAGGGCGGTGGTGCCGGAGACGTGGATGTGCGGGCCGTGGCGGAGGGCGCGCTGTGAGGTTGGGCGTTTAGTTGGTTGCGGAGGGTTGGGGTGTTATTTGTGAAGAGATAGAGAGATGGGTATGGGCAGTTGTTGATGAAGGGTTGTAGAGCTTGAGGGAATGCTTGTTCTTGATTGGCTGATGTCAGGACTTACGTGGTAGCCGAATGATTGCTCGAAGGGGTTGGTGGTGGTGTAGAAGGTTTTGCTGCCGGCCTTTGTAACCGACATTGTGGCCTCACTGGGCTCGTGGGTGGTGATTCGGTGAAGTATTCTGAAGTGGTTTACTGGATTCCGTTCGACAGACGACGAAGGAAGAAGGTGTTGAGAGCCTGGCCCGGGTGGAAAGTAGGAATAACCGCCCGGGTGAGTCATCCTTAAGTCGCGAGGTGGGTTCTTGGCAAGGTGAGGTATGTCCGAGAACGATACGGCGGCAGCATGAGGCCAATAGAACAAGACAGTAAGGGCAAGAGTATTCTATTCAAGCAATGTAGCAGTAGAACAAAAGTGGGTGATTGTATAGCAGGCAGTAGGACTCTGTAAAGGACAAAAGAAGAAACTCACATTCACTGCCTCTTGGCGCTACTTTACCACGACCTCTTTCTTGTAGTGGTCTTCAATCATCTGCGCTCGCCGATGCGCGTGAAGGAGAGATCGATGCCAATCACATCGACATGGCAAATTTCACTGATTAGAATAGCATTGAGTACAACAGTGTTTTAGCCAGCACCAAAAATCATCCAAGATCATGTTGCTTCCACTGGTCAGCCATTGGAATGCTAGTACCCGAGCGAGATCTTGGTACTATGCTGCGACCTAACAGACCAGCAAAGAGTATACCCATACAAAGTAATCAGGATTACAGTGTCGAATTAGGGAAGCCTGCGGAGTTATTAACCGAGGATTCCGCCATCGCATCTTCAGAGACAAGGCTGCATCTGCGAAAGAGCACAATGAAACGGTACACGATGAAGTTTTCGTATACTAACGCCTTCTTCCCGTCTGCATTGCAAAGGGCAGATGCTCCTAGCAGCCCTCACTAGTATTGTCCCTCAGCCGCCATTGTCCCCGAGTCCGAGCGCCCGACTGCTCTTACCTAGCTCTTGTTCTTCTTTGTCGAAGATGATTATCCATGGACCTCGATTCTTTGTACAGCAAACTTCAGACACCAAGCGAGTTCACAATGGCTTTCCAGAGCCCCGACATCTTGTTGGGCTACCGCCTCTGGCTCCAACAGCCAACAGCCACAGCCACTCAACTCTCGTCAATAATCACGCAAACAGACATGAAGATCACACCCCTTCTCTTCCTCGCGGCCAGCCTGGCGCAGGCCTCGACCAACACAACAGACCCCGACTTCGACCTCAACAAGCGCGGCAAAGACGACGACACGAAATGCCTCGTCCGCCAACTCACCATGGGCTGTGCCCCCTGGGACTCGATCAAGCGACCCAAGACCGGCGGCGCCGAGTTCATCATCAGTCAACAGACCCGGCCGGGCGGTCCACATCGTTTCAAAACGATTTCCAAGTGCATCAACACCTCTGTCCAACCGGAATTCTACCAGGCATTCCGACCGGATACGTGGGGCTGCACCGTGGCGACGAAGAAGGAGGCGCCGGATCGCGATAATAAGTATCTTGATGGAGGTCCGCCCAAGGATAAGAACCTCTTGACGAATTTCAACCATCTGGTCTTCTTCAGTGAGCCGGGGTGTCCGCCGGCGAAGCGGTTTCCGCATGTGAAGGTCAAGTTGGTGCCGTTGGCGGGTGTAGATAGAGATGGGTTCTGCACCAGAGGGTTTGACGTTGCGACCGAGGGGGCGGGGAGCTTTGCGTTTGCTATGATTTAGGCTTTTGATCCAGGATGTAGGGGGACGTGTGAGTGCGAGTGCTTCCTAAGTAGCTGGATGCTAGTCGTGTAGAAATGTGCTGACCAGCTCAATGCGCCGTTTCCTACCAAACCTGCTTGCTATTATAACAAGAAAACCCCCCAATTCCTTCCTACCTATGCGACAGAGTAGATCCTGTCCAGATCTTCCCCGTCCATCATCGCGTCCCAGCCCTCCTTGGCCAGCTTCTCCACCGCGGGCTTGATCTCGTCTTCGCCCTGCAACAGATCCCACCAGCCTTGCACATCATCCCTCTCCAGCAACTCGACCGCCACCCTCGCCACATCTTCGCGACTGATCTTGCCGCGACTCGACGTCTTGCCTGCGTCACAAAATTAGCCCTCATTTCACCCATCTCCTCTCCCGGCAACATCCCCAAAGGAAAACGAGAAACTCACCAAGCCACACCCTCCCCGTCCCCTCGTCATCCGCCAACGTCCCAGGCCGGAGATTAATCGCCTGGAACCCCTTCCCCCTCTTCTTGGCCACCGCGGCAAGATGTTCATCCGCCGCCACTTTCGCTTTATAGTACGCCGGCAGCGTCTCGGTATTGACCTTGTCGGCCGCGGCGCGGTCCTCGGCGTTCCACCATGACGGGTACCCGCGGCGCGAAGCGACGTAGCTGATCATGAGGAATTTCGTGATGGAGGGGGTGTTCGCTGCGGCGGAGATGTACTGTTTTCAGGTCAGGTTCCAATTTCAATTCCAATTCCAATTCCACTCCCAAGCCTGCGCCGCCCGCTACGCAAGCAAGCAAGTAATACCACACAGCGACGAAACACCGCAACGCGTCACAAACACGCCAGAAGGGACACAACGGAGGAGAAAAGAAAAGAAAAGAACAGAAAGAGAGGAAGAGGGAGGAACATACAGCAACAGCAGCGCGCCGATCCACCTTCTCCGTCCTCTCCGCGCCACCCTTCCCCCCCGCCCCGGCCGCCCACACCACCCAGTTGGGCTTCACTTTCTCCAACACCCGCTTCGCGTCGCCTTCATCCTGCACCTCGTCCAGACTGTCCACCAAGACATCGACTTTGGCTTTGGCTGAAGCTGAGGAATTGAAGGCCTCGATCTCGGAGGCGTGCTGGGGGTTGCGGATCACGGAGGTGACCGGGTGGGAGCGGGAGAGGAGGAGGGGCGTGAGGTACAGGGAGACGCGGCCGTGGCCGCCTAGGAGGAGGATGCGGGGGGCTGAGGGGGTGGTCATTTTGGGAGCGAGGTTAGTGGTGTTGCTGTTGCTGTTGCTGGCCCTGTTGAGAGGAGGGCTCGGTTTGCGCGATCGAGACTCTGGATTTTGAAAGTCGATTCCGGGGCGTGGAAGCGCGATTTATTATATATATCAGGACCACGTTGAGATCAAAGATCAGATTTGCAGTTCTCTCCGAGGTTTGAGTGACATATATCATTCACGATGATGGCGGCTGGTGGTTCACTACTCCGGCTGACATACCATGATCTTCCAAGAATTGCGTCATCCGAGACGGCCGCTGCGGATGGATTGCCGAGTTGGTGCTCCGTTGGCAAGGCGGGGTTGGCTGCGTGCTGCTGTATATGCGAGGAGACACAAGGAACATACCGTCTATGCATGGTTGAGTCAGCGCGGTCTAGGCTGCTTACGGAGCGTGAGGCCTTCCTGATTCGAACACGTGCGGAGACGTTACTCGGCGAGGAGGGGGCGGAAATGTATATGCAGGTCTTGGCTTCGTGGGACTGGGGCTGGACGACGCAGTGTTGACAGTGACGATGTATGTAAATGCCTCACGATACTTGCTTTTTACAAATGGTAAACACCACAACAACCCACTACGGAACACCTCTTCCAGCCCTCGTCGCCTTAGCCAACTCGGACATGGCTTTGTCGTCGGCATACCGCTGCCACAACGGCAGGTAGTGCTCCTTGTCACTCATCGTCGCCTGCACGCTCTTCCGCTCCTCCACCGCTTTGGCCCACACGCGCCACCGCTCCCACAGCTGCTCGTTCTCTCCGCCCTTCCCCGGCTCCGGAATCCCCAGCCCGCCCTCCTTGAAGTGGTCGAAGATCCACAGTCGCACAGCCCATGGCGCGAGGATCACATCCGGCATGGTGAACTGCTTGCTGGCGAAGAAGGGCCCTTCCGGGTCCGCGTCCTTGATGAAAGTCAGGAGGGTATTGAGGAACTCGGAGCGTGCCTCGTCGATCGTGTACGGCTTCTCCTTGGTGTGCTGCAGGAAGCGGTGGAAGGCCGGAATGATGCGCGAGGTCACGTAGTCGATGGAAATGCGGAGCTTGGCCTTTTGGAAGGGGTCTTTGGGGTAGAGGGGAACATCTGGAAAGGTCTCGTCGAGGTAGTCGCAGATGATGCCGGATTCGATCAAGGGCTGTTGGCCGTCGGGGGTGGGAACACCGAGGGTGGGAACTAGACCGCGAGGGTTGAGTTTGAGGAACGAGGCCTCTTTCTTGTAGGGATTGATTTCTTGATAGCGGTAGGGGATCTTTCTGCGAGGGTGTCATTGTTTGGGGACCAGTCGCAAGGGCAGTAACTCACTTCTCTTCAAGGGTGATCCATGAACGCTGGACAAAGGGCTACTCAGTTAGTTGTGAGGTCTGAGCAGGCTTTTGTTTGGACTCACGCAGAACCAGCCGCTGTACAGGACGATATCTGCCTTCGCGTCCTCGTGCTGCTTCACGATATCGGCCGCCCGGCCAGTGGCAACAGGATGAATGTCTACGTCGGGTATCGCCATCCTGTGTTGCTGGAGGTTACGAATCTAGATCTCGGAGACGACAGCGAGTGCCGTGGTCAATCAATTATTCAGCGACGAGTGTTGTTGCCGAGGGTCCTGAATGGAGAAATGCTTCCGCGTATATTCGTCATGAATTAATGACGCCATCGGAGAGCAGCGGTGGGGGTGCTATACCAGAAGTGGGGGAACATATCTTCAATCCGAGTCCATAGGTCGGGCGTACTTTTACTGTCGTTACTTACTATTCGCCGTACTTCTTCAGCAATCGTTTGAGAATGTTGAGCGCCCCGCTCTTATAGCCTCCGCCGAATATTGCATGGTGATTCAGATGATGATAGCTCTCGTACAAGGCTACCCTGTCCTGGTTCGGGTCAGCACGACAGCCTCGCATTGCACTCACTCAATACCTACCTCATACTCATCGACTGGCTCCGTCTTGGGCACGATCTCATGATACTCCTTGAAGTAGGAGCCGCTAAAACCGCCAAACATCATATGTATGCCCAGTTCGTACTCACTATGACCGTAAACCGCCGATGGGTCGAAGACAACATCCTCGACCGGACCTAGTTCGTCTGAGCTCGTACCATCACGGCCAACAAAAGAGCCCTTGGACTTGTTGCCGCTCCAGAGATCACCGTGGATGACAACAGGCTGGATGCCGTCCTTGCCGCCAAGGTGACCATCCCCCAGCAGCCGGGGCACAACCTCAAGGGCCGTCCGTTCGACAGCCTTTCGCAACTCAGCATCCTTACCGTTGTTCTTCTCACTGCGCTCCAAGATCATCATAAGGCGGTTCTCGGCGAAGAAGTCTGCCCAAGACTCTTTGTAGGTATTGGTCTGGGGTGTATCTCCGCAACACGTCGTTACAGGGAAGCCGAACATGGGCTTGTCGTAGCCGTCGGGAATCGGTGCCGGCGTAGAGTGTAACTTGCCCATCTTCTGCGCCAGAGTCATGCCGCTCCCGCTCCGAGCGGACCCGCGTGTTCGTGACAGTCCGCCTCCCAGCTCGAGGAATTCTGTCGCGAGGAAGTAGCCTCCCTTCTCGAGTTCCCCCCAAGCAAAGGAACTCGGACATAGTGACGGCACGGCATTGTGTATCGCATTGAGAGATGCGTGTTCGCCTTCAAACATGACCGCTGCGCCTGCTGAATTCGACGTCTTGACGAATACCGTTGTCTGGGGAGTCGTGATACGGAAGGTCGACGCGAAGCCGGAGCCACCGTGGCTCGAGAGGGAGGCCGAAGTCGCATCTATCTTGAGGGACGTAGCGAGCGCCCGGACGATGGCGGGGTCTATTGACGACGGCATGGTGGTTGCAGTGTCTATGACAGTGGAAGTTTGGTGTATTGTCGCGTGGAATATCTTTGAGTCGCGTATTGTCCTGATTTCACTATGACGTAGCTCGTTCTAGGCACTTACCGCACCTAAACCGCCTACGACTCGGCGTTTGACAGCAGATGCAAGCCCACGTGGAGTGCCAGAGATCAGTATCGCTGCACGTGCGGCGCTTTACAAGGGCCGTGGATATCAGGGGCAACCGAGACTATCGAGGCTTGGTAGGGAATATCAATCCGTCTCACTGGCAGGATTTTCCCACGACACGGTATACCTTTTGACTACTGATGTGCCAGTTAAACAGGACCGAAGTAGAAAGAACAGAAGGCGTACATCGAGTGGTACTCATACCCGTGTGAGGTCGAATGTGTGAGTCATCCATCTCTCATGCTAGTCTCCTGCTAACGGAAACAAGTGCCCAAAAACAATCCAGTATCCGAGTAAAACAGCCGCATATAATAGCAAGTTCCACGCACGTAAATCTCGGTATGTCTGCCCTCACACATTCTCTAGAGCGGCTCATTCTGCGCAAGAGACCTACTATGTATCAGTGGTTGTCTTGATGTCGATACCAAAGAGAGGCCTTCAAGATAAAACGCTAGTGCCCTCCCCATATTACTTTACAAGAACAAAAGAGGTCTTGATAAGAACTGGGAGGGCTCCTCATAGGATGATCGTCACCATTGTGAAGGTGACCGAAAGGCAAGGGAGGTCTCCTGATGATACTATGCTCGATCATGGAAAGGCCTATAAAAAAGGTGGATGCCCTCCACATATCATGTTCCACGCTAAGATAGAGGTCATCCGTATGAACGGGAGGGCTCCTCATAAGACGATCACCGTCATCATAAAGGTCGCTGAAAAGTACGGGAGGTCTGCTCATGTACCCATCATTATCATTTTGAAGGTCGTTAAAAATGCAGAGGCCTCCTCATGACACAGTCTATTCCAGGGGACATGCCTGTGAAAAGGACGGGTGCCCTCCCCGTATTACTGTCACGGCCACCAAAAGGATGATTGAAAAGTCTGGGAGGGCTCCTCATTATCCTATCTTAGAACCCATTTCATCACTTGCTAGCCTCGTCCTTTACCGCCTCCCACATCCGCTTGAACAGCCCCGGTCGCTCCATCCCATCCAACCTCGCGAAGTACGTACTGACAAACCCAAAGTCCCTGCAGCTCTCCCTCACACCGAACAGCTCCTCACCACTGCTCCCCTTCTTGTCTTTGCTCAGCCCCCCGCGGAACGCCGGGCCCAAAACGATGAGCTCGGAACTCAGGAAGGCGATACTTGCTCCCTCCTCATCCGCTAAATGCCACACGCCGGTGAAATCCTCAAATGCAATACTGCAAGCTCGAGACTTGGTGGAGAAGCTGGAAGGCAGTGGGAGCGTGAAGACGCCGTGTTTGGTGTTCATGCGATACCGGCCGTAGAGCTGGCGCGTGGGCTGCCACAGGGTGATGACGACCTCGCAGGTCGATTTCCATTGGCCCACGGTTCTCTCGGACGTGTTCAGACCGTAGCAGACGAGGTTGTACCGGCCGAGGATCAAAGCTGGGTTGTTGATAGTCTTGTTCGGCGATAGCTGTTTGTCGAGCTCTTGTAGCTTCTTTGTGGCGAGGTCGGAGATGGCGTTGTTGGTCAACGACGTGGGTTGCTCGTACAGACGTCGGAAGAAGGACGAGACTGGTGGTGCTTGGACCGGGCGATCTTCGCCGGGAATGAATCTTCGATGATAGTTGGGATCTTTGTCGGCATGTTGGAGACGGATCATCAACTCATCTCGGGTCCACTCTAGATCCGAATCGAGTGATGCGTTGTCAGGGGCAAGGAAGAGGCGTATCTTTGCAACTTCTTGAGATTTTGTGGTCGGGATACCTCGATGCTCAAGCTGTGCGGAGTAGAAATAGGTATCTTGATCCGGTCTGTCACGGCGGCTGGCGAGGAAGAGTCCATTGCCAGGCTGGTGAGGGAAGGAAATGTCTGTAAGAGGCTTGAAGGCGACGTTGTTGACCAGGAAGCCTTGTAGCTCGCTGTACCTGTAGCGTTCGTACTGAGTGTAGAATCCAAGGTCATCTGAGTATTTGACCGTGGACGGAAGGCAGGTAGGCATGATCTCGTCCACCCTGAGCCCGTACTTCGCGATGGCCTCTGGTGAAATTTCTCGTTGCTTGGGTCTGGCAGAGATGGACATCGGGACTGTACTGCTAGAAGTTGACCTAGGTATAGAGACCCTTCGGCGCTTCCTTGGGGGTGTAGACATCTTCACTGGGCTTAATTCTCGAAAGCAGGGAATGGTGGAAGAGATGAGCAACCAAACGAACCAGCTGAATCGAGGCCTCATTTATGTGGGTGAGTGACCGTCAAGGAGAGGTCAGAAGTGAAGAGTAACTCAGTAAATTACAGCCAGAAGTGAAACGGAATTGAGCAGCTTCAATCAGCAACTTGACTGCTACAGCATGTGTCGACGTCCAAATCGAGGCCACAAGTCAAGATATCGGATGGGAAAGCTATGGGACACAGCTACGAACTCGTTACCAGGTAGACATCCATTCAAGCTGTTGGAGAAGCAAATAAATTACCCATTACATGCTATACTACCCCGCAAACAACAACAGGCGCGTCCTGAAGTTATCTTAACATTGGGCGCCAAGACTTTCACTGCCTCATTCCTCTTAGCCGTGTGCATCAACTAGTGGAAGCTCGCACGCTTGGATAGGCCTGGTGAATGAGAATTATGTGTAGTAAGAACACTGTAAAGCCTCGAAGATCAGTGGTGTGTGATGTGAGCGGCAACAAAGGCACAGGTCGCCTTCACTAAATCTCCTGGAAGCAGAGGCTTAGAGAGAGACTCATTCAGAATCTGTATCATGCATGTCAAGCTAACACTCAGATCCTCCTTTCTTCTACCGCCAAAACACAACTCCCATCGTTCTCGAGTTCAAGACCCGTCGAGCATCCAACGAATGCCAGGAGCAGCCATGAATCCCACGAGAGACTAGTACTCGACCGAACCCTCCCGAGCATATCCCCACTTCCTCGCCCGAGCCCTCAGGATATCCTTCAGATCACCAGAAAAGCTAAGTCTGCCTCTGCTTGCAAAGCCGATGGGTTCATCAAGAGAAAGAAACGCGACCAGCAGCAGCTGCAATGCCATAGGGCCCTGACATTTGCTCAATCCCTCAATCGACAATCGTACAGAAGCCTCGACTAGACCACATGGCACACCTCGCCTGGCCTGCCACGCAGGCACGAAGATGGGAATAGCAAAACTATACGACGAAAGCCACGACATGATAATCTCTGATTATGGATCTGACCGCGGGCCGTTCGGCCATGAGGAACCGGAATTCAACTGTTATTAAGACAAGGATTGAAAGATCCACGGCTGGCGTGCGCTGTAAAGGCGCGGTTGGGAGGCTCTGAAATGCCCGGCTCTTTTTCTGGTTTCGATAGGTGGCATTGTTGGCATTACGATTACTTTTTCATCTTCGGCACACGGGACATTACGATATCTCTTGTGTTCTCTCTATACAACCCCGCTAGACAGGTTTAATGTAAGGTACGCATCCACGTACCAACAGCGCTCCTTTTCCTCACGGCCCACTCGCCGGCGCGCCGTCCAACTTGAAGTAGCCGGGCTGCAGGCGCTGGTACACGCCGGTCGGATCATACTTGGTCGCGACCTGCTTCAGACGCTGCTGGTTTGCCGCCCCGTAGCTCGGCACGACCGCCTGGAACTGACTCGCATAGTTCATGTACAGGTAGTCTCTGTACGCGTTCCTGCTCTTGGCCGCGGCGTTCGCGCGCTGGATGATGCGCGAGTAGGCGCCCAAAACGCGCGCGTCGTCCGCGGCGTCCTGCCACATGACGTTCGGGTTCAGCAGGAGGTACGGGCCCTGCGCTTCGCTGAGGCCGAGCGGGTTGCCGCCGTTCTTCTTCATTTGCGTGAGCTGGCCTTGCGTGATGACCTGCAGGGTGAGGGCGGGGACGATGCCGGCGGCGTCGCGGATGGAGTTGAGCTCGTCGAAGAAGATGTTCTGGACGTCGGTGACGAGGTCGCGGTCGAGCTTGTAGGCGGCGGTCCAGTAGCTTTCGCGCAGGCCGTTGGGGTTGCTGGCGTTGAAGTGCTCGGTAAGGTCGACGAGGGTGCGGATGCGTGTGTCCGCTTGAATGGTGGGGATGGCGAGGTATTCGGAGAAGATGGGGGCGTTTTCGACGGGTTTGGCGTATTGGAGCTCGGCGGAGGCGACTTCTAGGTTGGCAGATTGGACGTATGCGTAGGACATGATCTGGGCGGCATTGGGGTCGTTGGGGGAGTTGATGCCGAGGTTGTAGAAGGCGTTGACGACAGCTGGGAACTGGTCGGCGGTGTGGATGCGGGAACCTCCCCACATCTGGCCACCGGGGAGGGAGATGGCGTTCAGGTTGAATTTTGTGACAATTCCAAAGTTGTTGCCACCTCCACGAAGTGCCCAGAAGAGATCTGAGTATGACTTAGGCGAGGCGGTGACAATGATGCCGGATGCAGTGACGACCTCGAAGCTAGCCACATTGTCGCAAGCCCACCCGTAGAGACTGCTAAAGAAGGAGATGCCTCCACCTAGCGTAAGACCACCAACACCGATACCAGAAACACGACCACCAATGACGGCAATGTCAGAGCGTTGAAGAGTAGTGTAGACATCGTACCAGAGATTTCCGGGACCAATGGCTACAGTCTTCTTGTCTTTGGCCACGGTGATCTCGTTGAGTCGTTCGAGAGCGATGGTGATGCCACCCTCGATGCTAGAGGCACCAGCAAAAGCTGCATGGCCACCTGACTTGACAGCGAAGGGACACTGGGACAAGCGGGCTATCAGCACCGAGATAGAGGTCTGGCTTGCAGAAGCCGGCTTGAAAATGCAGTATGGGTCGACACTGGCTTGCTGGACTGACCAGTATCCGTCCGTGAAGCCGTCGTAGCCAGGACTACCTTCTATCACAACACTCGAGCCATATAGGAGTTTTAGCGAGTGGCACGCGATCGAGCAGCCAGCAGTCGACGATCTTTGCTCGAGGTCAGCAAGTTCCGGCAACGCAGAGACGTCCACACCCTTCTCAACGAGGGCTTCGGTGATGTTGAAGTCGGCATTCTCGAAGCCTTGGCTGTAAACCGAGCCAATAGAGCCTGCAGCAAGCAGGATCAGGCTGGTTGTGAAACGCATCGTGTAAGCCACAGGAGTTGCTCAGGGTCCAGGGTGACTCTCGCAACTAGGTGGTGAAAAGGCTGCTGGCAAAGAACAAGAAGAAAACCAAGAAGCGAGAGTAGTAAAGGAGTGGAACCCTGCAAGATGCAGGAAGAAGCTGTCAAGCAAGCTGACGGGTGGGAAGATACTTGCTTGATGGGCGAACGGGGGGTAGAGACGAGAAGCACGGCGCGCCCATGCCGTGTCCTTTAGCTTTTTGATGCCGGCATGGCTGCCACAACGGTTACATGGCGTTCCGTGATTGCAGATGCCATTTCGTCTGAGCTCCGGGGGTCTGCAGGTACGTCGACGCTAGGTGCCCGAGGCGAAGTTGGTTCGTCGCCTAGTGCGTTGTTTCAGTCTCGATCCATGCAGAAATTCGGGACCAAAGTGGAGGGCGACGGCATGAGGGGCAACATTGCGCGCGCCGCTCGTGCAGAGCATCAGCCAGCACAAAGCATTGTCGATCTCTGCTCTCTTGGTCAATTGGGTGGGAAGATTTCGATCAGAATAATTCCGGGACTTGCCCGATCTCTGGGCGACCGTCCATCATCGACAAATATCGTGGTTCGTTCTGCTTCTGCACCAACCGTCTGCTGGAGCGAAGCACCAAGCCGGTTAATTTGGCCCCAGCCACAGGCGAGATCAGCGTTACACAGGCTATATCCGTCGACCTCTTTTCGCGGGTTTGGTGTACGAGAATGATATATTAGACCACAGTATTGCTGGCTTGATCTAGCCCTATCATGGAACGGCAGCACAGACTGCCGTTGATCGAAAGTCGAAGACAATGGCCTCGACATCTTGTCGCTGGGGGGCACAGCTCGATGCCCAGCAGGAATAACAGTGTGTTTCCCGAAGCGCACTTGTATGCACTGCGGAGCATTTAGTCTGGGATACCCCTCGCAGAAATGGATCCTCGTCGTACTCGGCGTGGGAGTTCGATACACGCGAAGCTTGACACTCGTTTCGAGAGAGCCCACATTCGTCCTCGGCCACAATTTGCGCACGTGTTCGCGTGGATCGCCGCTCGCTCAAGATCGCCGGCGCACGAACTATGGCATCCTTTTGCTACCCACAAGACTCATCCAGCCTAAGATGCAGATTCTCGCAGTTCGGACACTCGGAGAAGCAGGGGTCTTGACACGGTCCAACACTGGCCTGAGACCTACTAACGAACATCGTTGTTTAGTGTCCCTGTATCCAGTACGCAGCGTACCATCCGCCGGGCTGCCTGGCCCCTAGCAAGAGACTATAACGCCGCGTTTCGGACCATCACCCCTCAGTAACGTCTAGCCAAGTTTTCTTGCTACCAGTCCCACAGAGAACCGATGACTCGCCACGCATTAGTCCTCGGCGACTAACGGGACCTGTTGCTTATCCCGATGGTCTCTGCGGATGAACAACGCTACTGCCGCTCTGACAGCAGTGACTCCTGGGCATCGGCAGGTGGCAACCAGGGGCAGGGTTCGTAGCCAGCACGACAGCATGCGCGGGACCACTCGGTACTTGCGACCACGCGCCAGCATTCAAGCCTCCCGAAGAAGTTGACCCCCTTGGTGAAAGGCTCATAAGCCGGCTTCATATGGATATCTGAGCCCTTCGGCCCTCCTTGGTTCCACGTCGTCGTGTGCCCTTCACCCTGCTTGAGCCAGCACCAGCCGCAAACATGTCGTCGTCACAGAATTATGTCACCTCGGGCTTGCTGCTGCGGACGGCCTACGCCATGATAGCGACGACCACCCTCGTCTTCGTTGGCAGAGCCGCAACCAGGATCTGGCGGCCAAAGCGCATCATGGCCGAGGACTACATTCTGCTGTTGGCTTACCTGTTCTTCCTGTCCACGACGATCCTCTATATCGTTGTCACGCCGACCATGTACAGGGTGAGCGATGTCGTGGCCGGCAAGATTCCACCGTACGCCGAGCTCGCGGATGACAGTCTCTTCATGATCAAGATCTTCTTCGCTAACTCGATGATGTTCTGGTTCACGCTCTGGTCAGCACCACCCCCGACTTCCCCGTCAGTATCGTCCACCAGCCTAACACGTTCCTACAGGTCTGTCAAGTTCGCCTTCCTCGCCCTCTACTACCGTCTCATGACTGGCATCAAACGCTACATGCAACTTTGGTGGGGCGTCCTCGCCTTCTCCGTCCTGGTCGGTCCCCCGTCCCACATACCATAACCCATATCAAAATATACTAATCATCCGATCAGACCCTCATAGGCTGCATCGTCTCCAACTTCACCTCCTGCCACAGCATGCACGCCTGGTTCACGCCGGGCCTCTGCTCCACGCCGCGCGACGTCCGCGCCCAGATCGCCTCCCTCTACTACGCCTTCGCGACCGACGTCCTGACCGACCTGATGGTCATGTTCCTGCCCATCGGCCTGATCTGGAACCTCCAACGGCCCACCCTGCAAAAAGTCGGCATGGGCGTCCTCTTCGGCATCGGCTGGATCTGCATCGCCATGGCCATCATCCGCGTCGTGCAGATCGGCAGCAAGGCCGGCAACGCCTCGACGCCCAGTTCCTCGTGGTTGGCCTTCTGGGCCATCATCGAGAGTGCCATTGCCGTCATCATCGGCTGCGGGCCGGGCTTGTACTCGACCGCCAAGGAGGTCAGGAATACGAGGAAGGGCGGCACCTACGGGAGCAGTGGCGTCGGCAAAGGCTATGCCGGGCGCTACATGTTTGAGAGTGATGGGTACAGGCGACAGCGCAGCGGAGGCGATCACAGAGGGGTCGGGCTGGAGAAGGACGATACAGAGTTAGTGGGTATCGCGAGCGTCATTGGTGGCCGTCCGCCGCACAGGAAAGGCCAGCCCAGTATGGATATCATGGACTATGGCCGGCGCGATGCCGCGAGCAGCCAGGAGCAGTTGAACGAACCTGTCGGCGCAGGTCAGATCCAGGTGAAGCGCACGGTCGAGGTCAACGAGCTGGAGCTGGGGCAGAAGAGGGCGTCACGTCAGGGGTATAACTGGTGAGAGCGAGGAACGCATCCCTCAATTACAGACTTGGGGCTTGGTGCGCGGGGACTGGGTCTGGTCCTACTGTAGCTTGTGACGGCCAACTGGGGGGCACGAAGTAACGCAGCATCACATGTACAAACAAGTCCTTTCAGAAGTCAGGTCTTTCCGAGTGAGCTTGTCATCGAGTGCGATGAACGTAGACAATAGCTGCCCACCTCAGCCTCATGCTGTCCACCCTACTCTCAGGGACGACATGGTTCCACCTCGCCCCTAGAGTCCCCCTCGGACTTGTCCACGGATAGGACCGCAAGGCAGTGGGACGGGCCGAGAACTCGGTCTCTCCAGCAGCCGAGAGCCTGCGGGTCTGAGAGGTAGATCTATACTCACACGTCCATATACAGAAGGCCATTGCCCCCATATACAGATCCTTTACAGCTCCAGTAACACATCAAGAGCCCGCTACCTGCCCCTTAATAACGGACGAAGGAGCCCCGGCTGCCTTAACGCTGCAAGTCCCCGCCACCAACAGCTACGCCAAGCATTCACTGCCTGACCCCCCACCCTCCTCCTTCCTTTCTCTCCTTCCTTTCTCACGGCACACCATCGAGAACCACGGTATCCGGCCCTGGCGGCAGCAGAAAGTCTTCCGGCGTATCCCTCGGCAACTGTCGCACCTCCGCCCACTTCCTTATATCCTCGTAGTTTCGGCACTTGTGCGGCGTGTTGAAATCGACGAACGGCGCTGGGATCTCGTCGTCCGGGGAGGGCCGGTACCATACTTGGCCGAAGACGCCGACGTCGGCGTGGCACATGAGTTGCTGGCGGAGGATGTCGAGGCAGTGTGCTAGGTCGGCACGTTAGGGCTACGTGCGTTGTGGAGTCGTCGTAGGGACAACTTACTAACGTGTAGGCGCACAATGCTGTCGTTATTCTTGAAGGCTCCGTCGCCTAGGGCGCGGTAGTAGTCGTAGTTGAAGTAGAGGGTTTGTCGGACGAGGTTCTGGAACAGGTCAGTTGGGTGGATGGGGCGTTGAGGCGGACAGTATTTCTTACGAGACAATGCAGATGGTGCAGACCCTCGACGTTGGCTGGATACCCGCCTCCATATCTAGGGTCGATTTGGACGTGGTCTTTCCGGAGACCTGCCTCTTGCGCCCTCTCGACGGGGATCCTTACTGGGCGATCTGGCCTTGGTCAGCGTCCATGGTGGCTGCTTTGATGTCTTGGACCGGACTCACAGTTCACGCCCAGAGCTTCCCAGGCCGCATCCACTTCTGGAGACGCTGCTTGTCGGTAGATGTTCTCGGCCATAAAGGAGCCATTGAATTGAATAGTGTTGTATTCGATGTCAAGATCTTCCAGCATTGGAGCTGTTTTTGTCAGTCACGGCTCCTATATACCCATTGGGCGTACCGACTGCTCTGCGTTGTCTGCCTCACGCATTGATTGTATGTTGGCCGCAGTAGGCTATAGCCGATCAACAGACCTGCCAACAGCCCGATCAACGTTGACGTGCTTGACCATAGAATCACGCTTGCGTTGCTGGGGCCTGACGACCAATGTTTCGACCGCCTCGCCCCTGCACCGTCGCCAAGCAGTGCTTCATGGTCGCCGACATCGCCGAATAGCTCGCTCGAGGTCTTCATCGTCTCCAACGACGTCTCTGTCGTTTCTGAGAGATAGCAGAAATCCCATCTGCACAGCTCCTAAGAGGTAGCCGACTGATAAGCCCCTCCATACCCGGTGAAGGCTTGGATTCGAATGCCAGAACTGCCGGGCGCACGTGTGGTAGCTTCATCTTGTGTTACGCGAGATGCTGAGGCCAGACTCGGTGAACACGAGGCCTGCCTCTGAAATAGCACCGACAATGTGGAGGAATACGAGGTGCATCGAGAGCTGAAAAAGCACCAGTCGTGCCAAGGCTCCTCCCTCCAACGACATCAGAGGCGCAGCCCAATGCCATTTCAGCCCTTCACCATCGCCGTTACCACATTCTTTGCTTCTTCCATGGATCCGGCTCCTGGAGGACCCACACGATGGTAACCCAGCGAGGAAGCTTTCCGTAAGCTCAGAACCCTTACTGCATTCCACGTCACATGAACGATATCGAGATCCTTGGCACTCGAGGATCCCGTCAAAGTCAGAAGCAACCTCTTCTAGAGCTGAGAAGTGGTACGCCTACGGAACGCGATGGAACTGGAGCAACCTCGCGTTAAGGCACCATCGTTCGGTGTTGCTGTTGTTGAGATCTCCAATCGTGACCATTGATGCCCTCACGTAGGAAAGACATTGGTGTCAGGGCTTCAGGTAAGTGAGCTACAAACCTGCTCTCGAAACGAGGGCAATGACGTTACACGTGGACAAAAATGTGTCGCTCGCAATCGAATTCGACGAAGCTACACCTCGTGTTTTCGCTTATCCTTGGAAGACATGCATATGCATATACGACGAGCCCCAATCCGATGTCTCCCTCACTGCTACCCGACCTCGTACACAACCGGTCTAAGCCCCCAAAGCTTTCCAGAACGGAGCCACCGGGTATACTGACATTGGTCACGCCTCGCAGATATCGCCCCCAAAGCCTTCAGGATGGTGCAGAACACGAACTGCAGCAGCCAGCCCAGTAGCTCGGACCTTCAGCTACATCCATTTCAGGTCGAGTACCTCCATGGTACAAAAGCTCCTAAACCCCAACGAAACAGCTCCGTCAGTCCGGCACCCTATTCCTCCCACCAGACTTGTAAACCACCATGAAGCTCTTGCACCTCCTCGCCGTCCTGCCCCTCGCCGGCGTCCTTGCGGCTCCCACGCCGCAGGGCACTTACGCTGACTATGGCGGTACGTTTTTCTTGTTCAACACACTCCAAATCCCTCGGTCTCTGCTCGTCGTTCCTAGTCCACTAACATGAGCAAATCCAGACTACAATCTGCCCAGCTACGCCTCGTACGGCAGCTACGAAGGCACCCCGCCCCCTCCCAGCGAGAACCCATACGGATCGTACGGCGACGTAAGTTCCTCCGCCATTCCTCCCGCTCAATCATCCCTCTTTCACTCCATCTTCCATCTTCCATCTTCAAACGCAGCATCCCCACTAACCCCTCCGAATGTACAGTACGGCAGCTACAAGCGCGAAGCCGCCCCGGAACCCGTCGCTGAGCCGGCGCCCGAGCCTGCTCCAGAGGCTGCTCCCGAGCCAGCTCCCGGCTACGGGGCCTAGATACACCAATGAGTGAGTTTTGCCTTTTGCTGCTATTCCCCGAGCTGCCGGCAGCAAGTCATCATCGTCCTCTCCCCCCCCCCCCCAAACGCCTTTTTCTTAATCTGCCCTTTCGGCCCTTTCGGCCATTCCTTCCACGACAAGTAAAAGAATGAAACACCCAGTGACTGACCGTGCTGGTTCCATCAGTGGTAAATACGCCAGTTACGGCTCGTAGGGGCTCGTAGGGGCGGCGTTCGGGGTCGCCCGTCAACCATCATGGAACGTCAGATTGCTCTGCTTTGCTTTGCGGTGATTGATGGGGCTTGCCTTTGCAGGGCCACTGCTGGATGAAAGGGTGGAAAGGGTGAAAGAATGAAACGACGTTATGTATCGTCTGGTAAGATGATGCGGGCGGTTTTGCATATGATATATGATGGTCATGGACAAATGTGTCCTTCCCACAAGTTTGAAAAAAAAAAAAAGAAACTGCATTGCATTGTATGTTCTGAGTTTGCGAATTTATGAGATGGAGGAGGGATGAATTACTCAGTTATCCCTGCATTGCTCACCTTATGATACCCACGCAGAGAGACAGGTACGCGTGTTTTATTAATACATCATGATCAAGAGGTACTTGTAATTGAAAGGTGAATTAACAGCTACACAGTTAGCTACACACCGTTAGATGCTTAGTGAGCTCAATGGCCAGGGCTGCTGTGGGCGCCACGAACACTAATCTTGACGCCGCAGACCACGGTTTGTGAGCAATGAGCTCGCTGACAGCAGCAACGTTATCGTTGCCAACCAATCTCATCGGAGGGAGTGTTTCGATAGCATAGCAGTACAGGTGGAGGTTCCAGAAGCGAGGGTCGCTTCGCCAAGTCTTGACTGTCTGCCTGTTCAAGACCGTGGGGGGATGGGTGTGCCACCTTCAGGTCCGTTATTATATACTAGGTGAGAAGCTAGTCGATGCGGCACGGTAGCGTAGGGCTCTGGGGTGTATGTTTGTGATATACTGGTCTACTGTTGACCCCTTGGGTAGTTGGAGTAGCCGCAGAGCATAAAGGGTTCTTGTAGCTGCGACAGCATCATGTCAAGTCTAATGCCCTTGAAGGGCGGGACGTATTATGGTATGGGCACAGAACCCAGATATGCAGCTAGCCTCTACTTGCTGGCGGCGAGACTTGAACAACTGCATCAATCCTCATACCTGGTTTACATGTATCCAGGGTCCCCAAACCCCTAAACGAGCCTCGCTCAACGGGAATGCCACTCCCAACTCTCAGCAGTATCGGCCATGGCGCCTATCAAATTGCGTCTGCCGCCGATGCTCAGATTCCGAATCATGAATCTCGGTGCTGTCATCGTCCTCACCATCGTCACCGAAGACACTGGATCCAAACGTCGAACCCGTCGTGCCGCTTTCGGACTCCGACTCCGCCATCTGGGCGCGGCCGGGTTGACCGAGTGCAGAATACTCCGACCTGCCGTGTCCCGTCATCTCTGCCGCAGTCAAACCACTTGACGCGGAGTCACAGCCCTGCTGGCGAGGCCGCGGATCCTTATTGCGAGAGCGTCGATCATCCCCCCCTGGAGCGTCTCCGCCGCCCGACCCCTGGCCCTCCTCCATCAAAGTGTCCATCGTCTCGAGCACTTTCGAGCTACTTCTCCGCCGATTCCTCGGACGCGGTGACGGGTGCGGCGATGCCTTTGAGCCCGACACCTCCGTGCTGGCCGAAGAGGCGGACTCTCCTCCCACCGATGACGCAGCGCGCGTCACCCAGTTAGACTCAGGAGCCACCCATTCGCTGTGCGCGCGTGTCCGCTCCTGCTTGTAGCCCATCGAAGTCAAACTCCTCTCGTTGGGCTTAAAATTAGGCAGCATCCACAGCGAGACGCGCACAGGGAGGTTCTCCCACATCCGCTTCGCAGCCGGCACCTGCGGAGCGCACACACTGCAGTACTCTGTATACTTCCCGCGGCGATGCCGCGCCTGCTCCTGCGCGGGCAACGTTTCCACCAGGTCCCACAAGTCAGGATCGCATTTGCTGCTGTTGCACGGCTTGACGGCGTCGATCTGCGCTTTCTGGGGCAGGTCGCGGATCTCGCTCCACGCGATTCCTCGATAGCGTTGCCGGGAAGTGATGTATTTGAGCCACTCTCTTACCTCTGGGCTTTCGTTGGGTCTGGCCTTTTGGCGGATGTGGTGGAGCAGATCCCTCTGAGCGTGGGCGCCCAGGACGTGGAAGATGGTCTTGTTGCAACCGCCACGGTGGCTGAAACCTGGTGGATGAGAGGGGCAGTTGGCGTGGTAGCCTAGGTAGAAAATGCACATGCTGCGTGCGGATACGGGGTCGGTGGGGCGGAAGGAGTGGTTGTTGAGTCGGAATTCCTGGGGCCGTGAGGTGGGTACGAGGCCAAGGGCTCGGTGAGGTACGTTGGCAAGGACTGATATAGTCGCGTTCTGACGAAAGCCATGGCTGAGGCTTCGTTCGCTGTCAGTGTTATGAGTCTGCCATGCTCGAGTCACGCACTGTTTAGGTCTGCCTGCGTGCATTGAGCAAACGCAAATCATCTCTGCACGAAACCGAAGTTCTCTGTAATTCATCGAGACTGGTCGAGGTGTGAGCAGACCGTAAGTGCATACCAGAACAACAACGCGTCTTCCCTCTTGCATGACTTGTACCTAGAGGATGTGTCGATGCAATGACGAGGCCGAGTGGGTACCCTGGACGCTTGCGTAAGTGCTGTAGACGCGAAGGAGCAGCGTTGCTGACTTTCATTTGTGTGCTAACCATGCCACAGTGTGCATGAATTGGGGGAAGAGCGACTTTGCATGGCCGGAGAGGCATCGGGTTTTCTGAACATATCAATTCCCATCGTACACTCGTTTCATCATATCCGTGTAAAAGCCAATCAACCACCACTTCCCGCGGCAGCAGTGGTTGTGTTCCTCCAGTCTTCGAAGCTGGATGCTTGCAAACTTCCAGATCCAGTGTTTCTCTTCTTCTGCTTCTCTTCCCATTCACCTTCCTCCTGCGCAATCATGGTATGGAAACGTCCACCTTGGCCTCGCCCCATATAATGTGCGCCCTCTTCTCTCTTCGCGACCCTTTCCGTGACGAGCACATATTTGACGCTCGAACCAGGAGCTTCAAACATGGCATCTCCGAGGATAGCCTCCATTTCGGTTCTAAGTGCACGAGCACCAGTGCCCATTGCTAGAGCATTGGAGGCAACAACATGTAGTGCGGGCGTCGTGAATCGAAGCTCGATGTTAGAAAGTGAGAAAAGCGTAACGTATTGCGCGAGCAGGGATGACCTTGGCTCAGTGAGGATGCGGAGAAGCAACGTGTGCGTAAGCGGTGCTAAAGCAGCCGTGATGGGAATGCGACCGATAAGTTCCGGGATGAAGCCGTACGATTGAAGATCGCCCGGAGTGAGCAGGTCGAGAGCGTTGAAATAAGCGGGCTCCTGGGGTACACCATCGATGATCTCTTCTGGTGCCGGGGCTGGTGTGAAGAAAGGCAGATGCTTCTTGTACAGGGCTTCCTCTTCAGAACCAGGTCGGATAGGAATTGGGGCATTGGTGGTTGACTTTTGATCTTTCGAGGCGTCATAAGCCAAACTGCTCGAAGCCGCTCGGACTCGGGCTCCGAAGCCAATACTGCCTCTAGCTAGCCTGTCCATAATATGCTTCTGCAGACCGGTGAAGGCGCCACTGCAGATGAAGAGGATGTTGTCTGTGCGGACATTGTAGACTTCGCCCTTTTGAGGGCTGGACGCACCAGCTGGAGACCCAAGCGGACTATTAGTCGGATAGGTCGGGGACTGGCCGCCTGCTCTGGGAGCGTTACGCTCAGGCTTGGCTTGGATCTGAATAGTTGTGCCTTCAATGATCTTGAGCAATGCCTGCTGAACACCTTCTCCGGACACATCCTTGCCGTGGCTGACTTTGGCAGTGGCAATCTTATCGATCTCGTCTAGGCAGATGATTCCGCGTTCAGCTCGCTCGACATCGTAATTGGCCGCAGCAAGCAGTCTATGCACGCAGACCTCAGCATCCTCGCCTATATAACCGGCTTGCGTGAATGGTGTACAGTCTGACATCGAGAATGGAACCGAGAGTACTCTAGCCAGAGTCTTCGCCATCAAGGTCTTGCCAACGCCACTCGGACCAAGTAACAAGATATTGGATTTCTCGATTGTAAGTGGGGTTGTGTCAACGAGCGGGATGGGAGCACGTCGTGGCATATCTTGTGATCCGCCGACCATTCGGATGGTGGGCTGCTGGCCTGGGTACTCGCTCTCGACGGGATGTCGTTCCCTGCGCTCACGTTGAGCCATGAGCTCTTCCTCTTCAGCATCTCTTCGTTCGAGCTCTTGTATCCTTTGATAGTGGTTGAAGACAGCGACACTTAGAGTCTTCTTTGACCGTTCCTGACCGACGACAAACTGATCAAGATGTTGCTTGAGCATCTTGGGCGTAAGCCGCGGAACCCCATGGTGCACGCCACCTAAAGGGCCTGAGGTCGGGAGACCGGGTTCGTAGGTGCCAGTGAAAGGTTGGTTCGAGAAGTCGGAGCGACGGAACTGCGAGGAGGATGAGCGTGCGGCGGATTGGTGCAAAGAGCGCTTCGCTAAGGATATATAGGTATTTCGTAATCGAGGCGTTAGAGCACGGTTCGGGGGGGTTGCCAGGGCCGGGCAAAGAAAGCTAGGGACGCTCAGCGCCCGCTTCATGATGTCGAAACAGGTTATACCAGGAATGAATATTGGGAAGTGTATAGTAAGTGAGAAAAGAAAACCGCAAAAGGTCGAGGCAGCGATGAGCTCGAAGCTCATCCGATAGCATGACTCGTCGGCGTGGAGAAGTCCCCCCGCGAGATCACAAAGCTTGGCAGATCTAATCTAATCTCAGGAGGACGCTTCCACTACTTTGAGTCCTCCGACTTTACTTCCTTCAGCTCATTCTCCTTAGATGACTCCGTTGCTTTAGCACTACTTGGCTGTTATGATACGCACGCAGCAGGCGGAGATCTGCTACTTGCTCACGCTCGTGACGCTGTGACCACGGACCGAGCTGCATACGATGCTGCTTTCATCCTCCTTTTGAGTCGTTTTCATCCTGAACGTGTAGGTGTCTACAGGTCCTGACAGACCTCTTCCACGATATTACGAATTGCAAGCTTCATCAACAAGGAACCGCTCCCTAACAATATGCTCTTCAACGGTAATGTTGTTGGCGATGCGCGTAGTCTTGGCGAATCCTCTGCCTGGGTCTTACGCGATGATGGTTATGATGGCCATACTAGCTTCAATAAAGTCTCAGCCCAGGCTATGGTCAGCCTTCTGTCTGTACTGTGACTTTTGCTATAGTGCCGAGCTGGCTTCAGGCATGTCTCATGATGGACTCTGGAGGACAGCCGGCGAGCATGAGTGGGGTGTAAACAGCTCGTGTGGGCCTATCAGCGATTCGGCCCGACTTTCCGGCGAGTCCCAGGCTGCGGTTTTGAGCATTTCCGCTGCCCGTCAGAGCGAATTTTTCCACAGGCTGTCGCTGCAGGGACGCGCTACACGAATGTTCGAGGGCGATCTTCCGTGATATAGCTCTGGACTAGTGCATCAAAAATTGTTGAGGAATTTGAGATGCACGTCCGAGGCGAGCTTGCTAGACGGCTGCTCGTGTTGACAGCTGTTATCTGAGTTGTCCGTCACTTATGAGGAGGCACAACAGCTACTAGGATATACTTGTACTTCGTGCCCGCCGGCATTCAATTGCGTACCCGGATGGGAAGAATGCGGTTGTCAAGCCGGTCGCTACTTGTTCCTCCCCACAGTTCATGCTAGCGGGGCGGTGGTGGGGTAACAGCGTAAATTGTTGCGTCAGGCTGCATCTCGCCCAACCGCCCAAATGCTCTGCTAAACAAGAACCATCAGAGCTCCTGCGATTTTTCGTGGACCCCTCCATGACTGCTTGCCCCTCAAAAATTCACTCACAACTATATCAGCTTCGTCTGATATCTCTATTTCTCCTACTATAGCACTCACATCTTTGCAACATGGCCGGCACAGTAAACCAAGAATCCTCCAACTCGGTGCTTTCGCAGCCCGCTGGCTCGGCTGCTCCAGACGGTGCTGGCATCATCCAGCTCGACCCCTGGCTTGAACCCTTCCGTGAGAACCTCAAGCAACGATTCTCGAAAGCTCAACAATGGATCGATACCATCAACAAAACAGAAGGAGGTCTGGAGCAGTTCTCCAGAGGGTATGAGAAGATGGGCTTCACGTTCGGCCCAAACGGCGATATCACATACAGAGAATGGGCACCCGGTGCTCGCGAGGCATCCTTGATCGGTGACTTTAACAATTGGGATCGTGGTGCCATTCCCATGCGGAGAAACGACTTTGGTGTCTGGGAAATTGTCATCCCAGGAAACAACGGCACTCCTTCGATCCCACACAACTCCAAGCTCAAGATCTCCATGGTTACAGGCTCCGGCGAACGTATCGAGAGACTGCCTGCCTGGATCAAGTATGTCACTCAGGATCTTTCTGTCTCTCCCGTCTACGATGCCCGTCTATGGAACCCTCCCGAGCACGAGAGGTATAAATTCAAGAATCCTCGCCCTCCCTACCCCGAGAGTGTCCGCATCTACGAAGCCCACGTTGGCATCTCCTCTCCCGAGCCCAGAGTGGCCAGTTATAAAGAGTTTACCAAGAACATGCTACCCCGGATAAAGTATCTGGGCTACAATGTTATCCAGCTGATGGCTGTCATGGAGCATGCCTACTACGCCAGCTTTGGCTACCAGATCAACAACTTCTTCGCAGCGAGCTCCAGATACGGCACCCCCGAAGACTTGAAAGAGCTCATCGATACCGCCCACGGGCTAGGCATCACTGTCCTGCTGGACGTCGTACATTCCCACGCCAGCAAGAACACATTGGACGGTCTCAACATGTTTGATGGCACAGACCACCTGTATTTCCACGAAGGTGCCAAGGGTCGTCATGAGCTATGGGACAGCCGTCTCTTCAATTACGGCAGCCATGAGGTCCTTCGCTTCTTACTCTCAAATCTGAGATTCTGGATGGAGGAGTATCAATTCGATGGTTTCCGCTTCGATGGTGTTACATCCATGCTTTATCAACACCATGGTATCGGTACAGGTTTCTCCGGCGGATACCATGAGTACTTTGGCCCTTCTGTGGATGAGGACGGCGTTGTCTATCTGATGATCGCCAACGAGTTGCTGCACACACTCTACCCCAAGGCCATTACCATTGCCGAGGACGTTTCAGGCATGCCTGGCCTGTGTGTCAAGCTATCTCTTGGTGGCGTTGGTTTTGATTACCGCTTGGCCATGGCTGTCCCTGACATGTACATCAAGTTGCTCAAGGAAAAGTCTGACGATGAATGGGACCTGGCAAACATCGCCTTTACCCTCATCAATCGTCGTCATGGCGAGAAGACGATCGCTTACGCTGAGTCTCACGATCAAGCATTGGTTGGTGATAAGAGTCTCATGATGTGGCTTGCCGATGCCCAGATGTACACCAACATGTCAGATCTCACCGAGTTGACGCCGGTCATCGAGCGTGCCATGTCCCTGCACAAGATGATCCGCCTACTCACCCATTCGCTCGGTGGCGAAGGTTACCTCAATTTTGAAGGAAACGAGTTCGGTCACCCAGAGTGGCTTGACTTCCCCCGAGAGGGCAACAACAACTCTTTCCACTATGCTCGGCGTCAGTTCAACCTGCCCGACGACAATCTGTTAAGGTACAGATATCTCAACGAGTTCGACCGCGCCATGAACCTTTCTGAGGAGAAGTTTGGCTGGCTTCACACACCGCAAGCCTATGTATCACTCAAAAATGACGCTGATAAGGTTCTGGCCTTTGAGCGCGCCGGCCTGCTCTTCATTTTCAACTTCCACCCCACCAACAGCTACACCGACTACCGCATAGGCGTAGACACACCAGGCACCTACAAAATCGCCCTCGACTCCGACCGAAAGGAGTTTGGCGGCTTTGAAAGGAACGAGCGAAGCACTCGTTTCCACACAGAGCCCTTGGCCTGGAACAACCGCGCCAACTGTCTCCATGCCTACCTTCCTACTCGCAGCGTCATCGTTCTAGCATTGGAGAACCTCGTTGATGCATAAGTTCGTCGTGGTTGATGGTTAATGGGAATCAAATCGGCCGATGTGTGGGCCGGTCAAAAATCACCATGAATGTATGAGTGGCGGCCAAAGGCCCTGCAAGAGAGGATGGATGGGGACTCCAGGCCGGGAAAATAGATCTAATCACTCCGGACTTACACGCAAGGCGTTAGGGATGGGCTTCAGGTGGGAAGGAGATTTCATAGGACCATGCAATTTGAGATACATGGCGAAGCACACACCGCAAAATCATGCACTGCGGCCTTTTCAATGTTCTACTCTTAACGTATACCTATGTTCGCCCAATACATGAGATGAGATACCAGGTACCCTTTTTGTTGTTGTACAGACTAGATATACTGGCCCCAGGATCTCCTGCTATTCGAACAGAACAGAACAGAACAGAGAGGGGAGAAAATTCTTAATCACAATCGAATAGTCTCACTGGCTCTAGCTTAGCTCTCGTCTCTGACTGGAGTCGAGGTCGAGGTCGAGGTCGAGCCGAGATGGCAAGAAGCGTCTTTTCCATTGCATTTTGCTGTTTTGGCTCCTTGCTGAACGCTCGTGGTGACACCAGCTACGCTTTCTGCCGCCACCACCACCACCACCGACTCGTCGTACGAGGCATCGCAGGAAGCAGCATGGTCCGGTGTGGGAGTTGGGATGTGATGTACGTGCAGTAGTCGAACTGACGAGCCTTGAGGCCCTTGGCGTTGAAAATGGCGTGGATTACCTACCACAACTTCCCGCCGACCCATCGATCCTTCGCCCGTTCCTCTCTTGCCAGCCTCACTAGCTGCGCCAGTCCACCTCCGCCTGCCGCGACGCCCAGTCCGGGCACCAGATCGGCTTCCTCGGCGCGCTTTCCCCGCGCCTTCCCCAAAAGCCAGTCGGCCACCGTCACCACCCTGCTCGTCCGGTCGTAGCCGCTGTCCTCGTCCGCGTGCTCGATCGTGTGGCTTGCGACGCGGCCCTTGGCGTCGAACGTGAAGATGAAGAGGCCGCTGAACTGGTTGTCGTTGTTGGTGCTGAGGCGCTGGCTGCCGCCGAGGAGAGTTGAGAGGGAGGCGTTGGTGTCGTGCGCGGAAGTCGAGGCTGATGCCGCGGGGGTGGATGTGTGGCCGTTCGTTTTGGCTTCGGTCACCCACCGCACGACGAGCTTCTCTTCCCCAGCATCTCCGTCCAAGTCTCGTGTCGCATCGGCGCCGTAGCCTGTGCGTACCATCTTCTCGCTCACGATGCGTAGTTTGACATTGCCAACCAAGGGCACGGTGCCCCATGCGACCGGTGCGGTGAAGAGGGCGGCACGGTATGCAACCCGCCCTTTTACGACGGGCAGGTGGGGGTGTGTCGAGGGGAAGAGGTGGAGGGTGACGCTTGGGGAGATGATGGAAGGTGGAAGCGGTACGGTGAGTATGTTAGGGAGCAATGGCGAAAGGGTACGAAGCGTGCGACCTAGAGCGAGAGTACGCTCGGACGGAGGTGGGTGGTCTGAGTTGGTGCTGTCGGGCCCGTGGTTTTCGGAGAGAACGGAGGAGCTCGGCGACTGGCGCGGCGCAGACGAAGTGAACCACAACTCATGGAGAGGCTCTGGACGCACCTGAGCCAGAGCGCGGCTTGGTGGGTTAGATCGTGGGGAGGGAGGAATGTGTGATGGTCGCCATGACTGCGATTGCAGTGTTCGGCTGAGAGTGGTTCGAGCGACTGATGGCGCGGGGAGCTTGCGCATGGGTACGCTGGTCATCTAGGCGGCTCGTGCATAGTTTTATGGGCTGTTGACACACACACTACTAAACGGAAATCAACGGCAACAAGGATTCAAACTGGTAGAAATGTATTCCCTTGCTCAAACGCAGCTGCGCAGGTGACGAGAAACTTTGGGGCAAGTTTAGGCGGGGTGATGTCATTAACTCCAGCTATCTCCTGGGAAGCTTTGCAGTTGCTTCAACGACCTGAGTTCTTTCGTTCTTCGTCTCTACCTTCTTTGCATTATTACATCATGCTCAGATGTCGGTCACCGAATCTGCACCTCGCTATGGTCGAGACCCCGTTTCAATATCTGTGGCCACCGTTGTTCCCGAGATGTCGGACCCACCGGCCCTTCATTAGGCAACAAGGCAGCAAGAGTGGAGCATTTATTTACACAACTCCACCACTTGCAGAAATGTCCGTCTTCTCGACAGCTGAGCCAACCAAGGTTTGTGAGTCTCTAGTTACTAAGCTGCCTCATCCTCAGAGATTTTACCCATCGTACGTGAGTCTCGCGCCATTCCGCCGAATTGCGAATGCTTTCGTTGCCTCGAATACTGAACACGACGAATCCTAGGACGAAGTCAGGCACGATGAATAGCTTGAATATGCAGCTACGGTTTCAGCTACAAGGATAAGTTGTTATCTCAAAAGTACTGCTTGCTGTTCCTCAAGCAAGAGATCGCATAGAGAAACCCCCTCTGGTCACGACAATGGTTCAACTCTATTCTTGTAGGCTGCTGGTCAGCTCTGACAGCCGAGTCACAGACGCATGAGTACCTCTGAAAAATTGCTGAGTACCTCGGAAACACTACATCCAATTCCAGCCATACCTTGGGGCATTGGTGCCCTACTTGAGCATCTCCTCGTTCTCCTTGTCTTTGTCAATCTTTCGCTCAGGCTTGCAGCTCGTTGGAAGTGCCTCGCCATAACCAAGCACGACAGAAGCGTTTCTAATTGAGGGTCGTATGAGGAGGGGAGGATAGTCGGGACAAGGTTCACGATGGGAACAAAGAAAGCAGTAAACAGGTTGGGTATCTATCCCTCCAGGGGCCTAGATAGATCTCTCCTTCCTTCAGACCACTCAATACTACCAGTTCCACCTCCCCCTTTTCTGTATGCTGCCTATTCAGACCAAGTTTATCCAAATGATCTAGAGGTAGATGTGGTATTGCTAGAAGTAGACTAGCTCAGTTCAAGGCTTGGCAACGGGCGGACTCGCTCGCGCAAGAGAGGCGACGCAGCATTCTCCTCCTGACAAAGCGCATCATCTGTTAAGGAGGCTTCGGTAGCAAGACCGAAGTTGAATTCAACAGCTGGTTCGATACGAGATAGCACTTATTCACCACATTACCAATCCAACACCAGCTACCCTGCGGAGATTGACGAGGCGAGCCCGCCTTTCCCCATGCCTATCACCATGTGGCGACTCGTTAGCGAGAACGACTCCCCAGAGAAGGCACAGCTCTGGTCTCGGCCGGCGCAATACCATACTAACGGCGCAGGTCCATGGACTGACTGTATGCCAGAAGTCTTATCAAGTTGCTGCCAAGCGTGGGAGATGTCCACCTCTGTTCCTCATTGGGCCGCAAGCCACGTTATCTACTGGCCGCTACCTTGGATATGCATAGCTCTCGCATAGCTTTCTTGGCTGACCGTAAAGTCGGTGGCACGGCAGCAACCATGTGGTATCGGACGCATAAGTGCGTGAGCCAGAGTGGGCAGCTCGGAGAGCCGCTTAGCCGGTGGAACGACCGTGGTGATATAAAGACAGGTGCAGAGGAGCTTCATACCGGTACAGTCTCCAAGCAGATAACATGCGTTCGATTAGCCTCCTTCTGCTCGGTGCTGGCTTTGCTGTCGGCACTGCCCTTCCGCCACTCGGCTACGAGCGCAAGCTCCTGAGTGAGATTATCGACAAGCGGCAGTCCGGGGGTGGGTGCTTGGGAGGCGATGCCCCTTCTGTGGAGGCACCCAAGTCAAACGTATGGGCTCCGATCACCCCAGAGGAGAACCTGGCTGTTTGGAACCTGCTACATGACGAAGCCACGGGCCTGAACTTGACGCATCCAGATGACGCCGTGCTTACAGACAACTATGTCTTTTGGATTGACACATTGCACACCAACAAGACTGATGTGCTCCCGTATCTGGACGGAGATGGGCCTTTGCCACCAAAGTACGCCCGTGTAATCATCTTTGAGGGCGGCAAGGACGAGCCGGGCAGCCAGGAATACATGGTTGGACCACTTCCAGTCAGTGATGAGACGTCCGTGGAACCACTGGACTATGTCTACAATGGTGGCACCGGCGGTTTTGTGCCGTACAACGCCCGCTATCACGACACGCCAAAGAACGCTGCCGTTGAGCCTCTAGTGGTCGAGATCATGACCAACATCTCGGACATTACGCAAGCTCTATTCCAGGGAGCGGCCTACTACGGCAGCGCCGACGAGCGGACAAATCTATCACAGTCGGTTCCCACGCCCCTCTCGTTCGACGGCAGCCAGGCCATGCGCATCATCCTCTGGCGCTTCCCCGGCACAGCCTCGTACCTGACTCCACTCGATTTTTACACCATCCTCGATTGTCCCGGCACCGACCCCGCGCACTACAAGCTGCGCGGCTTCGTGACCAACGAAAAGTTCTACGCCACCGAAACCGAGCTGCGTGCCGCCTTCGACGCCGGCGAGCTCGCCCAGGAATTCGACCAGACCACCGACACGGACTGGGCGATCGTCGACTACAAGCCGGAGCTCGGCGTGCGCGAGCTGGAAGACCAGTTCGCGCCGTCGAGCATCGAGATCGGCGGCAAGCGCTACAAGGTCGACGTCGAGCAGCGCTATGTCGAGTACATGGGCTGGTCCTTCTACCTGAGCTACACCCGCACCCTGGGCATCATGTTCTACGACATCAAATTCAAGGGCGAGCGCATCCTGTACGAGCTCTCGCTGCAGGAGGCCTTGGCGCAGTACGCGGGCTTCCAGCCCAAGGCCGCGGGCACCACGTACCACGACACGTACTACTCGCTGGGCACCGACATGTATCCGCTCGTCGAGGGCTTTGATTGTTCCTTTGGCTCGACGTTCCTCAATGTGAGCTACCATTCCGGCAACTCGACGACGGTCAATCCCAATGCGATCTGTATCTTCGAGCAGGACTCGGGCTATCCGCTTTCGCGACATTTGTATGGCGGTGGCAACGGCAGTTACGGCTTCTCGAGGCTAGGTGTTACGAAGGGTGCGGCACTCATCACCCGTGCTATTGCGACTATTGGAAACGTAGGTCCTATCCTTCCCCCTTCACCGCTCCTGTGTAGTCTATGTGATTGGATTGAGATTCCAAACTTTGCTGTCGTCATGTCATCAATGACTAGGCTTTGGTCACCAGTATCAACTCCGCAATTGTTTCAAACGTCTGCTGACGCCCATTCTCCCTTCAGTACGACTACATGTTCGACTACGCCTTCCACCAAGACGGCTCCCTAGAAGTCACTGTGCGCGCCTCCGGCTACCTACAGTCCTCCTTCTACTACCCCGGCCAAAACAAGTACGGCCCGCGCATCCAGCAAGCCACGCAGGGCTCCCTGCACGACCACATTCTCAACTATAAAGCCGATTTCGACGTTGTAGGCACCGCCAACAGCTTCCAGATCAGCGACCTCGTCGTTGTCAACCAAACACAGCCCTGGTTCCCCGAGCTCGGCGAGTTCGAGCAGATGGAGCTTGACGTGCATAATCTCGAGACTGAGGCGCAGTTCAACTGGGCGCCGAACAATGAAGCCATGTATTGCGTTACGTCTGCGGAGGAGACTAATGAGTGGGGCCAGCCGCGCGGTTACCGTATCTTGCCAGGCCGCTCGAACCTGCATTTGACGCCGCTAAAGTCACCGTTTTCGACTCGGAACGCTGAGTTCGCTAAGACACATCTGGCGGTGACGCGCCAGAAGGATACGGAGCCGTGGAGCAATAGCGTGATGAACGTGAATCTGCCGGCGAAGCCGCAGCAAGATTTTGCGGCGTTCTTTGATGGCGAGAGCGTCGACGGCGAGGATCTGGTCGTCTGGTTCAACTTGGGGATGCATCACTTTACGAGATCTGAAGGTAAGTGTTAGCCACCTGTCGCTGTGATGTTGTTACTTTACCGTTGCTGCGACCCCCGGAGAAACAACTATTGACGCACAAGCAGATATTCCCGTCACGCTCTTCACCGAGGCATATTCGAATATTGTGTTCGCGCCGCAAAACTTCTTCGATCGGGCGCAGGATGGAGATTTGCTGAACAGACGCTACATCACCGTAGATGCTGAGACCGGAGAGTTGGAGTATGATGCGTACAACGTCTCGTTGCCGAGCTGTCCTTTGAGTCTTGAGGAGCCGGTACTGGCCGTGTTGCCACAGGGCGAGCTATGATCGGTCAGGAGACAGACTGGCAAGGATTGCAGGGTCATGCTGTGGGCGAGCCGTGCGTGACCTTGACGAGAAACAATGACGAGCTATCGTGCGAACTTCCGAGATAGATAGTAGCCGACGCGTAACGAATGACGATGAGCGAGTACAACAGTCCTGTTCTCAGATCGAGCTGTGGCGCCGGCACGGCGTGTGTTCGAGCAGCTCCATCTGTCTCATAATAATCATAATACGTAGAAACGGCAGTAATGGATATTAGAGCTGTCTGTAGTCCCGAACTGGTGCAAGAACGTCATTCCTGCCTGTGAAAGTATTGCCACATTGCCAAAGGCGGTGTAGGAGGAGGCTGGCAAACACGTGCAAGCTGTGTGACGCGTCATACAAAGAAGGCTGCAGCCACTGGCGGTTAGTGTAGGAGACGTCCTCTTTCAAGGAACAGACTCTCAGCACCCGTTTGTCCTGTGAAGCATGTTAGCAGTCATCAGATGGCAAACGATGAGGATCCCGGCAAATCCCGGTCTGTAGTGCAGTCACTGTGCTCTGGCGCCTGCCTCCTGATCTATCCCGCCTGCACTTTTGGAAGCAGAACCATCTTCCACCCAACAAACCACCAGCAACCATCAACACTAGTAACCATCAACACCATCAATCGTCAGTACCAGCACCATCAACAACAGTAACCATCATCTCCCTTTTGTATAGGGGATTTCCTTTCTCTCTTGACCAGATACCACGTGCCAGTGCTTGAGCTGGTGCAGTCTGCTCTCAGAAAGCAGACTGCAAATCTGGAGAACCAGGCATTCGAATGGTTGGACAGTCCATCTTCTCGGACCTCGAGGGCAGCCTCCCTGCCCTTTGAGGATGGAGTATCCTCTCCGAGAAGAAGGTCGGGTGCCCCACAACTGCGGCCCTGCCTGCTGCTGGGGCCTCTTCTAGATCATCATCGTCGTGGAAGCTTGGGTTCTCCCAGATCAATCAGGAAGTATGCTGACTCTCTCTCAGGTGCGTTCGACAGACGTAATCGTCCCGTTGGCTTCTCTCACACTCATCCTCGCCTCCACATTCTCCATCTACCGACAAGCCAAGTACCAACTCGACTCTATGAAGAAGTATCCCCGGAGCTTCTCCCGGAAATATGTGGACCGAGCTGGCACGTCGCCAATCTGGTTCACTATGCCACAAATGAACCCCGATTTCTAGCTTCGGCAGGGACAGTAGCAAAATCCCCCGAGTGAAACAAGCCAATATCCTTGAATCACAGTCATCCAGAACAACCAAGTTCCGGGTGAAAGAGCTGGGTCCATCGCTCGGATGCGGGCTGCATGATCACCAGTCCCGGTCGAGCTAGACCAAAGATTGTTGCCAGGTCTATACTCTTGGACAGACTTCTGATGGACATCATCAAGTCTTATGTTTTGTAGACTTTGTCGATTCCCATCGAAAGCTTCGAGTTGAATATCGCCAGAGAGCGCTACGGAGGCGATTGCCTCAACGAGCTTCGGCACCTGGGCTCTCTATGCTTGACTCAAGCATTACTCTTGCGAGAAGAATATTCTTGCATATTTGCAGCATTTCCTGGTTGTCCTTCGAGAGAAATGGCATAGCTCGGCAACTGGTGTTGACCGAGCTGTCATCGTCACGCATCTCTCTGGAGGCATGTTGACGCCCGGGCTCATATTGACCGAGCTATCAACGCCTTGGGTCTCCCGAAGAAACTTGGGTCACCGCAGCCGTGTTGACCGTGCTGTCAACATCTCATTCCTCCTTTGGAGTTATTACGAATACCGAGTAAGAGCTTCGAGCCTCGATAGTTTCTCAGTGGATTTGGTGAGATTGAGCTAGTTGCGTTTACCAGTCTCATTGATGACCGCCCAAACAGCCTTCTCAAGTTCGGCGAGAAAGCTTACGGGTCTGCTTCCGAGCCCCTGAAGAATGCAGCCTTGTCGGCCACGCAAGGCTGAACTTTCTTTCTACAGCACATACCAGTGCATGAATCAAAGCCTTTCGATTATCGCGAGGCTCTTCGAGGCTTTCACCACATCACTGATCGGTCCTGTGGCTGGCTATGGCTGGTGCCAAGAGAGACATCATAGCCATGCTTACCTTCATGAAGTACCGTACCCAGACAGTGCATCAACAGTCATGTTCCAAGTGCCGTCATCCTGGACGCCTCTTTCGCAATGCCACTGTGCTCTTTGAGCTCATGGCTAGGACGAGCCATGACGCAAGGAAAGACCTGCCACAAGACTGTCACATCAAGGTCGCAGGATCTGGCTGTGTTGACGCTTCGTCGCTTAGTCTCGCTCCCAGGCAGTTTGGCGAGAAAGGCGAGTCCTTTGCCACCTGGACAGGGGTAACGATGTACGGCTTCGACGATTCGAACCGATTACTTGGACGTCAGCAGTGGCAGTAGAACGCTGCCTGAGATCGAGCGTGAACCTAGGTACCCATGAGCCCGCGACAGCTTTGCGGGTGCGAGGATACTCGCCACAAAGTTCCTGCCGCGGTTCCAATGCAGCGCGATGTTCCCGCACAGTTCATCATCAGCTTTGACATCTCCAACTTGATCGGAATGGCTTGCCGTGCTCTGCACCTGAACCTTGTCAGTGCCTGTGTGTGCTTCTACGCTGCCAAGTCTGTGGCTCCGCTCTGCTCTGCGGTCTTGACATTAGCAGTGTCCTTGACTCCGCCGGTGAGTTGGCTACCGCTGAGCGGAGCGAGGTGGACGTTGAGTCTCAGGCGGGTCTAGATCTCAGGCGGGTCTAGAGGTTGCTACTCGGTGCCTTCCACCACCTTCTTGCTCCCACCACCACAATAGATGCCACGACCGCACATGGAAGGGTAGTGTCTGCATCTGCTCAACCCGAGCCATATCAGGCATGCACCGCTTGTGACAAAGTTGCACGAATGCACCGCGGCCCAGGCAGAAAGCCGTATTTCGACTTTAAACTTTGCCGCTTGACAGCGAAGCATCGTCGCCGGCCATAAGAAGTGACGTAGAGTAAGCTGATATCGGCTAATACACTCAAAACGGCTTCTTCTGCCCAAATCGAGCCGCACCAGACCTTGCTCAACGGCTCAGACGGACAACCATACAGTTCTGACAAAGAAGCTGCGAGAGATCCCATATTTTGCAAACCTCATGGTCTCTTGGTGTCGGCAGATACTGGCGCTGAGCCATGGCCCTGAGGAGCTATCTACCAGGAACAAAGCAACCGGGCCGTCTTAGTAGCGCAACAAGGGTTGTGATGGTACAACACAAACCAGCTTTGGCAGTTCCATGAGTAAGACTAGCATAACTTGCTACTTCTGTTGGCTTGTTCTCTGAGATGAACATCCTCTCGACAGTTCTCATACTGGCCTTGCAACATCTTTCGCAGTCATGAGTCGCCCCACATGGGAGGAGCAGCTCAAGTTCCTGCTAGTTTGTGTGAGGTATTCGAACCATGGTAAAATCGACTTTGGCGCCGTGGCCAAGGAATGTGGTGTCGTGAGTAGGGGAGCAGCGTGAGTTCATTCCTTCTCGTGGCTGGCGGTGAGCTCACAGAGGCAGATCCAAACGATATGGCCGCCTCTTGCGCAACAGTGGCATTCTTGCTGCTCGTGTTCCTGCACCTTTACCTGGCGAAAAGCGCGCATCGAAGGCTGCAATAGCCAGAGCTCCTGAAGCAAAACCGCGGAAGCCTGAAGGCGACCAGAAAGACTCGGCTGCGGTCGACGGAAATGGCTGCCCTTTTCTGAAACGCGAATCTGGCATTAAGCAGGAACTTGATAATGGCTGGTCGCTTCGACTGGGTGACGTGCCTTTGCCTACTTTTCAAGGGCAGCGGACTCAAGGCCACCATTGGTTGTCTGAGCATCAGTACCAGCACCGGAACAATCTCGGACCTGATGCCGCACCATCCAATATGCAGCATGCATCAAGTCCTGGCTCACTCGAGGCCAATGAGCCGGTGCCCGTCATCAAACTCGAAGACGAAGCTGATATCCAGGCGCTCTCAAATACGGCATCTGCATCAGACGCCTCGAGCGGCGAAGATGATAAGCTGTTTGAAGAATTTTGTACCACGGAGCTCTTTCAGAATCCACCTAGCGCCGAGCCTCCAACGTCCTATGAAGCGCATTGCCCTCGGGCAGGCCATTCTGTTTGTAAGGACGTCACAGTCTCTTGATCTACCTCACACTCTGGCTCCCTTTGGCCGAGAAGGCTCCCATCGCCGTTTCACGCCCGGGGGGCAGCGGCGACAGTGCCAGAGTAGAATTCCGATTGCGCTTTGGCCAGGGGGCTCGTTGATGCTCAGCATCTTCATTCGAGATTAGCACCGTTAACGATTGACTCGGACCACGGCTGATAGAGAAGGTACATGGTAAGATCCCTCCGTGTTGTGGTAGGAGTGTGCTGACAGGTTCCAGGCATAGAGCAGGCATGGTCACAACTAATATGATCAGCGTTGTCGATCCCAAGACCCTGGCTATTGATTGCTCACCTTGATATAACCCAATTGTCGTACTCCAGTTGCAGATTGTCGGCTCTATTGTACTGCTGAGCCAGCGAAAGCGCGAGTCCCTCGTGAACGCGATCTGTGGACAGGGGGGAAGAACGAGAAGGAGCGAAGTACCGTGCCAAGCCCATCCAGGGGAATGCAGCCTCGTCCCCCATAACACCTCCCGGTGCGTTCAGGAGAGCATCTGTCAGGTCAGACGATGCTATACCATCTGATAACCATCCCCTGACTTGCTACTGGCACCCTCCGTCAGTATCCGGCGGTGCTTCACCCAGCTTCCACCGGATTACTGTGCTGGATTCACACGCCGTTCGAGTCAATAGCTGAGACCAGTCACGGCTTCTGCGGCCTATTCTCTCATTGATCTGACTTTGCTCTCCAGCGGTTTCTCTCCGACAGCCGATACATTAAGAGATTGACTTGTCACTGTCGAACACCGATCCGTCATTGTCAAACAATTCCCGTTGAGCCCCCTTGCACCACACACAGCTCCCTACAACACCATCCTACATTCCTTTGAGCTCCCCGACCTGCGCCTCCAAAAGAGTGGATACCCGGCAATCTCTGCCAGCGTGAATGAATTCCTGACGTGTGGCCTCGATCACATGTTACTGGCTGACCCTGACGACAATAGGCGACACTTTGCCGTGCAGTGAAGGCGTATGACAGATCTTCGACTGCCCCCGCCTACAAAAGATCCCATCTTGCAAGTAGATCTTTCCTCCTGCCAACACTTGTCGCTGACTTTGAACTCAGTCGACTGATCTGTCGTTGGATTCCCATTCGAAATTCCTTGCGAAGACTGAGCTTGCTCGGTTGACAACCGCCAAGCTGCCACAATGCCTGCGACTCCGGGCGATGAAGGCAAAGCCAAGCGTAACCTGGTTCGCTGGGATGGTAAGGCGATCACTTGTTGTCTCGCAGTATCCAGACAAGTACTGATAATCATTGCAGATGACAAGGACAAGCAACTCCTCCTCTGCATGCAGTATGCTTGCAACAAGGCCGGCATCCGCATTCCTTGTAAGTTTCCTCCATCCACCCCAATCATACTGCTCAACAATGTGCGACTTCGCGCAGGGATTCTCAGTCGAATAGAGCACGTGTGGAAGAACATCGCCTTAGGTCCCGTCACATTCTCGTTACAGCTGCTGATCTTATTGCAGGGGACTCTGTCGCTAAGCAGATGGGTGACAAGTTCTCTGGTGGCGCTTGTGTCCAGCACCTGGCCAAATTGCGCAACCGCATGGCTGAGGAGAACATCCCCGTTCCCCCACCTCTGCCCCGCGGTCTAGTCACCTCCACTCCGTCTCGAGTCTATGCCAAGCGTGCGGCCGATGAGATGGACCTTCCTGACATTGAGCCTCTCAACCGCGCTGATGATTCTTCCAAGCCTGCCACCAAGAAGCGCAAGGCCACTAAGAAGGACGCTGCTGTCAAGGAGGAGTCTGACCATGAGAACATCCCCGACCTCTATGACTCTGATGCCGATTATGGTGCGACGCCCACGAAGGCTGCCAAGAACAAGCCAAAGAAGGGCGGCAACACCAAGAAGAACACTTGCCGCAAGTCGATCGCTGAGCCAGCTGATGAGATGTCTGAGCCTACCACACCCACCTCTGCCACCCGTACTCGTGGTATTCGAGTCAACTATGCGCAGTTTGACAACCCTCTAGGCGAAGATGAGGCCGAGGATGTCAAGCCCACTATTAACGATGAGGATGAGCCTGCAAGTGAAGCTGAAGCCAACGTGGCGAACACTGCTGGTGCTGTCGAAGAAGATGTCAAGGATGAGGAAGCTGCTGTCGCCTTCGACGAGCCCGAGACCGTCAACCCCAAAGCTACCGTCAAGCGCACTGTTCCTCAGCAGGTCACCCCCATTCTGACTCCTGCATCTGGCCCCAACGAGCAGCACGCTGACACTGACGAGCTCCTGCGTCGCACCCACACCACTCACAACCCGACCCTGTTCAATGTAAGTAGTTGCTGCATGGTGTCTGCAATTGTGCTAACTGTTGAACAGTTCCAGGACATGGGCAACAACCAGACCATCGCTGGCTGGGCTCCGCAGTATGGTGGTTACAACGCTCCTGTCAACTCTTTCGCCGGTTACAACATGAATCAGGCTCAAGACCAGAATCGATTCGCCAGCAACAATGGTCCCTCGGGTTTCATGTGGGGTACGGGTCAGGGCTTGTTTCAGAACAACTTTGAGAACAACCCGGCTTGGCTCAACAGCTCCTTCCAAGACACCCACGGTCTCCATTCTACGCCCACTAGCATGGGCAGAAATACCAGTTTGACTCTTACCAGCCCATTCGGAGTCAAGGACCCCATGAGCACTAATGTGGACGATCTCATGACTGCGTTCGACCCAACTGCTGACCACTCGACTTCCGCCACACGCACCAACTCGAAGGAGTCGATCGAGTATCAGGACTCTCTCAAGGGCTTCGATAGCCTGACGAGCTATGGTGGTGGTGAGGAACTCGACATGTCGAGCTTTGGTGCCGGCCGCTTTGATGACGACAACGAGATGCTGAGCTTCCTCGACTTCGATGCGGAGGATGCGTCTTAATGGCCAGGGCCCCGGTCCCCTACGCAGTAAGAAGCAACGCTCCAACCGTTACGGTAAAACTGACTTCGCAGGACCAGCAGACCAAGATTTGCAAGACAGTACGGCTGATACTTGCCCATGACCCAACGATGAACACGAAAAGTTGACTTGGCTACTGAAACCGACCGCCAGTCTTCACAAATCGGACTTTTGTGATCTACCCAAGCAGAGATGAAAGCGTCAGACCACAAGCGGGAGTTCGATGCAGAGAACGGTGCCGCAGCGTACCTGGATTAGCTTAAAAAACGAGAAAACACACGAGAAAACACAGTTACGGAAGGAATGCAGGTGGAATGAAAGCTGCCATACTGGAGAGTGCTAACGAGCTTGGGCAACTGAGTACACTCTTGGGCAACAGCCAGACAGCCCATGAAGCTAGTTGCACGTTAGCACAACAGCAGACAGATAGCATAATGGCATTGGGCACGGGCGATGAAGCATCGTTAGCCCTCAGACAACCTCAAGGAACCAGATCCCGGTTCCTCGCCCATATTCAAGAGTGACGGTAGTATTATTTCTCACATTTTCTTACAGACAAGGTCAGGCAGTAGATGTGAAGTGAAGACGCAGAGGAGAAAGGAGAGATGAGAGATGAAGTCCAGGCAATAGATCCACTCCCCGCGGACACCTTACCTAATGTGAATTAGCGCGGTTCTGGAGGTTTCTGTGGTTTCGGTCGCGGCTGCCCGTCGAATCTCCAAAAGTTTTTTGCTTGCACCTTCAATCCCATCCGCACCCTCCACTCCCCGAAGTGCTGTTCATCATCTATCTCCCCATCCTGCACACTCTCATCGTCTCCTTCACGGCTTGTAATTATTAACTTCTCTCTCTGTCAAAGCACTGTTTGCCCAGCATGCAGCGAGCTCTGTCCTCCGCCGTGCGCTCCTCCCTCAATACCTCTTCCCCATACTCCAAGACTGCCGGCCGGAGTTTACAGCAACTGCGCTTTGCCCATAAGGAGCTCAAGTTTGGTGTCGAGGGTCGCGCACAGCTTCTCAAGGGAGTTGAGACTCTCGCCAAAGCTGTTTCTACCACCCTCGGTCCCAAAGGTCGCAATGTCCTGATAGAATCGAGCTATGGCTCCCCCAAGATCACAAAAGGTATATTCGTCGCATTTACCTTGCAACGCATCTAACATCCATAGATGGTGTCACTGTCGCAAAGGCCATCACGCTTCAAGACCGCTTTGAGAACCTTGGCGCCCGCCTGATCCAGGATGTCGCCTCCAAGACCAACGAGGTTGCTGGTGACGGCACCACGACTGCAACTGTCCTCGCCTCCGCCATCTTCTCCGAGACCGTCAAGAACGTCGCTGCTGGCTGCAACCCTATGGATCTGAGAAGAGGAACTCAGGCTGCCGTTGAGGCGGTCGTTGACTTCCTGCAGAAGAACAAGAAGGACATTACAACCTCGGCCGAGATCGCCCAAGTCGCCACCATCTCGGCAAACGGCGATACTCACGTTGGCAACCTCATCTCCAATGCCATGGAGAAGGTTGGCAAGGAGGGTGTTATCACTGTCAAGGAGGGCAAGACCATTGAGGATGAGCTAGAGGTCACCGAGGGTATGCGCTTCGACCGCGGTTTCACCTCGCCCTACTTCATCACCGATACCAAGTCGCAAAAGATTGAGTTCGAGAAGCCTCTCATCCTGCTTTCGGAGAAGAAGATCTCGGCCGTTCAAGACATTATCCCCGCTCTCGAAGCCTCGACTCAGCTGCGCCGTCCTCTGGTCATTATCGCCGAGGACATCGATGGCGAGGCTCTAGCCGTCTGCATCCTGAACAAGCTCCGCGGCCAGCTCCAGGTTGCCGCCGTCAAGGCGCCCGGCTTCGGTGACAACCGCAAGTCCATCCTCGGCGATATTGGTATCCTCACCAACGCCACCGTCTTTACCGATGAGCTCGAAATCAAGCTTGAGAAGGCTACTCCCGATATGCTTGGATCTACCGGATCCATCACCATCACCAAGGAGGACACCATCATCCTCAATGGAGAGGGTTCCAAGGACTCCATTGCCCAGCGTTGCGAGCAGATCCGTGGCGTCATGGCCGACCCGTCGACTTCCGAGTACGAGAAGGAGAAGCTGCAGGAGCGTCTTGCTAAGCTCTCCGGTGGTGTTGCCGTCATCAAGGTTGGTGGTGCGTCCGAGGTTGAGGTCGGCGAGAAGAAGGACCGCGTTGTTGACGCTTTGAACGCTACTCGTGCTGCTGTTGAGGAGGGTATCCTGCCCGGTGGTGGCACTGCTCTCATCAAGGCCGCTGCTTCTGCCCTTGGCGATGTCAAGCCTGCCAACTTTGATCAATCTCTTGGTGTTTCGATCGTCAAGAACGCCATCCAGCGTCCTGCTCGCCGCATTGTCGAGAACGCCGGCCTTGAGGGCTCCGTCATTGTCGGCAAGCTTATGGATGAGTTTGGCAAAGACTTCACCAAGGGTTACGATTCCAGCAAGGGCGAGTACGTTGATATGCTGCAGGCCGGTATTGTCGATCCACTCAAGGTTGTGCGGACCGCATTGGTGGATGCTTCTGGTGTTTCGTCGCTCCTCGGTACCACTGAGGTTGCTATCGTAGAGGCTCCTGAGGAGAAGCCTGCCGGCCCGCCTGGTGGAATGGGTGGAATGGGTAAGTCTACTTCCCAGTCTCCGGTTCTGAATACATGCTAACGATCTCAGGTGGTATGGGCGGTTCGTCAACGTTCTGATCCTGTGCTCTGTTGCTCGCTGACATCTTTTTAGGAATGGGAGGAATGATGTAAAGCTTTCCTAACAGACTGCTTAAAGCGTTGAAGCGGCATCGCTCGGTCTCCCAGCACCAGACCCGATACCCGCGTTCGACCTTTCGACTTCCAGTTTCCCAACCTCATCCTACGACCCAGTCGCCCTCTACGATACCCAGCATCTTCGACTACTTCAGCCCAGCGTTGTGTTATATGTACATCATCTCCACTCATCCATTCAACTTCGACATTGTGTTTGTGCTTGTCTTTGATCATATCCAAAAGCATGGCGGAGGGGAAGGGCGTTGGCTAGAAGATAGATTGGCTGGGCATGTGCTGAGTTGGGGATGTAGCTGTGGTATCAGCGGATGGGGAACGGTGGTCGAGGAGTGCGAGAGCTTTGTGTACCATATTCAATCGTACAGAGGATCCAGATAGCTGGAAGAGGTGTAATGATGGATGGCTTGACCTGATCTTCATGTTCTGAATGCCTCCGAGAGGTGACATCTCCTGGTCCGTTAGGGAGAAGTCGAACCTCACGCTCCCGGGCTTCTTTTTACTATTTTACTCTCCCCGACTCCAAAATTGTTGCCAAGATTTCGCCATATTCGAACGACTGGCTGTCTTAACTTTTAGCAAGCGCCTCGTGAAACCGCACACACACCTGCTGAGCGATTTCAAGAAGGTGCCAAAACCCCCAGGAATAAGAGGACATGGTGGGTGAAGCTGCGTCCGACGGGGATGCAGGCTGCGGCACAGCAGAGAGATGCTACCAAGGATCATTACATAGCTGGCAAGCTCTGATGTCGAACCCTGCTTTTACCACCGAGCAGAAGTCTGTGAAGGAGGAAGAAGGAGGAGACGGTGAAGTAGTGGATAGAGACTATCAAGTGCCGCCATCATAGCGAACCCTAATGTTGAAACCTGCTCCCAGCACTGAATAGGAGTCTATCAAGATGGATGAGGAGGAGGAGGAGCAGCAGCAGTCAAAGCTAGCTGGTTCCATGGCTGTGACTACATCTGACTTTCGCGTTTGCGGTGTTGGGATGAAGGCCGGCGGAAGAGCAGTAGAGAGGGTCGTGGACATTAGGTACCGACAAGGATAATAGGTAGAAGCTGTGTGTTTATGTATGCCGGAGGAGGAGAGGGAGAGGTAATTGTTCTCTCGACTGAAATCCTCCTCCGACGACGACGACGACGGGCGATCGACTTCACTGGCGCGGCAACGGCCTTCTCCACAACCTCTCCTCCACCCCCACGTAGTCCTCCTGAGCTCCGCCTCCGTTGGCTGACGTTTGAGAGACAAGCGCTACAACATGCTCTGTTGGTCGTGGCGGCCCTCGTCTTGGCTATGACTCCTGGTGACAGAATCGGCGTCTTTGGCCATCTCGCCGTCTCGTCGTTGATTTGACAGCGGGTAGCTCGATATTAGAGGGTTCGCTAGAGGCGTCGTCGTCGTCGTCGTCAGTAGCTTCGAGCTTTGAGGAGTCGCTGGTGTCGAGTCAAAGCCGAGAAGAAAAAGCAGCAGCAGCAGCATCGCGGTACTTGAGATCCTTGGAGGGGCCACGCGAGGCAGGTTCACCAGGGGTCGACAAAATTGATGGGAAGGCACCTGGGTTGGCTAGAAGCTCACAATAAAGGCTCGACAAGATTCACCAGCGGGCCTCCCGGACATATACAGCAGATCACTTTTGGTAGTTGATGAAATTGACTGGCGCCCTCCTCGGACCCGCATCACGGGCTTTTGGGTGGTAGTCTGCTGTGAGTTCCTGGAGCCTTCCCGTCAATTGTGTCGACCCTCGGCGGTTCGGCCAGAGCCTTGACCGGAATTCAATCAAGAGCGTTGCTCTTGCGAAGAGGCCGCTGTAGTAGAAAAGGCTGCAGCTCAGCTCGACACGAGTCCCTGTAGAGGATAAGGCGGCCCCCAGGATGGCGTCTCTCAGGGCCAGAGCAGCAGATGTTGGACACATAAATCGGTGATCATCTTCGTGCAAGCGTCAAAGAGACTCGTGAAGACCGCTTCAAGTGTCTTTAAAGATCCTCATACCCGCAGGACTAGGCCCGTCAGGGGTTTTAGCACCATATGCAGCCTTCGCCTATACTGAGGCCGTTCATAAAGTAGGCGGGCGCCCTCCTGAGCCCATTCTACGATCCTAAACCGGAGACTGGGAGTTTAGTCGGCTTTGACGTTGGAAGGCCTCTCCAGACGTCATTACTAGGCCAGTAGACATGTAAGATGAGGCGGCGCAGATCGTGCTGATTGTGCTAGAATCCTGGAACCTGGCGATGTAGTAGGGTGGTGACAAGGCCAAGACCTGCGATTATATTTGGCTGAAAGCCAAGGCGAACATCCACCACGCGCAGCCCAACCCACGTAGGCCTCGAGATCATCGCACAGCAGTCGGGCCTGCAGAATTACAAGACGTAGCGAGATACGGAGAACGTAGGTAGCAGAAACAGGCAGAAGAGGTCTCCATTAAACTTGACCATGCAGAGACGATCCTCTACCATCGATCGCACTAACAGTACACAAAAAGCATTCCGTTCTGAGACCAGGATCAAGTGGAGAGTGAGCTTCTGTACAATTGACCCTCACATTGATCTGTTGCCGTCTGAACCGCCCGTGCTTTGAGTTCGCAACATAGGAAAAGAGCTTTTGAGTTCTTGTCTGTTGCACCACCTCTCTAATTCACCGTCTATGAAGAGCCCTCCAACTCGGCAAGAATCTTCTCACCCTTGGCACGGGCAGATTCGAAGTCGCCGACCATGTAGAAGGCACCTTCGGGAAGGTCATCACCCTCACCGCTGATGATCTTCTTGAACGAACTGATGGTGTCCTTGAGGTCGACAAGCTTGCCCTCGATACCGGTGAAAACTTGAGCGACGGTGAAAGGCTGGGACAAGAAACGCTGCAGCTTGCGGGCACGCTCGACAGTAAGCTTGTCGGCTTCAGACAGTTCGTCCATACCGAGAATGGCGATGATATCCTGCAGCGACTTGTACTCCTGGAGCATCTGCTGGACACGGGAGGCGGTATCGTAGTGATCCTGACCAACGACACGGGGATCCAACATACGAGACTTGGAATCGAGAGGGTCGACAGCGGGGTAGATACCCAACTCAGAGATACCACGAGACAACACAGTGGTGGCGTCTAGATGGGCGAAAGTGGTGGCAGGCGCGGGATCAGTCAAATCGTCAGCAGGCACGTAGACGGCCTGGACTGAGGTGATGGAGCCCTTCTGGGTGGTGGTAATACGTTCCTGCATGAGACCCATGTCGACGGCCAAGGTGGGTTGGTAACCGACAGCTGAGGGAATACGACCAAGCAGGGCAGACACTTCAGAACCGGCCTGAGTGAAGCGGAAAATGTTGTCAATGAAGAGCAACACTGCGGAAAGTCAGCCATGAGGACGGACGACGAGAGTAGCAGCAGCAAACTTACCATCTTGACCTTCTTCGTCTCTGAAGTACTCGGCCACAGTCAAACTGAATGAATAAAAGATGATTAGTATATGAGTCTTGTAAGATGTTGCTGCTGAGGAGAATTGTAGGTCGACCGCTCTGAGGGAAGGTGCGCCTGCCTCCACCAGGGGTCGGCAAAATTGACGGGAGGCCTCCTCGAACACACAGCCCAGCTCTGCGTGCGTGACATGTTAGGAGTTCGTGGAGCCCGCCCGTCAATTTTGCCGACCCATGGTCTGTTGACCCATGGTTTGTCGATCCATAGGTTGGGAAGGCACGACTGCCTACGCAATGGGTCGAGAAAAGTGACGGGCGCCCCCTCGGACTCGCAGCTGCCCACAATCACAAAGCCTTTACTGTGATTTCGTGGAGCCCACCCCTCGATTTTGCTGACCCGTAGTTTGTCGACCCTGATTTGGGAAGGCATAATTGCTTGCACAATAGGTCGACAAGAACAAGGGGCGGGTTGAACGAAATCGCAGCGAAGGCTTCGTAGTTGTGGGCCCGCTGTGAGCCCGAGGAGGCGCCCGTCACTTTTGCTCGACACCAATCGCGAGGACAAAAACAAAAAGCTTCAAAAAGGACTTACCCAGTCAGAGCGACACGAGCACGGGCCCCAGGGGGCTCGTTCATCTGACCGAACACAAGGGCGACCTTGGACTCGCCATCGAGCTGGATGACAGAGGTCTCCTGCATTTCGTGGTACAGATCGTTACCCTCACGGGTACGCTCACCAACACCAGTGAAGACTGAGTAACCACCGTGGGCCTTAGCGATGTTGTTCTATAAACGTTAGCCAGGTCCAGCACGCGGAGATACGAAACGTACAATGAGCTCCTGGATGAACACAGTCTTGCCGACACCAGCACCACCGAACAGACCAATCTTACCACCACGGGCATAAGGAGCCAGAAGATCGACGACCTTGATACCAGTAATCAGGACTTCGGCAGTGGTGGCCTGGTCAACGAACTCCGGAGCAGGAGCGTGGATGGGAGCTCGCTTGGTGGCCTTGATGGGACCTCTCTCGTCGATGGGGTCACCAGTGACGTTCATGATACGACCGAGAGTGCCGGGGCCGACGGGAATAAGAATGGGAGAGCCAGTGTCAACGACCTTGTGGCCTCGGACGAGACCTTCGGTACCTGCCGAGTACATCAGAAAAGCTGCGCTGGAGTGTTGACGCAATCCTTACCGTCCATGGCAATACATCTCACGACGTTCTCACCCAGATGTTGCTATGCGCCTGTCAGCCGAGCTCTTTTGATGATGTCGTTATGGTGTTGCAGCGTACCGCGACTTCCAAGACCAAGCGGTTGCCCTGGTTGTCGGTCTCGAGACCGTTGAGAATGGGAGGGAGGGTTTCGCCATCGAACTTGACTGTGGTCCAACTGTCAGCATCTGGTGTGGGTATTTTGGGGTAGCCTCAAGCTCTCAAAAGCTATTCCGGAGCTTCAAAGCGACGTGAGGAGAAGATTTTCATACCGTCAACGACAGCACCAATGACCTGATGGATCTTGCCATCCTGAGCTTTGTCTGTCGAGGCCCATCTCCGCGCAAAGGGCTGTGCAAAAGCTGGAGCAGCCTTTTGTCGCAGAGGGGTGATGGTGGATCGGGCAAAGGTAGGGCGAGCAGACTTGCCCAAGGCACGGGCGATGCCGCTGTGAACAGTCAGTACAAGCTCCTGTTTGATCTCAACGTATATGAGGACGTTGATGGAGGGGCGACAGACCTCTTGAGCATCTTTGCGGATAATTTGAGGGTGCTGAGTGGAGAGAGGAAGGGTGTGCTGGAGGATGTGCTCAGGGTCAGTGAAGCTCAGAAAGGATGAAGAGCTCTCAATCCCGGCCTTGGCAAGCGAAATCACGTGATTCAATGAGGCTGAGCGGTGCTTCTCTCAAGGCTGAGAATTTCGGAATAGATAGGAACGACAAACTCCAATACACAGACACAGGCAGGTTTCAGCTCACTGTCAAGGGACAGCGAGTCTTTATTTGGTGAGCTCCTGCAGCAGCGACTGTATTTACACAAAGAAGATCTGCCATTTGCTGGGATAATTGCAACAGTACAGTGCAGGGCAGTGGATATAAACCCAAGCAATTCACATCCTCCTAAGATACATTTACTCTTCGGGCTCCAAGCTGATTCCCCGCGACTTTGCAGGAGGACTCTGAACATGACCCTTGCCCTTGTATGAGTCGCTGCTGATACCGTAGATGGGGTTGGATTTCTCGGCCTGACATGGTTAGCTCTAGCCCGAGCGTGGCATGTGGTGTGACATACCCTGAGATACTCGTTGGTAGCTTCTTGCCATTCCTTGGTCATTGATCTTGGGGGAGGTCGGGCGAAGGCATGAATGCTAAAAAACAGACCGCCAGAGATGGCGACACCGATCATAGCGTAGAGGAAAACCTTTGACCACTCGCCCGGGGGCGCCTCTGCACGTGGACCATGAGGCCCGAAAGCGATCCACCAAGCTATTCAAGTCAGTGTTGGATCTTCTACGCGGGCAACCCGTGCTCTTTGAGGCACACTCGAGGCAGACTGGGCATAAACGCTGCGACTATCGCATTGTCATGACGTAGATGTGGTGAGCACATACCAGCTTTCTTCTCTTGCAGAGTCATCTCATTCCAGTCAACCTTCATTCTATCTCTCAACTGCATCCACAGCTCAGCCTGCTCTTGGGGGGGCATGCCTTCCCATCTCTTCTCGATGCCGGCCAAAGTAGGGTTCGAGATGGCGTGAGCGCCCCGAGATTGAGATTGGCTGGTCATAGGTGCATGTTGAATGGCGGAGAAAGAGGGTGCAAGACGAGCAGTCGAAGTCTGAAAGCTTCTGATCGATGTAGATAGCTGCTTCGAGCTGCCGGCGGTCGCGGCTTTCGCAGCACGGGGTAGGGAGCGGAGATACATGGCGACGAGTCGACCGGGGAGCTAGAGCATGGAACGGAGCGGCGCTGGGCTTAATGCTCAAGCCTGAAGCTTCACGCCCAAGGTTTTGATGTGTTGGACGAAGTTGGGCGCGGCTAGCGTATCACAAAGGGTGGTGTCAAGGTTGAGAGTTGCAGGAAGAAACGCAGAGCTCACTAGCCCGCCCAGACAAAGTCTTGGCGCAATCCTTGCAGCTGGGCTTCAAAATGCTGATCATCACACCACCTGCAGTTGAACTCACTGAACCATGTGCCTCAAATGCACTTGCTAAGACAAACGACAATAGTGAATCATTATAATAGTAGAGTGGATGGATGTAATGAAGAAGGAACGGATACCGCTGAAATCACACTCGCGACTCTCCGCAAAAGTCTGAAATGGCATACTCAATCTCGTGGTTCGTGTCTATCATCGCTCCTGAATTTCGAAGCCTATCTCGCAGCTGCAACAGCATGCTCGGATCTCAAACTTGAGCGCGACGCTTGCCGCCTCCGAATCTCCATCGTTACGCTCAGTCTTCGTCACGCAGCCTGAACTGCTTCGTAGCCATGCAACATTGTATCATCGATGAGAAGATTGCGCTCAAACAGTGCCTTTGCCCTTGCTGGCCTCCTTGAGGAGGTCAGCCCATTCGAGCTCACCCGGGTCATTGGCCTGCCAGTTCATGGCGATACCGTTGAGGGCGTTCTTGAGGGTTTCACGGGAGCTGGCGTACACCATGCGGGACTAGATCCAGGTAAGCGATTATATACGTTATTGTGAGCGGAGTCCGTACCTTTACACCGGTGGCATCCTGGTTGATATAGGTAATGAAGGCAATCTTGGATCTGTACTTTATCAGCGACGCTCTTCAGACCAACCCCAGGCGTGCTCACCTCTTGCCTTCGCCGCCCTCAAGCTCGAATTCGACATCGTAGATGGCATATGATGGACGATCCTTGCCAGAGCTCTCTTTCTTGCTGATCAACTTCTCACGGAAGGTATCGTAGTCGGTCTCGGAGCCAATCTCGTCGACAACGATCTCTTTCTGGTCGTCAGAAATCTTGTAGATTATGTACTTAGGACCGCCACGGCCGGCCTTGAGCTTGAGGTCGTTGAACGCAGAGACGCAGTCAGGGTTGACTGAGAGCCTGTATAGAGAGTTAGCGGCGGCTCGAAAGCCGTTGAGAATGGCGGTTGGGCTCACCCGGAGACAGGCTAGTTTTAGATTAGCACTGAGCACAGCCTGCATGCGAAGGAGCAACTCACCATGTTCGATAGATAGGTGGAAAGATTTCGCGATCAATGAAAAGGCTAAACAAAGTGTTAGACCGGTCGTCGAGCAGTCGAGGTCCAGCGTCGAGGTAGAAGAGGAGTGGGGGTGTCTGTGCGGACGAGGCGGAGGCAGTGTTATAGCATACGTTGCAGTGGATGTTGAATTGAGTTGAAGACGCACAGTTCAGTCAGACTCTAGTCAGGCAGCAAGAATTCCAGGGAAGATGCTGCAATATTGTCACTATGAGATCAAAGGACAACAAGAGAGGCGGCTCGTGGGATGAGTTGGCGGGGCGCAGCCCGGTCTCTGGCCCCGTCGCAAATTTGTACGGTGGTTCTTGCCGGCAACCACTTTCCCCGCCGGCCTCACTGCTCGTTGCTATGACAGCCTTCTGGAAGATGGTGCTCAACATCCTTGTCTTCTTCACCTTTTGCTATGACCTGTAGCTACTCGCACACATCGCTCTGCATCCCAAAAACTGTTCTCAATAGTCCTTTCGATATTCATTCTTTCACAATTCAGGATTCGCCTGATTCCGGGGCCGCGCAATGCTTGACACCATCAATATCGCTGCCTGCGGTGTCAACGCTCTGCCTGATTTATCCATGGTCTCTGCCTGGACGCTGCCGGAAGCTCCTGTCCTGCTCTGAACGAGGAACACTGAACTCTCGTACAACTGAGTCTTGCCACGATCGCGTTTTTGTAAACAGTTTTCGCGCATGGATTCTGCCCGATGGCTTGAGGTTGGTGACAGTAGTTTTTCGCTGAGTCGACAGGTCCTGGGACTGTTCGCGAGTTGATCTCTTGTTCCTGTTTTTTTTGCCCTTCTTTTCCTTCCTGCTTCCGCCCTGCTGGGTTGGTTGCGTCGTCGATTGTGAGGACCGGTCTGCTGTTGTGTTTTTGACAGGGAGAGATATCTCAGATCTGCTGTCTCTCCCGTGATCGGGAACGGAGTTCTGACGTGACGACGACTCCGGGGCTATCTGCTCGAATTCGATTTCATCAAGGTCAATGGCGGTGTCGGCGGTCCGCCCGCTTCCCGGCAGCTTGGGTCTGCGATGAACAGTACGCGGCTCACTCTTTACGTCGACCGGCATTCCGACCTCTGATGCTTGATCACCATCAGCTTCATCGTCTTCTGAAAATCTTGTGGCGCTCGCCGAGCGCTGGCTGGCCCTTCCCAGCCTTTTCTTGCGGCGATGGCTACCTGGGGGGACCATAATTTCACCAACGGGTTCTTCAGCAGATACTTCTTGATACGGAGTGTGTCGCTTGCGCTTCTTGGATTTCGGACTGGACTTTGGGAGTCTATGTGGAGTGTCGATTTTCTGCTTTTGCCGAGGAGTGCTGCGCTCCGCGGACCGGTCGTCGTGAACTGGATCTTCACGGACCTGGACCTGTCTTGGGCGTTCGTCGCCGCCGTCTACCAGATCACTATCACCACCAACTCGCTGCCTGGACTCATAATCTTGCAGACGCTGAGTGCCCCGTGCGCGGAGGAGAGTCAACTTAGATCTATGGAAGTCAGTCTTCACAATTCGTATCATTCCTGGAGCCCGACTTGCCTGCAGGAGGATACTGAGAGCCTGCCTTCTCCCACAACGTCGGCTGCTTTGATGAGATCGAGCTTAGAGACCTCTGATGGAGGCATCATTGCGAGGGCGACCTCGAGCAGCATGGCCTCGTTGTGAGCCTCTGACCAGAAGTTTCTGGGGGCTGGCCCCGTTGGGAGCGGCATCCTTGGCCACGCTGGCCGGTTGCGACCTTCAACACAGGGTAGCAGGATACAGTGACGGAAGTGAGGACGGAAACAGTTGGAAGGCGCGCTGAATCCCACGTCGCCTTTTTTTTTTTTGCCTTGCAGCACCAGCCTTGCCATTGCTCTTGGCAGAAGTCGCACCTCCTTCCGACTTTTGACCTCTGCTAGCAGCTGGTACATTCTCAGCTACGATTGGCAACTTCTTGATAATTTGGACTGAACGCTCTCTCAACTAGATACGCTACTTACCAACACAGTGGGCTTCCTTCGCCAACTTGACCACTACTCCTTGCTCCGCCTTAACTACTACAATGCCTGAGCTGAACATTACCGACAAGGACAAGTAGGGATGACATACCATCTCTCAGAAGCAAGTCAAGCTAACGATCTGCAAGGAGCTTCTAGCAGCTCTCGTTCTGGTGCAAGATTCTCTCACACGCGAGGAGCAATATTGTATGTCTGCTAAGCTTGGTGAGATGGGCGTCGACATGAGCTGGAATGGTGAGTACTGTATCCTGTGCAACATGAGCGCTGGCTAAGTACACTCGCAGCTTGTAGGTACGTTTTTGTGGCTTCGAATCATTGGCCATTTCCAGTTTTGTTATGTTCCCTTTACTGTTCCGCCATTTCACAACGGATGACTCGACCCGATCTCTACCACCCGTGCGCATCCTCAATCTCTCTCACACGATCGAGCATATCTACCCCAAGTCATCATGCCCTCCTCAAAATCCTAGGACGCAGATCATGACGCTTGCTTGCTGCAGTACTTCCAGCTCGACCCAAATGCTAAACAAACCTACGCTCACTACGCTCTTGTGGGCGAGCGGATGGGAGAGGTCTTGAAGGATACGATCATGCGAGTGCACCGCCGCGCCTACAGCATTGCTCCGAAATCCAAACCGCATCACTCTCCGTTTGTCAGAACATGGGCCCGGCCTAGATTGACTGGCGAACCTCTGCAATCGAAGCACACTGTGGCTGGTAACGTGACCTGCGAGTGAAAAGACCATCGAAGTCCCCACCACCTTTCCCTCCCCAATATTATGCTTAGTCTGTCAATTCTGTTTCCGCACGACTTCCTATCGTCACTACTACGACACCGTTCATCCCAACCATACCACTCTTTCCTTGCTCACCTTCAAGATGCCGAGCAATGCCTGGGATGAGGCGCGCAATGCCGAAATCGCCATGCTTTTTGCGGTCATCAAGAATGAAGGCAAAGCCAACTTCACCACTGTAGCCTCTCAGCTTGGCGAGGGGTTTACAGAGGCTGGTGTAAGGTGCGTTTGTGCCGGCTCCCACTTATGCTGTCTGCCTGATTTTTCTGCTCTGCCTTTGCCAGCTGGCTGCACCGATTCCATTTTTCTTTGTCGACCCCGACCTCCGTACATACACCACACCAACATTCGACCAAATCCTCATACTTCGATCTCTTCATCCCCCCCCTGTCATCAAGCCATCCTCTATCGAGGCTCTCATCACTATGCCCAAGACCTGGGATGCGGCGCAGGAGCGTCTTCTACTCATGACTGTCATCTCAACTGTTGATACTAAGCCGTCTTCTGAGCACTGGGCTCAGATTGCTGGTGTTATCGGCGACGGCCTAACTGCTTCTGCTGTCTCGTACGATCCTCATGCCACTGCTTTGTTGCAGCTGACCACATTACTTCATGGTATCAAAGCTAACAGCACATCACAGGCAGAAGTTCTACAAGTTGAAGAGAGAGTCGGAGAAGCTGCTGTCTGGTGACGGCGCTGCCGCTGCCCCCGCCCCTCCTGCCACTCCTGCCTCTGGCACCAAGGCCACCGACAAGACTCCGAAGTCCAGCATCGGCAAGCGCAAGGGCCGTGCGTCTGCGGATCCAGAGGCTGATGATGACAACGCCGCCACCGCTACCCCATCCAAGAAGACCAAGAAGACCACCGCCGCCAAGATCAAGAAGGAGAACAAGAAGGATGATGAGGTCAAGACTGAGGCTACTGATGCTACCAATGGCAACGGGGTTGAGGGTACTGCCAACGGCGCTGCTGAAGGAGATGAAGTCGAGGCCAACAAGGTCGCTAACAAGAATGGCATCTGAGCCCCTTGTGACCGTAAGTCGTTTACAGTCCGCTCCCACAGACACAACTCGATAGACTAAGCTCTAAGCGACGCTAGCAGATCTCGATATCATAACGGCTATGCATTGCGCTCCATTCCTCGACGACTTGATCTCTTGATCAGAATCAGAATCACACCATGGTTTCTATGCCATCCATCCACAGACTATTGGACACAACCAGTCAAGAGCTATCCAAAGAATAACTCTTGCATGAAGGAGACAAAAAGGGAAACAAAGTCCTGGCGCCTGGTTACTTGGTAGTCGGGACTGACAATACAAATGAGAGATTCCCGTCTATTCTAATGGGACTACCTGTTTATCTCGGGACTGCTTTCCGTGTGTGCGTCGTGATGGCCGCAAAAAGTGTCAGTTGTTTGGTCAAGTCCTACAAAAGGCTATACATCCTCCGCTGCTCCATGGTAGACACCGGATGGAAACATTGAGTCTACCCCAGAAGCTGCAGTAGTCGTCGTATCAGCTTCGTATAGACTGAGCATCTGCCACCTTAACTCTGCTAGTCCTGAGGTGTTCGCTAGACGAAGTCTTCCTAGGCGTCGCCAGTGTCCTTAGTAGCAGCCTTAACAGCACCGGACTTATTGACCATATAGCCAGAACTCTGCGCAGAGTCTACTCTAGACGCCCATTTGTGGCGGCTTCGCCACGCTGAAAGCCGCGGACAGGGGTACAACATGCTTAACATCGTTTTTCATTAGTATATCTTGAGCTCATCATCCCTAATCAATCCATGTTTGGACTGCGTCTTCCGCCTAACCGCCTCGGTTGCCAGTGGTGGTGTGGACATTTCACTGTTCTTTTGCGTACTTTTTAAGCCGCAGTCCCAAAACACCATCATCCTTCAAATTCGGAGAGACAGCGTGTGACAGTGACAAAGTGGAGCGACAGCTGAGAATACAGCTGCGGCTACAAGTTATGCCATCGCAGGACCAACACTGAAAGACATTGTGCCGAGCGTTCGCCACCACTTTGCTCAACCAAACCGCTCAGCACGGACAACTTTCAGCTTCGCCATGCTCGTGCGATGGCCATAGACCAGACGTCTACCCCGTCCTTTCTTCGCCGGCTCATCGCCATCGCCCATCGCCCAGTCCTCGTCGCTGTCATCACCAACATCCATACACGGCCTCGCATGTCGCTTGCTCACCGCGCCAGCCCATGCACTCGCTGCACCAACATCGGCCATACCTTCGTGTTCGTCCTCACTGCGCTCTGCTCCGTCCATCTGAGCATACTTGCCACCAGCACCAGTTTTGGCGGCGCGGGAGATGCTAAGTCGGGTCTTCTTGAACGGGCCGCTGGCGTCGGAGAGTTGGGCGTCGTCGGAGGTTTGTTCAGCATCAGAGGAAGTGAATGTAGCTTCAGGCTCAGAGGATAGGTCGGTGAATGATGCATCAGCTTGAGCGGGCTTGGACTTGGTTGGCTTGGAAGCAGATGACTGGCGTTTGCGCTTGTTGGGGTTGCTGGAGACTACACCGGGGCTGGTAGTGGGAGTGGGTTTCTCAACCGTGCTGGTGAAGGAAGAGCTAGTGTTATTGGACGAGGGCTCGGAGGTGGCGGGAGTAGACATGGTGGGCTCGGTGCCAGGCTCAACTTTGATAGTCACCTCCGCCGTAGCAGTGTCGGCCTTAGTCTTCTTTGGCTTTTTGGTACACACGATGACGGCAGGATCGCGTTCAGCGTAAGCTGGAGCAGATGGGGCTTCGTTGTTGGTACCAGTGTTTCCATTAGCGCCAACAACATTCGAGGCAGCTGGACCATTGTTGGTGCTGCTACCGTGGGCGTGATGTCCCGGAGCTGCTCCTGGAAGGGTTGGAGCTGTGGCAGTAGCTGTTGAGCCCTGATTACCACGAGCACGCTTGCGGAGTGCCTTGAACCGATCGCGGACAGCTCGAGTGGTGGGAGTGCCGGAAAGACCGTGGGCGGCAGGGTTGGAAGCTAAGCTGGGAGTTAACAACTGTTGGAGCTAGAGCAGAGACTACTTACGCCAGGCTTGGACGATGGCGTCAGGATCAAGCTGGAAGCGACGGACTTGCTCAAAAGCCAAGACAAGAAGCTGTGAGATGAAGGTCAGTGTTGAGTTCCATTTCGGAGAACGAGGACATCATTTGCTGTCCTTGGCAGGGTTGATAACGTACCATTTGCTCCTCCGCTCTATCCCACTTCATGACGACGACGTTGATGGTGCTTAACTTAGACAAAGCTGTCGATCAGCTACAATAGGAGAAAATGATACGATGGGCTTGTGGCGGAGGAATATCCGAAGTAGACAACTTGTCAGGCAACAGAAAGGTGGACTGGCGGAGGTAGAGGACGGTTGATAAAGACTGGAGCCTGATCGTAGTTCGGATGGGCCATTGTGTGCACAGGTCGGGTGGCGAATGTGCCAACAGTGAATGAGAGCAGTGTGTGTAATCAGCGATTTGTCCCTCCCGAGAGCGGTACCAGGACATTGTGAAATTTAAATCAAAGCAAGAGACGACAAGTTCGGATCTTCAGAAGTGGCCAGGACCGACTCCCTATGCTGTCTCTATCTAACCGTTTTCAACCACATAGTCTCGAGGTGCGGTCTAGTACGGACGCCTTGACGACCGACAGAGGCTGAGACTCACAGTTCAGATGGATCGCGTACCACAGGAAGTTCTGGACGTCGCATCTAACTCTCGCTCTAGATATGTATTAGTTATATAACAGGGGTAAATTAACCGAAATCATAGTTTGCCTGTTCTCCTTCGCCTCCATGTCCGGTACAGCCACACTGCTGCGGTTGTCCCAAGTAACGCTCGGTAAACGAAAAACACCGCCAGAGCGACGTTGATATGATCATAGTAGCCAACCAGAAGTCTCGAAAGAGCATCGTTTGTTCTCGACCCAACGCCCAACCCGCTGATGCCTACAGTATTCTGGTCATGCTCCTGGGTCGCTAATTTAGTCGGCTCGCCTTCAGTCACTACAGCGGTGGCTTGGGTCTGAGCATCTGTAGCAGTGTTGCTTGGCCATGTCCCAGCTGAAAGATCGCCTGCATTGTTCTTGCGAATGTTGCGCGTAAACAGCCACACAAGCAGCTTCAGATCCGGGACTGTGAATGTTGGATATCTCCACAGAGCAACAGCGTTGTATGGTGGCAGCATGTCGAGGAAGTCTGCCAGAACTCCCAGTGTCAAGCCCCACAGCAGAATTGGTTGCTGGTGTGCCAGAGACTGGGAAGATTCCGGCACACCGAACGGCGCTTGAGCCCAGCCTGACACAGTCTGCGGCTTGCTGTGTTCAGGGATGAAGCCCGCTATCGAGGAGGCAAAGACGCTTTCTGACGGGACCAACTTGATGGCGGAGAAAACCATCTTGCCCATCAATGCTCGTAGCAGGTAACGTAAGGCTGGCCCTCCTTGTTTCGCCATACGACTCGAGATGTCCACATACTCGAGAGTCCGAAGCGAGGGAGAAAGAAGCGCACGAAGTGGTACCCAGTGCACACTTGCAACTTCTGTGGGCTGCGGCAAGAGCTTGGGTGGTTCATGAGATGGCAGCACAAAGACAAATGGACATAGCACCATGAGAGCTTCCTAAGAGTGGGTAAGTCAAGATGTCTCAAATACTTGAAAAGGTAAAGGACATACCTTGCCCCATGTGGTCGCAACGATTCGTTCAGGTAGATTTCCGGCGGCGAGTGCTGTCGTCAGGTCCAACCCGATCTCTTCTCGCGTCTCACGAATGGCGGCAGCCACATCATCTGGATCCTCTGGATCACGTTTGCCTCCGGGCAACGCTGTGTGTCCAGACCAGCGATCGCCTGCTCTGCCCGCACGTTTGATGAACAACACTTCCGGGTCTCCGTCCTGGACCCATGCTTTCGCAAAAAACTCCTCTAGTGTGGTGGCCGGTGACTCGGTTGTACCAACATCGACGACTGATTCATTGGGCGCAGGCACTGGCTTGAAAGGAGGGCGAACACGTATGATGACAGCCACGGAGGCGCGCTTTCTGCAACCCTATTTAGTGTATTAGCTTGCGATAACACAGTTGTTGAGATGCAGGCTCAAGTTGTAACAGAAGAAATTCAAGCAGCAAACACTCGCGCCAAGACCAGGGCCGACAGGAGAGTCGCAAGGCTAGGCAGAAGGGAGTCCCATGGTCGCAAATAGTGCGATAAGGACTCAGAATCGTCCGAGCTCCTTGCAAGTCGAAGGCAGCAAAGAAAAGATGCAGACCTGGCCTCGTGGGCAGTACGTAGAGTAAAGGGGCGACTGACTGGAGGATTTGGCACGTATGGGTGTGGGGATTTGATCTGACGCTGCAATAATGGCTGCAAAGCCTGTATGATGGTCTTGGAATCTGAAGACATCCCAGCGGCTCCCCCTTCGCCTGTGAATGGATCGCTGTATTGCTAAAGACGTTGAGTCAAGGCGCCGAGGCCGAGGCAGCGACGTGAGCGCCTTGCATGACTAATGCGGCAAGGCGCCAGATCTCGGCAACGGAGATACTATTATCCCGTGGTGGTGGGCAGTCACAGCTCGCGTGCGTCAAGTGAGCAACATCATTGGCGGCAGCAGTGTTGCGGGGCGCTGTTTGCTTCGGTTCTGCAGTCCATGCCACAGCTCATTTCTTCTTTTTGCAAAGCTTGAGAGCTTTGTAGCTCTTCCTATACAGCCTCTGGAACCACCTGCCACCATGCGTTTCGGTCAGACGCTGAAGAACTCGGTCTATGCACCGTGGAAGGACAAATACCTCGAATATGACAAGATCAAGAAGCTGCTCCGCGAGGATGAGACCTCTCCGCAGGGCAGAGGAGGCGCCGATAGCAGCACACAGTGGACTGAGCGAGATGAGGAAAACTTCGTGCACGAGCTTGTCAACGTACAGCTCGAAAAGGTTCACAAGCACCAACTTGACACAGCGACTACCATCCGAGACCGTACCACTGCGGCCGAGACGAAGCTCCAGCAGACCACGGACGGCTCCGCTGAGTCGGACGAGCAGAAAAAGAAGGTGGCCGAGGAGACGCTGAAGGAGCTGGACAGCATATCGAAGGAGATCACAGAGCTTAAGAAGTTCAGTCGAATCAACTACACTGGCTTCCTCAAAGCTGCTAAGAAGCATGACCGTCGTCGGGGTCAGAAATACCGCGTACGGCCCATCCTACAGGTCCGCATGGCTGAGACCCCCTTCAACTCTGAGGACTACCAGCCACTGCTATTCCGGCTCTCTACCATGTACACTTGGAGTCGGCAGGTCCTGGAGGGTGAAGAAGCCGATCGGACGACATCGCAGACCAGCGTCCGCCCACAAGATACGTATAAAGCTTATAAGTTCTGGGTTCATGCCGACAACTTGCTCGAAGTCAAGACTCATATACTTCGTCGGCTACCTGTCCTCGTCTACAATCCACAATCGCTCAAGGTGGTTGATTCTTCGCAGAAAGATCCTACTATGACCTCAATCTATTTCGACAACGACAAGTTCGAGCTGTACGCCGCAAAAGTTGACAAGACCGAGGAAGCGGGCTCTCTGAGGCTGCGATGGTCCGGCCAGCTGGCGGATAAGCCAGAGATCGTCCTCGAGAAGAAAACGGTGAGCGATGCCACTGGAAGTCGCGACATCCGCGTTACGCTCAAGCAGAAGTACATTCAGCCCTTCTTGAAAGGAGAGTACAAGATGGAGAAGCAGATCTCTAAGCTAGAGGAGCGTTTCGGTGCCGACTCCAAAGAAGCACGCGACTTCAAGAGCAATGTTGAAGAGATCCAAAACTTCATCAAGGAAAAGGACATCGAGCCTGTCCTTCGTGCAAGCTATACACGGACGGCATTCCAGATCCCGGGCGATGACAGGATCCGGGTATCACTGGATACCGAACTGGCTCTTATTCGCGAAGATGCCCTCGATACAGATCGCCCATGTCGTGACCCCGAGGACTGGCATCGTTCAGACATCGACGACCGCCAACTTGAGTTTCCCTTCTCCAGCATCAAGAAGGGCGAGATTGACAGGTTTCCTCACGCCATTCTCGAGATCAAGGTCAAGGACTCCAAGTACACCCGCAACAACGCCTGGCTGGCCGATCTGATGAGCTCGCATCTTGTCAAGGAAGCTCCAAAGTTCTCCAAGTTCGTTCACGGTGTTGCAGAGCTCTTCGAGGATTACGTCAACAGCTTTCCATTCTGGCTGAGCGATTTGGAAACCGATATTCGGCGTGACCCGGAGACTGCATTCCATCAGGAGCAGGAGAGACAAGAACAGCAGGCTGCTGACGAGGTGGCTGTTGGAAGCTTCATTTCCAAATCCAAACTCTCGTCATCCGCGGTGGCTGGCAGATTTGGATCACCGTCAGCGAAAGCAGGCTCACCCTTGGGAAAGAGGGCCAGCATATCGAGAGCCATGTCAACGAGTGTGCCTCAGAAGAGCAACCAAGTGGAGTCGGCTGTCGAGGAGCGTGACTCCGATGACGATGGCCTGCAAGGCGATTCCGGTATTAGCGCAAGAGACTCAACTGGAATAACGTCATTCCTACCCTTCTCCAACTCTCGCTATGCTCGTCGCCATCGCCACCAAGGGAGAGGCTGGGAAGATGCTCCTCTTCCGGTCGGCGTTGAGAAGCCTTCTTTCTGGATCAAGGATCAAGGCCCTCTCAAGGTGGAAGCCAAGGTCTGGCTTGCCAATCAGCGTACCTTTGTCAAATGGCAACACATTGCTGTCCTCCTGGCTACGCTTTCACTTGGTCTCTACAATGCCGCCGGCGTCGACAACACCGTGGCTCGCGTCCTGGCTCTGGTTTACACAGGCTTCGCCGTATTCGCCGGCGCGTGGGGCTGGGGCGTCTACATGTGGAGGAGTAAGCTCATTACCGAACGAAGCGGCAAAGATTTTGACAATAAAATCGGTCCATTTGTAGTCAGCCTTGGCCTGGCCGCGGCGCTGGTTCTGAATTTTGCGTTCAAATACCAAGCTGCCGTTAACAAAGAGGATTTGGTGATTCAAGAGGAGCTGTGAGTCTGGGCCATTGGCAGTGTACATTGGCGATATCTGTATAAGAAAACAAAATACCCATGATTATCATCAGTTGCCAATGCTGGCAGCTTGCTGATACCAAGCCTCCGGCAGGCCAATAAAGAATTATTTTGTCATAACTTGCTCGTTCTTTCTTATAGGATTTCTCCGATATACTCCTCAGCGTGCTCTAATACACACGAGCTTTCCAGAGCTTGTTCAGGCTCTCTTGACTGCCCCACGCTGGGGCGTCAGTGGCCTTCCGTCGCTGCTGTTTTCATATGCAACCAGACAACATCCAGTTCAGCAGGCCGCAGCACATCGCATCCGCTGATACAGGCAAAAATCTCCAGCGGTCTGGTCATGGCCTCCGACGGCACTTGACACCGTTCTCTCCCCTCTGACCTCGAGCTTGTCGATGTCTCAGAATGAAAAGAAGTGTAGCCTCAGAACTTGAGAGATATGTCGTCAGCCTCGGACTCCGACTTGCGAAGGCAGTCCTTGGTATAATGTCCAAAAATTTGCTCATCACTGGCCGTGGCTTGTCCCTCTGAACCCTCGGACGCCACCCACCCATCGCACGCTCCGTCTCGCCTGAGCAGCTCGTCGACACCTGAGCTGTTGACTGGACCCTCTTTTCTCCTTGCGCCCAAGATGTAGAGTCTCTACGATCTGGTCTCTCTCGGTCAACAATCGTCGCTTTCACCCTGCACCGAGCTGCCGAAACAAGCGATGAGATCTGGTTGTCCGTCGACGAGGTGCCCGGAGACCGCGAATCCAACCTAGCGAGGCGCTCGTGTAGGGTTTGGCGGCGGGCAGCGGCCAGAGACTTTTGCCGAATGTGTAGAAGCATGGAAAGCATGGGAGGACGATGCGTGGCTGTGCTTTGCCCCGGTATTCTGTGTCTTATCGCATTTGCGGAGCCTGGTCAGCTCCCGAAGGGGGCTATGAAAGGGTTAAGAAAGAGGATCATAAGTCTGGTGCAATAAGTAGTTGCGCAGCTAGCCGGAGCCGCGTTTGCCCAGGCAGGTGACGCGAGGGTGTTGAGTTTTCGTCTGCTGTCAAACGCCTGGTGGTAGTAGTGGAGCTGCTAAAAGGGGCCTATTTGTAAATGACAGCCCAGAAGTGACGTTGCGGGAATGGGCATCTGCCTGCGGCGCGGCTACAGCATGCCCTCGAACTTTCTCGAGCACACGGCCGCACTCAGTGAGGTGCATCCAGCTTCAATTGTGATCAAGTAAGGAACAGCAAACGCGCGATATGAAGGCCCGGGCGCCGGTCTACGGAAGAGTGATGATGCTGGAGTTTTGGCTACTGTATCATATCCTGAAATCGGTGCATGGAGTCGAACTTCGATGTTCATGGGGTTAGTCTCTTGAAAGACAAGGCGATAAAGTCTGCACTACACCGGTGTTTGGTGTTTTTCGGTGGCAGCTCAGGACTTCAAGTACAGCGCTCCGAATTACCAGTATGGATTGCAAGTACAGCTGGTCACAGCCGTCATGCCGGCAGCCGGTAATAGAAGGACGGAGTGAAGCACACTGGAAGGGACCGTGACAAGGCTGGGGATTTTCAGGGATAAGGCTGCCCAAAGCAATGCCAAGACATGGGGCAAAAGGGCAAATCCCGCATGATCCAACCTCCATCATCACTGCCCATCCTGTCCCAGGCTTCTCTTCCATCCCTAAAACTCTTATATGGTACCGAAACCTCAATATTGCCGCAGTTGATGTGCCTGACGACTCGCTAATGTCGCTTGCCGCACTAGAACTCCGAGCATTCGGCATGTGGGATGCGAGCGTCTCGGCCAGCCAGTAGTAATCATACTCGACTTCCAGCTGTTCCGTGTCTGGCTGAGAGGAGGCGTAATGGACATGACTATGCCCGTAGTTGGGTGAACCGAACGGCTCCTACGCTGCCAAGTCAGTGTAAGCTGATCCCCACCGATCGCGCCTGTCAAGTCTATCGGAATTGAAATCATCCGAAGCAACGGCAGGCCGCTATAATGCCCTCAGCAGTCACCTTTAGACCAAATTGACCCTCACTTCGTCCAGTCGCAACATATTGTCGTTACACCCCTATCGGCAACGCAGCATGACATATGTTCATCAAGACTCCAGCGCATCTGATCTAGATCCCAGAACCCTTCCACCATTAGATCTTCCCCATGGCCTGACTTCGCGTTATGTCGACTGCACTCCACAGAGTCTGGTTTTCCACATTATCGAATCTTTTCCTCAGCAACCGACTCCTGATACACAATTGATTCTCTGTGTTCATGGATTCCCAGAGCTGGCATACTCGTGGCGCAAAGTTCTACCGTTGCTTTCCTCCCGAGGCTACCATGCCGTCGCTTTCGACCAGCGAGGCTTTGGTCGGACACACTCCTCCAAGCCAGTGACTGCCGATACTTTCCGACCACTGAGTCTTATCAAAGACACGATGGCGTTGGTACTGGCGCTCGGATACTCATCCGTGCGGACAATTGTTGGCCACGACTTTGGCGCAATCACCGCCGGTCTCTGCGTGCTGTCTCGACCCGACATGTTCCAATCTCTTGTTCTCATGGGTCATCCAATCAAGCAATTCGAGTCCTTCCCGTACAGTACATCGCCATCTTTGGCGCATCAAAAGACCACTGTCGTCACGCCTGACCATGTCGATATCCAGCATGACCTTGCGCAGCTATCCCCTCCGCGGAAGCATTATAAATGGTACTACAGCTCTGAATTTGCCAATGCAGAGATGACATATCCAGCTGGTCAAGCCTTGCACGAGTTTCTGCGCGGCTACTTCTACCTGAAATCTGCCGACGCGCCTCAACAACCGGCGCCGCTGAAGGGCTGGACGGCAGAAGACTTGCAGCGCTTGCCTCGGTACTACATCATGGACCAGGATGGCACCATGCGAGACAACGTTGTCGCTGATCTGGCCGGAGTCGACCCGCAGGCCATCCGGGAGCGGACACAGCGATGGTTACCGGACCGCGAACTCGCAGTCTATGTCGATGAGTACACGCGCACCACATTTCGCGGGGGTCTGAACTGGTACAAGGTCCAGACTGACCCAGAAGTGGCAAGCGACAGTGCTATCTGGACTGGATGCAAAATCCGTGTCCCTACCATGTACCTGTCCGGGAAGAGCGACTGGGCGACATTTCAGCAGCCTGGTGCGGTAGACGCAATGGAGACTGGAATCAGTGTGGAGGACGGATGCTTTAAAAGGACCGTCTTGGTGGATCGTGCTGGGCACTGGGTCATTCAAGAGCAGCCGGAAAGGTGTGCGGAAGAGATCTTGAGGATGGCGGCGGGAACATGACTGCTACAGTCTCGGCTGGTGCGGATACTATGCAAGCAATTTACATTATTACCGAGTCTCAACGCTTAGGTCAAGCACCATCTCGCCGAATAGGTACCTCGGATGAATCGCCAACTCAACCTCTGCCACGGTGCTTCCGCCCACGGCCGACTCCCAAAGACGCCACGCGGCGCCTCACCCCTGCCTCACTTTCACTCTCAGACTCCTCACTCTCCGCAAACCGCAGAGCCGAAGCCGAAGTTGACGACGCACCAACACCAGTCGTAGCTTCGCTCGTCGACGCAAAACTAACCCCCGTCTCCGTCTCCGTCTCCGTGCCCTCGGTCGTGGCCCCACTGACATCTGTCTCCGTCCCCCGCGCACTCCGGCTGCCTTCGCCGGTATCGAGATCCATGCGAGAAATCCGATCCAAGATCTCCTGGATCCGCTCCCCGCGTTCCTTGTCCTCGAGATCCACATCGGCCGAGAACTTCGCGATGCGCAGCAGCATGTCTTCCAGCCGCTCGTCCGACTCCTTGTTCTCGACCTTGTGATAAGGCCGCGTCGACGGGGCAGGCAGGCCAGAAAACTCCCTCGTCGCCTCCTCCTCCTTCTTCTTGCCCTCCTTCGCGGCTCGGAGGTCAGCGTCGGACGACGCCACAAATTTGGCTAGGGACTCGTCCTCCGACATGTCTTCGAACCAGTCGCTGTTGGCCTCGTCGGGGACGTCCCTGGAGTCGTACTGGTACGTCGTCACACGCGTAGTCGTGGGCCGTTCCGCATCTTCGAGGTAGACGCGGGGCTCAGAGGGGGCGGCGGCCGAAGCAGCAGCAACAGTAGCAGCGCGGCCACCCTTGGGCGTGCTGACGCCGGACACGGACGTGCCGTCGTCGCTGTTGTACGCGAGGTGGTGGATGACCCGTCCCGTCGCCATCGGCAGGCCGGTGTGGACATTCATCTCCTGAAAGAAGCCCTGATGCAGCTTCTTGGGCGGTTTCCCGTTCCGCGGATACGGCTCTCGCTTTTCAGGCGGGTATTCCTTGTCGAGCGCCTCGAGCCAGTCCGGTGGGACCAGTTCCGGCCTCCCCCAGGCGCGAATCGCGCTGCGGCGGCGGCGACGGTGCGGGTCGCACAGCTTGTGGATCGGGTGGTTGGCGTAGCTGCCCGTCTTGCTGGCGTAGTAGTGCCAGCGGAACCAGCGGTCCGTGCAGCCGCAGGGCTTACGGTACTTCTTGAACATGCGCACGACCTTGTCGTCCGTCTCGCGGAAGACCATCTGCGTGATGAATTTCGATTCGCTGCACCCCGGCCGCGTGCAGCGGAGGGTGTAGCCCATGTCGTACTGGCACATGTTGATCGTCGATAGTCTGACTTCTTGTGCAAGGCGTTCTTTTGGCTGCTACGCTTGCTACTGCTTGTGGACTGCATGGCGCATCAATCGATCGTCTGCTTTTATGGCCCAGGACGCAGGAGTCATGCTCCAGGCATTGCGAAACACGCAAACCAACCGCCATGTCTGTTTGATCTCGAAAGAATCTCAGTTGCACTGTGGTGTCACTGAAAACAGAGTCCTGTCTCACATAGATCCATGACAGCCGCAAACACCGCGGGCATCTGTATCGGCATTGGAGCCGTATGACAGCAAGCATTCGAGTCATACTGTCGACAAACATGCAATGCGACGGATGGTCAGCAGCCTCTTCTACCCTCAAAGCAACTCCAAGAGCCTGTATGGCAATCCTAGGCAGACCGTTAGCGACAGTGTCAAACGCCTCGTTGGGGTTCCACGACTTGAGCATTACGGAGCAAAGTCAGGCAGTGAAAATCTTGGCACATTGCCCGATTGGTCAGCTGGGCCATTATCGCCGTCCACAACGCAGCGATCGCAGCAAGGAAACGATACTATGTTGAGGACGGAGAAATACGTTTAAGAATTACATATCAAAGCATATGGGAGTCAACATAGTACACGCTCCAACCAATTTCCCATTCCCCAGTATATGACCCGTCGAGTCTTACATGCCATCAACGCCAAAGCCTCGGGCGCAGAGGCACCAAGCGGAGGCTGTTGAGGGACTTGTGGTTTAGTACGCCATCTTCTTGCCGCCCTTCTTCATGGGTTTCTTCTTCTGCTCAATTGGAGTCTCAGGTTCTTCTGCGGTATTGTCAGTGAGGTTCCGTCGAAAATATGGTATCGGTCGAAGAGAAGTGGGCAAAGATTTCCCACCAATCCATGCGTGGTGGAGGGTCAACTTACCATCTTCCTCTTCCTCTTCCTCGTCCTCCTCTTCGTCTTCTTCGTCCTCGTCCTCGTCCTCGTCCTCCTCATCTTCATCTTCATCTTCGCTCTCGGGTTGCACGTGCTTCTTCTTCAGGGCACTCTTGAGTGGCTTCTGTCCTGGCTTGCCAGCACCGTTGATCTTCTTCGCCTTGTTCTTGTGCATATGCTCGTCCTCCTCATCGTCGTCCTGTATTTGTTAGCTGTGTCAATCTCCACGCGCATAGCGCGCTTATAGCTCTGAGCAACCTACCTCGTCTTCTTCGTCATCCTCGTCCTCGTCATCTTCCTCATCCTCCTCGTCCTCCTCGTCCTCCTCTTCGTCTTCGGATTCCTCTTCATGAACGGGGGGCTGCCTGCCCTTCTTGCCATTCATAGCAGGAGCGGCACCCTTCTTTCCATTCATACCACCCTTGGCAGCACCCTTCTTGGGCATTGGCTCTTCGTCCTCGTCTTCCTCATCCTCGTCTTCGTCCTCCTCATCGTCATCCTCATCCTCCTGTCTTCGTTAGTTTCAAGCAGGATCTATTGCGGTAGAAAGCGCGAACCTCGTCTTCGTCATATTCAGGCTCGGGGACCTTGCTCTTCTTCGCGCCGGGCTTGCCGTTCATGCCGTTCATCTGGCCCTTGGCAGCGCCCTTCTTAGGCATATATTCTTCCTCGTCCTACTCTAAGTCAGCAACTTTGGCTCTCGATCTTCAGAAGACTCCAGCTCACCTCCTCATCCTCATCTTCGTCCTCCTCATCTTCCTCGTCCTCTTCATCCTCTTCATCTTCTTCTTCATCTTCATCTTCATCTTCCTCCTCAGGGTCGTGCACTGGAGCCTTCTTGCCCTTGTTGGCCTTCTTGCCGGCTACAGCACCGTTGATCGCGCCTATCGCCGCACCAGCAGCACCCTTGCCAAGAGCCTTACCAGCAGTCTTGCCAAATTTCTTAGCTTTGCTAGTCGCCTTCTTCTCCTTTTCTGCTTTGCCAGCTTTCTCGGGCTTGCCAGCTTTCTCGGACTTGCCAGCCTTACCGGTGGGGGGCATGACCGCGGTCTTGCTAGGAGGGTTTGTGTCCTTTGGAACGCCTGCTTTGCCAATGATAGGGATTGGCTCCCTACCAGGGCCACGGGACTTGGAGCGTGCGCGATCCTTCATCGGCATCTCGGGCTCGGGCTGGCGGACCTTGGATCGCGAGCGGGAGCGGGTATCGCTCTTGGCGGGCGCCAGTGCTTCGGGTTTCGGGGCGCGGGAGGTGGAACGCGACTTTGTTCCTTTGGCTGGAGCCGTGAGGCTGCCACCGGCTGGGGCGCGTGTTCGGGACTTGGAGCGGCCGCGGTCCATTTTTGGTTATTGTTTGGCGAGGAAGACAGTAGTAGTTAGTTTGGTCGGTGGGCGTGGAAGTTCGAGAGTCGATAGCAGAGTTAGTGTGTGGTTGAGGAACTGAGATACGAAGCCTGAGAGGAGAAGTCGGCTGTTTATCAAGGAAGTGAGGAAGCAATTGGGATCGTTGGATCCACCACCGAGCCACTCAGCCTGCGGTTCAGAGTGCATAATCTGACGCGATACGCAGGCGGTAGAGTAGGTAATCGAGAAATCAAAGGGGCTGTAAGGCTGAGTGCTGGACGTCAAAATAGGAACGGAGACTCGCAGTGTCCGTCAGAGGGCTTCCTGGGTTGTAAGTAAGCTTATCAAGACATCCTACTGCGTGGCTCCTTCTCGTCACCGATTCGGTGGGCGCTGGCCGTCGTCAAAGGTAAGGCTGGGCCAGATGCAGCCGCAGGCGTCTGGTGCGATACCCTTGTGCAGCAAGTTGATAATCCTGGTACATACGCCGCTTGCATGAATTCCCATATCTCCTGGATGTTACCGCGTCGGACGGAGATTCAAAGATACATACCGAGACGGCGACGTGAAGCACGAAGTTCGATAACCGCCAAGCCCGGCCCACTATTTCTACTGCCCGACTTCAGTACAACACTAGGAGTCGCCGACCGTGACGCTTCACTCGGAGCTAGAACCGAGCACCACGTTGTCCATAGTGGCTGTAGCATAACGTTCGTAAACTCTGGTTGTGCATTCGACGTTGCAGTGCAAAATGAACTCGTGAATGTGCGGCAATATGGTTTCTGATTACCGCGGGGCTTTGTCAGCGCTGACCAGCCCACCCACTGTTTCAGCAACCGCAGAAAGATTCCGCTGTGTAAGCATCTCAGCAGATCTGGACTCTTCCAAAGGTCCTGACCTGAAAGCGTGAGAGTGGCACATCGTGGGCTAGAAAAGGCGCGAGCTCGGTGGCGTAAGCACAAAGGTCCGGCTGGGTTGGTCAGACCGAGGGTAATGGGTATGTGACCAAGAATAGCAGCATGAGCAAAGTGTAGTGCGCACCATGTGAACTTCTTATGCGCTGAAACATGGTTCCCTCCTCCTAGTGGTCCTCGCGCTCGATCTCACAGGAATCTGGAGGAGCGGGCAACGCCCTCGAAGGGGCCATGAAGTACCAGGCAGCCTCACTGTGATCTGCCGGGGCCTTGTGTAGGTCGGCGGCGAGCAAAGGGGTCGGGGGCAGGTAGGTTGGGCCTCAGATCTCTTCAAACCCTGGAGAATAAGTCCACGTGGTCGGAGTATTCTGACGGGTCGATCTCATCAGGGTCATATCATCAGTCCAAGCTACAGCTCCTCCACCCCACCAACCCTCCTCTCTGCCACCTCCCGCACTTTTTCCTCCAGCACATCTTGACCCCACCTCTGGGCCACCTTTCCAGCCGCCTCCAGCATCCGACCCGTCCGATCTTTCATCAGTTTCACCACCTCCAAAGCCTTCATGCCTCGTTCCTCGCCTTCCCGGCATTCCACGGCCAGCAACTGCAACAGGACCTTGTCTACCTCGATCTCCCGCCGCGCCACTTCTGTCCTCTGCGAATGGCCGGCGTTGTCACCCTGTGCATCCACGGCGTCTCGCAGGAGCTCCAAAAGTAACGTACTGCGTACGAAGCTCTCCTCCAATCTAGAGCCAGCCTTGGCATTGCTCTCGTTTCCATCCTCATCCTGCGCGCCTTCCTCCACCAGTCTGCCCACCGGCATCTCGAAATCGAATTCTGTGAGCAGCGGCCGAGGAAAGTACGGACTCGTTTCACCGCCCTTGAGGATGACGCAGTGGAATTTTTCGCCAGCAACAGCCACAGGCCAATACTTTTCCTCCTTTTTGCCATCTCGTAGCCGTTCTAGCCGCCGGGTATCAAGGAGTGGCACCCATTTCGCTTGCCCTGGTGTCCGCCAGTGCATCAAGGTCAGCAGCACACCCTGTTTGTCGTAGATACATGGATCGCCCTCGTCCGACCAGAAGAGACTCTGCAGTCCCCACTCGTCGTCCACATCCTCGCCAACCTCGCTCAGAGCCACGACATCCTCGGTCTGGAGGACTTCATCGTTCCGTAGATCTTCGAGACTGTAGACCAGCTTCGTTCGACCGTCGCCACCCACCGGCCCATTGCCTACAATGAGCACATAGTCACCCCAGCTCGCGCAGGTCACTGCTGGGCTATGCTTCACCCGCCACATTCGCACTGGAGTTCCGAACAGCGTCCATACCCGCACATAGCCTGTGTTTGTGATTGCAACGACGTGGCGCTTGCCCAGGGCAATGCTCGTTGCCTCCTCACCTTTGGGCAGCTGGATGCGACTCCCGTTGCCACCATCTGATCGCGAGACCCATGTTTCGTGCGGCCGGTAGAATACAACACCTCCTTGGTCATCCTTTGCCGAGGAGGAAAAGAGTGAGCCATGATCGGTGAGACATGCCTTGTCGTAGCCAAAGTAGTCAGTGAAGTGCAAGTCGCGATGCATCTCGCGGTCGAAGAACTCTACTGTGACAGTGCGGTGAGTGTCGTGATCCACGGTCCACACGAATCCAAGGAGGTTCAGACAGAGATAGCGCCGGTTACCGCGCCACAGCGTCGAAGAGGGTTGGAAAGCTGCATGCTGTTCTGGAGAGAAAGTACCGTAGCGGCTGCGTTTGGCGATTGGGAGGTCGACATGGCCATTGGTGCGCTTGCCGTTGAGATTGATGTTAACGCCGTTTGTATAGCCAGCATTGTCATCATCCTCGATCCAGTCATCGAGATCGGCATCGATTGGACCAGGAGATTCACCAAGTGCTTCATCTAACGAATCAGGAGTAGCAGCGCGTCGTTTGTGCGCGTAGCCGTTAACACCATTCGTCAGACGTTGCTCGTCAAGAGGATCGTGGAAGAACGGTGCGCGTGTCTTCGGTCCCTTGAGAATCTTGAGATGGTTTTCGTCCTGGAAGAAATTGGGCTGGATGCTGCACTCGCCCCAACTGTTGGTCCAATTGACAATATTCTCGCTAGTGGGATGGAAGGCAACTTGTAGAATCTTCTCGTAATTGTCTTTCCGGATAGGCTGCTGGGTCTTGGTTTCCCAGATGACGAGCAAGTCGTCGGCGCCGGAGCTGGCGAGAAGTGCGCCATTCGGAGACCAGGCAAGAGAGGTAATGTCGCCATTGTGCCCGCCTGAGAAGACACGCTGGAATGCGCCGTCTGCCACGGAGATGACTTGAATGTCCCTTGCTGCTGTCGGGCAAGCAAATGCTCTTCCATCTGGATGCCACACCGCCTTGCTCGTGGCTATTTGTGCTGTTTCTAGTTGTCTGGCAACCCCGTCGATCGTACGGAAGAGGGATGGTTGTTCGGGGAGCACCGAAACGTCGTAGATGTAAATGCGGCCATCTGTACAAGATGCTGCAAGATACTTCCCGTCTGGTGATGGTGAGAGGTGCTTGATTGGTTTGGGGTGGTCATTGAGGGTTATGAGTCGTTCGGTGTTGTGTCGGTTCACCACCTTCACTTCTATCTCGCTGCTGTTATCAGCCTTGGTGTCTTGAGCGGTGCGGATAACTCACTCGCTTGAAGCAGCCACCCAAGTCTCACTTTGTAGAAGGGCCACGTCTCGGACTGGCAATGTGAACCTCACGATCATCCGCTCAACCTCGCCGCTAGGGACTTTGTACTCTGTAACAGTTCCATCCTCGCAGCCCAGAACAACGAAGTCGTTGCCTGACGCGACAGCCAGCGTGTCTTCATGCGTATCCATGAGCATGTCAGGTTCGCCATTGTCATGGGTTCGATAGGAGCGAGCGAAATTGCCACAGCCAGCGACATTGAGCCGGTGGCCGTCTGGTGAGTATTGGAGGAACGTCGGACCCGGGGGCTGTGCTGGGCGCAAGGGAAAGGGAGGTCTGTCAGGCATGTCGAACGAGCAAGAATACTCTCGAAGGACAGTGGTCGTCACCTTGGGTACTGGAAGCGTAGTGTGCTCAGCACTAGGAGGGCTACATCCGCAGGTGACGGGGCGCGTTGGACGCGTTCTACGCGTCGACAAGGATCCGCACCCAATTTTGTCCATATCCGGACTAGCGTACAACATTTCGCTGCCTCACCACGGTGTATCGAACGCAAGGCGGCCACGACACTTCACCAGATTTATGTGACGGTGAATTTCCTGTGATGTTCTCTTCAGTATTATGAAGTTCAGCTATACTTCTTTAGGGCCACATTGGTGCTCGCGTGATTCCTCAGACCTTGAAGCCCAGCTTCTCATTCGCCAACTCCCGCATTCTCCTCTGCCCACTGCTCAACCCCGGCTCATCCACGTCAAACGGCTCGAGCCCCAGCGCTCGCTTCCCAGCAACCGACCACACATTCTCCTCCTTTGCGCCGTGATCCTCATGATCCCTCTCCAGTTCACCGTGCTCGTAATTTTCAAAATCCTTCGGCGGCATCACATCCATGAAGCTCTGCCGCATGCTCACCAGATTCTCTAGGTTGTAGGGGCACAGCGGCACACAGGCATTATAGCTAACGGACGAATCACGCGTGCCCGGGTGGAACTTGTCGACCTCGTGCACGAGATCGCAGTGCCAGAAGACGTAGTCGCCGGGCTTGACGGGAGGGATGCCGACCATGCTTTTCTCGAGTTGCAGGTGGGGGTGCAGTTTCTGCGTGGGATAGAACTGGAGGCCGCCAGGTTTGGCGCCGGGGAAGAGCGGTGTGATATCGTCGAAGGTCTCGTCTAGGATGAAGAAGGGGCGGAGGAGTTGGTAGGCCGTTGTGAGTTTCAGCTCTGGCACGAGACGTAGGGTGCCTTCGCCGGTGGATGTGTGGGAGAGGCCCATCCACCCTTGCATGGAACGAAAGGCTGAGCAGGAGTCTAGGTAGGTTAGCGGGACCAGCCGTCGGGGTGAGAGTGGCTGAGAGATCTGATAACTTACTGCCGGTTGAATACAGGTCTGTCTTTGCATTTGATCTGTGGTCGGCGTTCCAGGGGTCGTATTCCTCCCACTTGCCCTCAAAGATCTTTTGGTAACAAGACCGATATGACAGATCTTCCCAGCGCTCCATGGACCCACTGTCTTGATGAGCACTAAGAGTGTATTCTGCATCTAGGCGAGCTGTCAGTCATTGACGCCGGCTTGCCACTGTAACCGGTGAGGATACCTTTAGAAGGATGTCGTATACGAAATCTGTCCGCATAGATGACCTGACTCGACATATCAAATAGCCCATCGTCCGAGCTTAGATGCCACAATTTGCTGACGGCATTCATCGCCGCCATAACTCGCGGATGACTCCTGATCTGAACCTGTGGCGCAGTCCAAAAGAGGCTGAAGTTCTGAGGGTCATGTTTCGGGAAGCCGGCGATGTTTGGGTGCCGCTTCGTGTAGCTTTTAAGATCGCTTTCCCAGGTCGTTGCTTGCTCCTCCGAGACCACTCCGCGAATGATGAGGCAGCCGGTCTGAGCAACGACATTTCGAAGGCTCTCCGGTATTTCTCCGCTGCTTTCGACCACAGAGAAGTCAACCTCAGGGATTGCCTGGGGCCCTTGTTTGGAGATTCGGTCGATCTCTTTCTCGAGGGCCAACTTAAGACGTCGGTAGGACTCGATCACCTTGTCCTTGTGCTCAGCGCTTACTATAGATTGCTTCAACTTCGAGAAGCGCTGTTCTAGGAGCTCACAACTGGGTCGGCAGTCAATGATTCCTGTTCTCAGACGAGGATGGTGCTGGTGTTACGTACGGATACTGCTCTTGAAGCTGTGTTTGTGTCTGTGTGGTCGTCATGCTAGGCCAAAAGTGCTGCGAACGTAGGTTTGTGTTGTTGTGGAACAGAGAGCGAGACAGTAAGGACGAAGGTGTCTTAAGATGTCATAATGCTGGCCAATCCCTCGACGTACGTTGATAGCCCAGCGACGGGGGAGAGCCTAGATGATTTGGCGAAACTCCACAAGTACTCCAACCCGACGCCCCGCGGCCAACCTTAAGGGGATGTTGCCCGGCGAATGATCATGTGTCACAAAGCAGAACACTCCGTAATTGGTTGAGACTGGTCCGAGTCGAGGAGCTAGCAGGGCATGTGGTGATGGCAGTCAAGGGAGATCGGAGAATTGGTATCATACTGTGCGTTCTAGCCACTCCAGCTCAAAGTATGCTAATGTGCTTTTTGGTAACATAGATCACGCTGTTACCTATAGATTACTGCCATAACAATGTTTGGTAGTAGTTCCAGTAGATGGGAGCTTCCATCTGTTCGGTGACCCACGTATTTGCTGTAGAAGAAGCGCATCGAATCTAACGGTTCTTAAAGCTCGAGTAACACTAACGCCCGGCATCAAATTCCACGTCATTCTGATTTGTCGAAAAGCGCTCCAAAAGAAGATTCAAGCGTAATTCGGGAAGCCTAGCAAATTCAAACTTCTGGGCAAGTCGTCTGAGGTAGTAGGAGTACGTTTCGAGCATACCCTGACGAGTTTCGTAGACAGCATCATTCGTGCTTGACAACAACGCCGTAATCAAGAAGCTCCCGAGGATGGCTATATTGGATTTGCAGTCTGCATGTATTTTCAGCAGATGAGGTCAATTACGTCTAGATTGAGCAAGCACTTACAGCTCAGCCACAGGCCACTCAAGTCCTGTGTGAGGAGACGTTCAAAAACTTCGAAGATCTCCCTGAATAGGGCGCTCTCTCGATGAATGTCATAATATGATGTTCCACCAACGCATGTGAAGAGGGCTCTTTGAATGGATACAGCGATCCCATAGTATGCGAAGATGACGGCGTAATCTAGCTAGCGTTAGCTAGAGTCCGATGCTGGGGGATGGCTGGAACACTGTTGATAACGGAGCCTGGCTGCTCCCATATCTGAGCATTTTCCGTATACCACGTGGTTAGTTGTGCCTGGCACTTGCTCGCCCTCTGCAGCGCCTGCTCGGCCGAAAGCCTATCTGCACTATCTTTCACAGTGTAGAAATTGTCGAGGACACTTGCAAGCACAACACTCAACTTGGTCAAGCTGATGAAGGCTACGACCGATGAGAGATGCCCTTCATTGAGCCCACCAACGTCATTGGTGAAATCGGTATCGGCAAGGTGTGTCAGGTCGAATTGATTCTCGTGAATATGGCTGGGTCGACCGTACCAGTGGGCAAGCCTTCAGAAGGGTCAGGCAAATGCTCGCATACATCCTGGGTATTGGCGATAACGAACCACTTGTCTTGCATGTAAACAGTCCACCACAATATTCGACGACTTTTGCGTTCAGCCGAAGATAAGTCCCATGCTTCAGGGTTTGCGTGGAGGCCGATCTCTTGCGAGACCGCTACAAGCTGCGACCCGTTCAGTCAGAGCCTAGGAAAGACGTCACGACTCTATGAAAGTCTTTCGCAGGTGCGGGGAACAGCAGTGCTTCGAAGAACTGTCAATGTTACACACCTGGGATGTCAGAGGCCAGTAACCGGGATGATTCGGTTCACGGACCAGCATAGGCGCAATCTGTAGGTAGATGAGATTGGCCTGAACAGTCCTTAGTGACGGTGTCCTCGCTTCGTATGTAACTCCCAAGAAGACCAATTCTCGAAGTTCCTGCTTGAGGGCTACATCAACCCCAGGCTGAAAATCGAGCGCTGCACAATACACTGCTGCAAGCAATGAAGCAGGGATCTTGTTTGCTGACAACAATTCTTCGAATGCGATCAAGTCTTCCAATATGGGAAGGCTGGGGTGGAAATGAGAGTAGTAGATGCTCAGAAGCACGCTGTGGTTGGGTTCAACGAGGTTCTTGACATGATCCAATTCGTATGCGCCTTCTCGAGCATCTAGTAGGTGGTCCGGGTAGGACTAGGTCAGAGACCTTAGTGATGTTGGGATGCACGATTGGGAGAGTGCGTACCGTGAAGTATGCCGGGCCAAACTCACGTGCAAGTGCCTTCCAAACCGTCCAGTTGGCAGTTCCAAAGGCGCTCTTACCACGAAAAGGTAAATGCCGGAGCAGGTAAACGTCTTGGTCGCTACTAGCTCCAGTGTACAGGAATGTACGTCCAGGGATGACAGTTGTCCGCAGCCGCTCACTACTGTCACTAATACTCGCCGCCTCAGTGTGCTGTTTGGCCAATTTATGCACACGTTGGAGGCCTGCCAACTTTGACCCGATGCCAGGGTCCTGCTTTGCCTGGTCACCGTTCTCTCCGAGTGATCGTCGCTTCTTAACGGGTGGCACAGACAGAAAGGTGCATTTGGTAGATCTGTGGCGGCAGAGCGTACAGTCGACCTGCCCATGATCTACGAAACAGCCAACGCGACGTCTTCGGCAGTGGTCGCACCTGGTTGGAGAACTCCAGTCAGCCTTCGGACGAAACAGTAGTCGAAAGCTTGCCAGGAGTCATACGGGCGTCGTTTCTTGGAGCGGTAGGGTCTCGCTTCCAGCTGCTGGAACTCGTCCGACCTGGAGGACTGATAATCCTGTCCAGTGGGAAAAGCCAAAGGATTCCCATTGGTTGCCATATCTTTCAGATGCGATACGAGCGCAATAGCGATCGTCTCGAATCCGAACGGAGGACAGAGTGAGCTAGAGTAGTTGGCCGCGGGGCGTCAAGCCGCATGATATGTACCTTGGGGATGCAGTTGGGGCCATTGCTCCTGTGGGGAAGACTGTACCTAACATTGATCCTGGCCGGCAATCTCCGCAGCAAGTTGGCCGCGGGGCGACGAGCGCTTCTCGTTATCTCGGCACACGTCCTCGACCAAGCAGTTGACGGGCGTTTATCGGCGCTACCTCAGGGAACTGGAGTTAGTATACCAGCCTGCAGTACCGTTAGCATACTGCAGTGCAGATATCTTTATCGCGGCAAACATGTCTCGCGTGCTCAGGGATCCTCGCCGCCTGGGCGTCGAGATTGCCAATCGTAGTGCGAGCACCACGATTCCATTTTCAGATATATAAGGACGATATGTCTTCTTCTGAGCCTGCCGATGTTTGTGTCGTTCCGAGTCCCGGAGACGCGTTCAGGTGCCGTTGACATGATGAAGTTCGAGAAGCCACTCCTCCTGAGGGAGATGACTCCCCGGTTGCTGCGGATTTATCTCTTTGCATCGGTAAGATCTTGCCCTTCCGGAGGGTTGAAGGGGAAGCTGACAATTACTGTTCGCAGATGGGTGCAATGGTACGCTTCTCAGACTCTGGTCTGGATGACAGCTTACCACCTGCAGAACTTTGGCTATGACAACAACTGGTGGGCCGGCATCATTGGCATAGATACTTTTGCTCAGGACTATGGTCGGTACAATGGACCTGATACACCGAGGAGTCTGCCCTCTACATGGCTCTCGGCAGCCAGCGGTACTCCCTTGGCTGGGTGGATCATAGGATGCTTCGTGTCAAGCTATCTCACCAGCAATATCGGCCGGAAGATGACTATAGTGGTGCTCTGCGTTATCGCTCTTGTTGGAATGGTCATACAATGCGCGGTCCACAACTACTGGGCGCTCATGGTGGGCAGGCTCATCAATGCATTCTCCATGGGTAAGCTGGACGGATTTGACAGAGAAGCTCTCGTACTCACGCTTGCAGGCATTGAGGCCAATTGCATCCCTATGTATATGGCTGAACTTGCCCCGCCAGCTATCCGCGGAGCCCTGGTCAACTTCTACCAGAGCTGGCTCATGATTGGGGCGGTTCTGGCTGCTGCCACCGTCTACGCCACGAACGAGCATCTCACTGGGAAGTGGACATATCTCACACGTATAGGACGCCAAATCTGTCTCTCGTGAAAACAAGGGCTAATCTATTCGTTGCAGCAATTGTCGTTCAGATCGGCCCGCCAGTCCTGCTACTCTCGGCCGTGTGGTTCATCCCGGAATCTCCACGCTGGCTTCTTTCCAAAAACCGGAAAACCAAAGCATTCGAAGCTCTCCAATACATGCGGCATGGAAGCTCGACTGACGACGAAGTCTCATCAGAGCTCGAGCTGATCGACCTTGCTCTCGAGCAAGAAAAGGAGCTTCACCGCGCTACCGGCTACGCTGACTGTTTCAAGGGTGTGAACTTCCATCGCACGATGGTCGCTGTAGGAGTACAATGCCTGCAGCAAGCCCAAGGTAACTCGTTCACGACCACCTATATTGTTCTCTTTCTCCAGTCTCTCGGCGTGGAGAATCCGCTCCTAATCAAGACTGCGCGTGCCTGCTGCAGCTTTGCGGGTACACTTTTCGCATTCTACTTGACAGACAAAATCGGGAGACGTATGATGCTGATCGGCGGTGCCTTCCTCATGGCAATCCTGCTTTGGGTGACCAGTGGTCTGGCGGCTTGGACACCAGGCGGTGTCACAGGGTCTGCTGCTCAAGGAGCAATAGCCTGCATCATTCTTCATGTGAGTGTCTCTCGAGAATCTGCATATGTTTGCTGACAACCCTTTCAGGGCGCCATATCGACCGCTTGCTGGGGATCCGCAATGTGGACAGTGACAAGTATGGAACTCCTTACTCCTCCAGGTGCAAACTCTGCTGACATCTTGACAGCGGAAGTAGCCACGAATCAACTCCGGGAAAGGACCATCGCCGTGGCGACAGTCCTGGGTTTTGCAACGAGCCTTGTCATCACCTATGTGAACCCTTACGTTCAAGGCGAGCCCGGGAACCTCGGGGCTCGGGTGGGGCTCATCTATGCGAGCATGTCCTTCCTGGCAATGGCTTTTGTCTACTTTGTGGTTCCGGAGATGAAAGGCAGGAGCTTGGAAGAGCTGGACGAAATGTTTCACTCTGGTGTCCCTGCTTGGAGATCCAAGGGGTTTGTGGCCACCGGTCTGGGCGCGCAGATTACCGACATCCAGAACAACAACTCGGGCAGACTGATTGTGGGCAAGGATGGGGTTGCTGTCACTGACGTCGAAGTTGGTTTGCCTAAGGACAAGACGAATGGCCGTCAAGGCATTTAGAGTGTAGACTGGGAATGTCTTCGTTGCCGCTTCTCGGCATGGACACGCTCGGCGTTGACATGGGTAGATTCATGTGTGGGACTGCCTGCACTCTGCATGTGGGATCAAATCAGTCGTACGTGCACCTAATTGGACGTTGTGACTTAGTAGCAGCACATGGTGTGGCGTATGACAGAACCGCTCTGTGCGGGAACCGAACTTTTGGCTAAGACTACAACCTATAAATGCTACCTAGGTGCAGGGTTCTCTGTCGCCTTCTCTAGAGCTTACCTGCTGCCTTTGCGCGTTGGGCTCCGAGGATCCCCTTGACGTTTTTCCCTGACATTCTTTCACGATGCCCCCTCCTTTCGCCGTTGAAAACTGGAAAGCAGAGGCAGCCAAAGCGCGCATGAAGGTCGAGCAGTCGATCCCTTCGGCATGGCGTCTCCCCGCGAGCCTAGCTGCGCTCGCTGTACGAGGTACTCTGAAGCCTGAGGACCCTCGTGTCATCAGCTGTGGCATCCTCGAACCCAGAGACATTGAATTAACATCCATCTCCGACGTGTCCATTCTCTTGCAGGCCTTGAGTAACAGGAGATGCACAGCCGTCGAGGTTGCGACAGCCTTTTGCAAACGAGCTGCCATTGCCCATCAATGCACCTCCTGTTTGACGTGCTTCTTTCCAGAAGAAGCGTTGAAGCGTGCAGGCGAGCTAGACGACTATCTCGCCACAGAGGGAAAAGTGGTGGGTGCTTTGCACGGCTTGCCGGTGTCCTTGAAGGATAGTTTCAACATGGCCGGCAAAGTCTCGTCCATTGGCTTGGTTTCCTGGTTACCAAATATTGCGTCTGAGAACTCGGAGTGTTCCGATGCCATACTCGCTGCGGGGGGTGTACTGTTTGTCAAAACAGGCACTTCTCAGGCGTGCCTCATGGTGGAGAGCATCAACAATATCTTCGGCTCTATACGCAACCCGTACAATCCCGACTTGAGCGTTGGTGGTTCATCTGGAGGCGAAGGAGCCCTATTGGCATCCAAGGGTAGCATACTGGGGTTGGGTACTGACGGTGGCGGGAGTCTGCGCTTTCCAGCAATGTTTTGTGGGCTTTGGGCGTTGAAGTGCTCGAAAGGGAGAGTGCCAGCCAAGGGACTTGCGAGTACATACGACGGCAACGAGTCTACAAACGCCGGTCTTGGGCCATTAAGCCGGTCTGTATCGGGACTAGAGGTTGGCATTCGAGCTCTGCTTGCTACCAGGCCATGGGAGCGGGATCCTGGCTGCATTCCCATGGCTTGGAAGTCCCAAGAAGCGATCCGAGCGACCGGAAAGCTCCGAATAGCAGTGCTCCGCGATGATGGGGTTGTTGAGCCAGTAGCATCTGTGGTGGTAAGTTTGCCTGCGCGGTGGAGCCCCGGTTCCTCAGCTAATGTCTTATCAGAGAGCTATACAAATGGTGATCAAAGCCCTGGAGAGGGTAGGCCACGAGGTGGTAGATTTACCCGCCGAAAGGATGAAAACGCTTCATCGACGTGGTACCTCATGTGTCATGAAATCCAACGTGCAGAATGGTGGACGATCAATCACGAAACACATTCAAGCATCTGGAGAGCCGGTCGTGCCAAGAACAGCAGTAGGATCAAAGGATTCGTTGCTTACTTCGGAAGAGATATTTGCCAACCATGTTGAGAGGAGCAAGATAAGCCGAGAGTACTCTGATGTGTGGCTGTCATACAGGATGGACGCCATATTGAGCCCAGCAGTAGCTCATCCGGCCTGTCCACATGGCGAGTACATCAGCAACGCTTATGCCGGCATATATAACATGCTGGACTATGTCACAGGAAGCATACCAGTGACGACAGTCCGAGACGACGATGCGCCGAATCAGGCTTGGCTAGAGCGGGATCCATACCCACAGATCGAAGCTGTACGATTCCCTTATGACAAAGGAGATAAGGAGATGAAAGACCTGTGTAAGTCAAGATGATGGGTACCCAGTTCTCTAGAAGCAAGCTAATGAAGAGAAGATACGTCGCCGGCAGTGTTTCGAGACGCGCCCGTTGGGGTACAGATTGTATGCCAGCGACTCCGCGAAGAGAAGTGTGTCGGAATCATGAAGGAGATAGAAGTTCTACTGGCCGAGCCATCCATAGCGCATGACAATGAGCACTTGTAGATGGTGGAGAAGTTGCCAACAAGGCAGGTTGCCTGAATACGATGTTGCAGTCACCCCCCAGACATTGTCCGGAACACATGAGGCTCTCACAACCTGGTGGCGGAGAAAGGACCCCACCATTCAAGAGGCAAGGCAGGACAAGATATCGCACGTGCCTGCGAAGTCGCAGTCCTCACCGGGCTTAGTTGCTGACGCGAGAGGCTTCTTCGATATGGTCGCCAACCAAGACATCTTCGTTGGTGGACAGCACTGTTCTGTGATGGCTGGCTGCCTGGCTGCCTGGCTGGGGAGTTGCGAGTCTCGAGATGAGGCAAGAATTGCGATGAGAAGAGGTGGTGTGCCGACAGCTTCGATGTGAGTTCGGTAGACATGGTCCATGCTGGTGTTGATTGCCATCCTGGTATTGTCGAAGTCGTGCTTGCTTAACGTTTATCAAACCAAACCAATACAATGGAAGCGGGCATGCAGAACACGCCGCCTTCTCTCAATGCAGTTTGCCATTAAGTCGTATACTAACTGCCAAAGTAATCACGTAGCCCAATCTAGTACTAGTAGTACTGAACCCTGTTACATCGAGAAGGTATCGGGAAGAAGTCAAACAGCCAGACATGAGCACCGTTTTCCCCAGGTGAGTCAGTTATTCTGGCCGCCTTGTCAGCGTCATTCGTGACCGGAACGCCATCGCTGAAAACACGTCCGTTTCCATCCTCCCATCCAGTTCGTATTTTGAAATCCGTCGCATTCGATATGCGAGCCATAATCCATCCACCCATGCGTTCGTTCAATCATGGTATTCCGTTGGCACATTTCGTGTTCGTACACGTCTTCATCGTTAAGTGAGTCGCTTGGAGTCCTTTACGAGCGATCCACTCCTAGGCTGAAGCATCGGTAGGCACATCGTTCATGTCCTCGTCCTCTTTCTGGGTACCGGTGAAACCATTCTGTTGCAGACCTTGTGGCTCTGCTCGCTCCGGTTGGCAGGTCGACGTTTTCTCCTCTGGCTGTGGACCACCTTTTGGCAGGTTGTTCGGATGCTTGGACAAATCCGGCCACAAACATGTCCGCACATGGGTGATGACATCCTCGACATACTCGCGTCCCTGCTTCAGGACACGGTCCATATGCATGAACGGATGCGGCACCTATCATTGTCAGCAAGACTCTTGAAAGACGACAAGGGCACCCACCCCTGGAAACCTCTTCAGCAGCACATTGTTTCCAGCCTCTTTGCACTTTTCGGCATACGCCTCGGCCTCGTCTCTTAACGGGTCACACTCGGCTGTAGCTACCCACGTCAAAGGCGCCAAATTCTCAAAGCTGGGCGCATTCATGGCATCGGCAAACCAGCTGATGTCTCGCTTCTGCTCCTTCTGGCTGACGCCAGCGTTACTGCCCAGGCTCATCCATTTGAAAGTGTCAAACCACTTCAGCTTTTCCCAATTCAGCAACGGCGCGTACTGGCTTTCTTGCATGCTTGGCCAGGGACTCATCTCGGGGGTGGCGTACTTCCGTACGTCACTGATGGTGGGCGTGCCAACAACGACGCCCTTCAGACGGTCGCTCATGCCAAAGTCGCGTAACATGTGATTCAGAATGAGGGCAATAGTGGCGCCGGAGCTTTCTCCGCCAAATGTGACGTTCTCCGGGTCGATGCTGAAGGTCTTGTGGTTGTTGAGGATGTGCAAGACGGCGGTCAGGGAGTCCATGATGCCAATGGGAAATGGATATTCGGGGATGAGACGATAGTCGATATCGATGACGCAGCACGGGACGTGGGCGCAGATGTGATGGCAGATGTGTGCATCGGTTTCGAGGTCGCCAACAGCCCAGCCTACCGAAGTTAGCATATGGCCGCCTCAAGGGCCAGAGCCTGTAACATACCTCCACCGTGAAAATTGAAGTGCGCCGGCCACACCTTCCGCACGCCTTGTGGCTCGCCTGGCGGTACATAGACCCTCACGCCAATCTCACCAGGATACTTGTCCCAGCCGGGCACCACGGTCTCGCCAATGCCGCCAACACCACTGGGATTCTGCGTGGCGTATCTGTACAGGGAGCTGTAGTTCTGGCGCACAATGTTTATGTCCGTGGGTGGCGCCGGGCCGTTGGCGATATGTTCATTGTAGAGGCGTACGAAGTCTGGATCAAGTTTGGGCAGGACGCTGGTGTGCAAAGGTTGCGGGGCCGCCGCCGGGCCGGAGGGATGAGGGTATGCGGAGGCGTTGGTGTTCGAAGAGGGCGCCAATGGCGGCGGCATTTTCATGGAGGAGGGAGTAGCGTGTGCGTGAGATGTGAGATCAGAGTTGGTAGTCGAGGTGGCGGAGGCAGAGATGACGCTGGGGGAGGATGCGGACATGATGTAGTCGGCACTTTGCGCTGCCGAAGCTTTGCTCGTCAGAGCAGTGGTGATATCGTAAGCGCCTTTCGGGCGGCTGGGAACGCCTCTGTGTCGAGGGCGAAGTGAATTACGCAGAGTCGTGGGACCGGAGGGGCGAGACTGACATTCACAGCCAGGTATGGATGAACATTATCAGCACAGACGCATCGCACTGTCGAATTCGTCGGCAAGGTCTAATAACACAGATGGATGAAGTGAAGTGAAGTGAGAAGTTTGGAAAGGCAAGTCTACAGAAGAAGTCGTCACGACGGCGGCGGCAGCTCCATCCCAAGGCTCGCTCCGAAGTGCAGTCTGCAGTCTGCATGCAGAACGAGCAGAAGGAGCAGAAGTCGATGAGGGGGCCCCCAGTTTCTGTGCTGATCCTCTGTGGAGGGGTTTCGCGCATGCTGACTGGCAGGACCATCGGACTTTGCAGACTTGGCCCGGTCCACTGCGCAAACCCTTCTCATCCATTGTCCGAACATCAAGCCGAATCCGTCAGCACCACGACACCACCGACACCTTCATTCTCTTTGCTTTCCGACTTTCGTGCGCATGCTTTTGTGCCCGGCTCTGGCCGTCTGGCCGCCTGGCCATCTGCAAGGGCTGCCCGCTCCTCTCCTGAAATTCCAAAGTAAGATATTCAACGATTCGACGTGCAGTCTGCAGTCTGCAGTCCGCAGATGGCTGCCCGCGCTTCTAGGCGCAGAGACGTCAACCGCGTGGCAGCCAAGGTCCAGATCGCCAACGACCCGCCCGTTGTGAGACGCTCAATGAAGCACATGCCCCAAAACCCAACAGTCAAACGCAGATCTAGATTCATCCCACCGTTGGGCCTCTCAAACAAGGCAACCAACTGACCACCGTACGCGGCCAAAATAAACGAACCAAGCCATACGGCCCGTCCGAATCATCCAATCGGCGGTGCTAGACTGTGGGTTTTGCGCCTGTGTGTCGTCAAGTGGTTTCGATGCCCGTGACCAGAACCGTGCCCCAATATCTGGCAATATCCGCCGCCGTCCAAGATGTGCTTACTCCTGTTCGTATATAGCCCACACCGTATGCTAGAGACTGCTGAAAGTCAACAGCATGTCAAAAGCAAAGAGCCAGCCAGTCAGACAGACACTGCGTGACAAAAGCCAAAGCCAAAGCCACTTACCGTCCCCATACAGCCCATTCGTAACACGTCATTCTACCCATATTGACTCCCAAGTCCATGGAGATCCCAATTCCAGCTCACTCATCAAGCCAGCCCAGCCAGAGAGACCGGACCCCACGAACCCACACCCTCTACAGTGGGACATTATGCCCGAACTCATGCTGACATTACGGCAAACTTCCCACGTATTGTACTTACAGATTACCTAGCCTCCGTTGCTTCGCCGCTCTCGCTCCTCGCTCTCGCTTACTGTACCCGCGTGCTTACTGACTACTGTCCCCCCCGTCTTCCAGGCGCGCGCGGACCATAGCTAACGTAGACTCCACTCCACGTGCTGCTTGAGACGTATGCAGAGCCGGCCTCAAGGCCATATATGTGTATGAGGCAGACCGGTAACTGAGAAGATATTGGGAGCAACGGGCGGGCAGAGTTGCTTCCGTATCGAACTGTACAGTATACACATACACCATGAACGGATCAAATGTCTTTAAAAAGCTCTGCTGTCATTGTCCAAGTTTGGAGAATAACAGTGTGGATCAGCGTAGGAAGCTGGGGGCCGTCGCTGGGCACCCGTCGCTTCGCCGCACAACGGGCACGGGTTTGCTCAGTGTGTGGAGTATATATGTAGATACAACCAATTTAGTCTGTACGGCGGCGCTGCTTGGCGCTGAGATATCGGTAGCGGGAATCAATGTTTGAAATAGCCATGAAAAAAACCAAGTAAAGGAGCTCGGCAGACGCTCTCTGCATTGATTGTAGGCTGCCCTCAAGCGGCGACTTCGGGTTCCTGCACCGTTGTGGGTGTTGGAAGATCCATAAGCCTTTGGCTGGCCTTGCATCTGTAGCACTAGAATAGAACATCTCCACTCCGCACGCAACTGTAGCGACACTGGGCGGACTCGCCTGTCCCATGCTCCCATCATCAATCGCAACTCGTTGACCCGCCTGACCGGCCTTCTAGTACAATAGGGCGCCAATACCCGCCCGCCGGGCCGCAGTCTGGCACAGCTGGGTTGTTCTTGTCCTCCTCAGTTGTCTCGGGCCTATTCGTATACATCTCTTTCCAAGCATTCCAACCAACATTCTCTACAGAAGTCTGACCGGACAGGCCAGGCCTTTTGCACGTCCTAATGACGGTTTCGACGTCGCTGACACGCCAGCCAGGTCCTCACTTGATTCGTGCGTTGTCAGGCTCGTAGTAGATGAAATCCCGAATTTCCTTGGTCGACTTGCCCTGTTCGTGCATCTTCATGATGAGCTTACATGTTGAGCCCGGAACAAACTCAACTCGGCACGGTACTGCTACCCAGGCCGCCGGCAGAGCGTTTTGCTGCAATCGTCGGATCGTGTATTGGGGGTGGGCGCCGGCCGACGGCAAGAGTCGGACTAGGGGCGGATCAATCGACTGCAGGACACCTGGCACGCGCAGATAGACAGGGTAGGGGTCTCACATCTCCGAGGATTCCCAAGAACGTGTCGGTTGCGTCTGGTGGTGTTGAGAACCTCGGTTTCGAAGGCCCTGCCTCGACCTGGCTCAAGTACATGAGGCAGGCGGCGCTGACCTGGACGACTGACGCTAGCGGTACTCATATTGAAAGCAGTGGTCGAGATGGTTATGATGATCTTTAAAGGTGGAGGGATGTTCTTCAGACAGTGTTCGGTGGGAAGATAGGATAGTGGCTCGAGGCGGAGACGAGGTTCGGGCCCAATCTCGAGGGCTGGCGAGGACTGTAGAGGTCAAAGCCGGCGGCGTCGCAGCGGACCGTTGCTTTCGTACAGCTTCAAATCGAACAATAAGACTCGAATTGTTGTCGTCTTATCTGCAATCAGATGGTGTGGCACTTGAGATGGTCGGTGCCCTGGGGATGTCCCAAGTGTAAGAGAGAACACCAAGGCAACGACAACAGAATCTCGGCGTCCTAGCCCAACATGGTAGCCGCGCTACAGTTGCCACATCTTTGCTTCAGCGCTGTTGTTGTGAAGTAGACGTCTGTCATGCTGAATGCATGAACATCTGCGGTGACGGCTTTGAGTGCATGCCTGGGGTCGGTCACTTTTGCCCCTTCACAATCGAAGGAACGGCCCACCAACGATGAAATCTTTCCACCTCCTCAGAACCAGCAATTGTGACTTTCAGAGCTGCAATCGTACTCGTCAATCCCGCTGTCCGATTCGTTGACTTCTCTTCCTCCTCAAGGGCCTTCGCCAGCGTTGTGATGCTGATGCTGGTGCCGATACAAGCTTTCATACTGTTTTTCACATTCTTTGTCCATTCTCTGTTGGTCACCGACTCTTCTTTGGCATCAGAGCGCAGGGGCTGGACATGCCATCGATCCTTCAGGACTTGGTCCCAGGCTTTGCGCGAGGTCAAAGCTAGCTGCATAGCCTGATCAAGAACCTCGCGGTCGGACAGACCTTCTAAGCTTGAGATTTGCTTCATCTCCTCATGCGAAATTGGCTCTGGGATCGATAAGTGCTGGAAAGGACGCATGCGGAGCTCATATCTGAGCTCGTCCGAAGAATAAGTCGGACCGATCGAGGTAAAATGTCCGTGCCGCCGGAGGACAACGAAGACTCTCTGCAACGCACTGGCTAAGGTATCTGTCGCTTTTAGCCACGAGAAGTGTCGGTAGAGGAGTCCTAGTGCCTTCTGCGACTCTTGTCGATGAGCTTCAACAGTCCAGTGCGGCAGCGGTCTGGCCTGAGCTATGAAGTAGCTGATTCTTTCCAGGTGAGAAAGATGGAGACCAGAGATATGTCCAAGGTACCAGTACATGTCCACAAACTCGCCGGGCGCATACACTTCAAGCTCAAATCCCAACTGGATCACGAACCGCAGTTGCTGCAGCTTGTGGTGATAAACCCAGCTGCTAAGGGAATAAGCAAATGCCAGCTCCTCATTCTGGCCGTAAGGCAGGGGCTTCTCCCTCGTCAGTGTTTGCAAATAGCCATCGATTTCTTCCGCCTCGGCCTGGATGTTATCCCACTCGATAGCAGCGTGACAGAGGTTGCGCCGTACACGAGAGCGGTTGAGAGCAAAGGATCGGAACTGGTTCTGGAACGAAGGCGCAACCTTGTCAATAAACTGGTTCATCTGTACTCCAATCTGGAAACCGGGGTTGGCTGGGTTTTCGACCCGCGAGTCCAGTAGCGCACTGGCTGGCAGGACAAGTGCCCTCATATCATCGGCCACGAACTCGACGAGGAAGGACTTCCCAATCACTCTGTCGGACAAATTGAGGAAAGACTGAGCAAGTGACCGGACATAGATACACGGCGTCGACTCTTGAGACATCAGAGTCCAGAAAGCAGTGTGAAGGTCGGCTGCTCCGCTCACATCTAAGATTTCGAAGGCGGCGGATATGTCCCTCAAGAGACGATTCAAGAACGAGAACGTATCCTTCTCCTCACAGGCCACCATAGGCCGGGGAGGGACACTGCTGGCAAGTCGACGTTGGATCTTTATGCTGAAGGCGTCAATAAGTGGCGATCCTGCAGAGGTGGATCTCTGTATGGAGCTGAGCACATCTAGAAGCCCGCTAGCTCTTCCAGGCGTCAGACGCCCATCGCTGGCTTCGCTCAAAAGCTCGAGAAACTCGATGCGGAAAGTGAGCCTTGACAGCAGTGCCTCGTGGTGTTGGAGCTGCTCTGGGCTATCTCCAAGATCCGTCCTCGCGAGCTTCATTAATGCAAGGACATCTTCGATGGTGAAGCGTCGTAGCATTTCTCGATTGAAGACCTGTGTTGCAAAGTCTTCTTCCTGCGGATGTGAGGAACGGTTACTTTGTGTCAGAGGAAGCACTTACCTCATAATAGTGCTGGCCGGTAACCATCGACAGAACGAGATCACAGCACTTGACGAGTCCGAGACAATATGCGCGTAGTAATTCGTGCTGCGGACTCGGGGCAAAGCCTGAGTAAGGAGAGCGAATGAAGTGCGCTTCCTCAATCTGCTTTGGATCTGGCCACAAGATTCTGTCAAGATGGACCGAAGTGAACAGAGTCTGCGATAACGGATATCCTTGATGCCACGAGACCTCTCTGCAGAGTAGCTGGTCGATGATCCACATCAGTTCGCTCGAAGTGATAGGTCTGGTGGCGTCGAAATCGTCTTCGAGATCCTCGCCTTCCGCGAGCGCGCCGCTGTCCATCTTGGGGTCACCGATCTAGGCATGATCAGATATCATTGCGACAGTGGGTGACGGTAGTACCTCAAGGGCGCCGACGGCCTCGAACAACGTAAAGCCTTCATCCTTCACGAGCTGGCCTGTTGGGATGTCTTGGAGCATTCAGTACTCGCCACAACTACACGCAAATGTAACTCACTCTGGGCGGACTTGATGAAGCGAGCTGTAACATCAATGAGCTGAACATTAGGATGCACGATGCGAGGTTGCACCATGTCTGATGGTGTTGATCGGTTGAGATAGTTGAGAGCGGAGGGTCTGGGCGCTTTTCATTCTCCGCACCAGTCTCATCGAGTCCGATCAATGGTGCAGGCCTGTGAAGTACGCAAGGTGATGGCAAGCTACGGATTCAACATTGAAGAAAATGAATTGGTCCCGGCGGTGGCATTGATACAACGAGACAACCTCGAATATTTGTGGGATTTGAGGCAGGCGCTCGCTCAGCCCACCTTTGGGCCTTCTCCACCCAGCGCAAATGGCTTCCCTTGCGATATATACAGCTTCATCACAGCACCACGCCCAATGTTCCTGAATACCTCTATTCCGTCTTGGCCTGCTGAGCAGCAGCCGCCTCGTTGGCCTCACCCAAATTCTTCAGGTCACCCTGCTTGCCATTCTGTCTTTTGGTTAGCGTTTCGCTCGATCTCCTTGCCGGGCTGTTGTCCGTACCTGCCACTTCGCAAATCGCAGGTCCATCTCTCCTCTGCGCTCTGCTTGTAATCTTGGACCCTCCTTTAGCGATCGGCGGACGGTGCGGGAGGCGACGGCTAGGTAGCGGTTGTAGCTGTCGCTGGGTTAGCTTGCGCTCTCCTTGATGCTAAAGTCATGGGGCCGGGAATGACATACGTGATTCCCGCGGCTTTCCACGCGAATGCCATCTTGAGTTATGTCTCGAGGGGGCAAATTGATCGGGAGTGGAGGTGTGGTGATTGACGAGCTTTAAATGTTCACGACTGAATGTCCTCCGCAGCCAGGAGCTACGGAACTGCAGAAGCTCATATGCTTGGCGCGGAGAAACGATGATCCATCCGGTCACTTCCCCGTCGACTTCTCGTCTTCCGCCGTAATCAGCCAGCCATCCGATCCTCTCATACCACGAGCATGTATCTTGCTCTACCATCTAGTCTATTGTCCCTCGCTGCCTAGCCAATAACACCGTGCCGCCGGCACCTTGATTCACTCTGTCCTCCAGGAACTGTGGAGCGTCCGGTCCGATATCTCCGTCCCCCACCGATGACTTGACCAGCCATACTACTCTAAGCCTCTGTCGACCCTTCAATTCTGGCCCTGGCCGCAAACAGTGCAGACTTACACGACTGCCATCAACCTCGACTCTACAAAGCCGTTCGCCCATCCACGAGACCATGATGTACTGCCTCCGGACCTTCCTCCCCCTCCTGCTCCTCCCACTGCCACTCTCCCTCAGCCCGATCCACCTCGCGACCTTCCTGCTCCTGACCTACATCCTCGCGCGGCCGTGCTCATACTGCTCCTTCCTGCTCGTCATCCTCTTCGCCTCCTCATGCTACTGGAGCGGCCGCTGTTTCTGGGAGAGTCCTGTGGTAGAGCCCACAGGCGCAATATCCGCAGGCTGTAACGGCACGGGCGTCGAGCAGTGGGCATGGCTCCCATACTTCCTCCCTCGCCTCTATACGACACCCTCGCCCTCGATACCCACCTCGGCCTCCAGCGTCAACGCCACCGCCAATACCGGATCCACTGAAGACTTCACCTCCTTCCTCCTCGACCTCACGAACAGCACGCTCTCGACCCTCGGTTCATCCGCGGCTTCGAGTGTCATGGCCTCCTCCAGCGCGATGCTGGCCAAGGTTGCCCCATCAATATCGATCCCGACGACGTCCATGGCGGGTGCGGTCGGCACACAGTGGCTTGGCAAGTTATTGGGGCGAGGGGAATGGACGCTTCCGTGCGTTGGGGTGAGGGTTGTGCTGTAATGCTAGGATTGAGGAAAGCAAAGGAGACGGGGGTTGCATAGACTGTACAACACCTGCACGAAGCCACGAATGCATATTGGCGCACCGTCTGGTTGAACCCTCAGCCGGGCACGATTGGAATAACTTATGGGTCTTACATTGCATATGGGGCTGCCGTGCCGACCCACCACTGCATGTATACAATACAGAGCCTCCCCCATTTTCACATCACAAGGCGAGGTTTCTGCGAAATTGCGGCCTCTGACGAAGCATCACTTAGGCCAAATGTCCGCTTTCGCGAACGACCATTCCATTCCGTTCCCTATCACCATCTTACCCCCTCCGCCCCGTCCTTGCCAGCAGCCTCGCGACCTTTTTCCCTGCTAGAGCTTTCACGCGCGCAGCTATATCATCAAGGATGGAGCTATGCCCTCTTATGTGTCAATCGTGAGTTGCTGCAGAGCAGAGCCCTCGCAGTCAGACTACGGTCCCCAATGCTGGATCTAATGCGATCTGCATCGGCTACAAGACTGAAAGGTAGACATGAGCAGGATCGGTTTTCTTTGGCAATTCACATTAGACTACTTGATCACACACACACACACACCCCCC